CAGTTATTTTTAACAAACTTTAATTTAATACTCTTACTTTGGCCGTATCATCAGCAACCTCTCAAAATTGAGACCTGAATTATATTTTTTTTGATTAAAAAAAACTTTCAACAGGTGTCACCTTTAATAATACCCCCTCCCCCCCATGCACGTACTTTGACCACTGATGCACACAGGTGTTGTGGATTACATTGCTCAACCTCTGTTGACCTCGGGCCAGGGACAAGTCGTTAAAGTAACATCTCTCCGTGCCATACGTTAGAGGGCGCTGCTGCCCATCGTAAATGGGCACCTCCGGGTCCACGGAGCAGGATTCCCGTTCGGGAGGGGAGCCAAGACAAATAGTTCGGCGAGACATATTTGCTCTTTTAAAAGCAGTTGTGTTGCCACTGAATTAGCGGCTGGGTTTTTGCAGTTGATGCAAAATGTTTGCATTTGTTTATTTTTTAAATAGGACCAACGTTTGGTGACACCTGAAGAAAAAAACCCGAAGTGGTATTTCAACATTTATGCTTGCGTTTCCCTGCAGGGCCCTGCGGCACATAATGTCCTGTATCCATGCAAATCATTTTATTTTTGGGTTGCTCGTTTAAATGTAACTGCACTGCCTTGCCGTTGTGATTGTTAGTAGCGGTGCTGTATGCAAATTATTTTTTTCTATTGCATTTCAAAGGAAGCAAGCAGCTATTTGAAACAGGTCCATGCAGCCATTGGGGTAGTTTTAATGAGCTTTTTAACAGCTTACAATTTGGATTGAAAGTGGTTATGCATTTTACAAAATAATGTCAGCTGATAGCGTGCTGCCCATTGTTCGTTTCGTCTCGTGGAGAGCGAACAACTCGAGGTACTCTATACAATATATTACACAATATACTAAGGTGTTGGTTCATTAATGAGAGCGTTTACATGTTAGAGCGGAGCATCCAGAAATAACTGAGGTGTGCTGTATCTTACCGGTGTAGTCCACAAATTGCTGTACTGCCTCCTCCTGATAAGCCAGGGTATGGCACCTTAACCCCCACTGGAAGGGAGTTTCACAACATCTGTGCAATCGACCAACCCTTCCTTGCTTAGGCATGCACCACCACCGCCTGGCTAAGATCTGCCTGCATGTTAATTTGCCTGTCCATATAAAACATGACAGTTCGTATACCTCTTGTAAAGATTACCCAATTTGAAGAAAATTTTCTTCTAAAGTTGTCTCGGCTATTAAGGATTTAATGTAAGGAACCCGGCAACATGTGTCATCAAAAGGATTGCGCAAAACCAGTGCTAAAAGTATTCCGCCCCGTCATTCACACGCGCCTCCCGTCCCCTCCTGATGCACGATGGCATCTCGCGAAAAGTCCACGTCATGTGCCATGTAGCACCACGTTTTTGTTCCTCTTGAAACGGTACGATCATTGTCACTAATTAAATTCCTTTGAGGACAATATAAATGTTGGAAAGCATTCCGGAATCCAGGCATGTGCATGCCTTTTCTTTATTGCACTATTTTCCACACTACAGCCATATACTTCACCTCACTCCCAACAAACTCAATTCTTTCCCAGTGTGGAGCCTGGGCAATGAGCAGCTTTGCCTGCTGAGACTTGCGTGCTTCTGGTGCATGGTATTTGTTTGCATGTGTCCCATGTGGGCCAATTAGAGGAAAATAAGCATGTGCGTTCTGTAGGGTCAGTTGGAGACATTGTGCCCTCGGGTGAAAATGTCATTTTAACCCACATGTTAGCAGTGCCACGTTGCATTAATTTCTGAATTTGTTTAAGAGAGTTCTTCACTGCTCTACAACCTGCTGGTCAGTCCGGGTTTGTGAATGCGTGATGCATAGACGTGGGAGTATCGCAGTAAAACACACTTTTCTGCAAGGTTATCTGCACGCCACCACATAGCACAGCCATCAATGACAACCTGTTGTGCAGAGTGATCACCCCTCGAAGCGCTGTCCAGGTTGAAACCTGCTTACCTTCTGAGACCTGCCATAATCGGGCACGTTCCAGGTGATAAGCATGTGCAGACTTGCATGCTTCTCTGCTTAATAGAACGATTGCCCTATTGATGATGCTGATGCACCTCGTGCATCACATTACACGCGAGAGCTGACAGTGCACTGACGTCAATCGTGCCTCCCATTGTGTGTGATTTTCTTCATCGACAAAAGGTAACCACCATCGTACGTAAGAGGGCAAGTGAGGCTACAATGCGCCAGCACCAGCTGGCATGGGATAGTTTGGCTGTGGCTGACAGGGTAGGGCAGATTCTGTCTTTTTGTGTGCCGGTTTGGCGAGCCGCGCTTATCTCATCCATCTTCCTGCTGCTCGTCTGTTATGTTTTGCATTTTTGACGCCGTTAGAGATTTAACAGAGGTCTGGCTCGCACGCATATATGGCCTTGTTGCGGCTCTGCAAGACAATATTGGGATGCTTTGAGAGTGAAAGGTTTATGAAGTGACTTGGGGATAAACATTTTGTGTAGAGTTGTAACTGAACCGGCCCTAACACTCCTCCCCCTCCATTGCCCCCCCCCCCCCTTTTGGCCTACATGGTGAAGTATGATATATATAACCCCCGCGACTGAAAAAGCATGCGGAGGTATTCACCCAGGCTTAAGCACAGGGTTTTAAAAATAAAAACAATACGTTCTGTATGAATCAAGTGACCCGGTTAGTGTACGAACTAGAGAGGAGCAAAACATGTGATGTCATGCTTACATGGCCATGGTTTTAAGTAAAGATCATGTTACAGGCCATGTAATACGTTTTCATCATGTTAGGGTGTGCAGCAGTTGAGATAAATACATTTGTAGGTCAGAGCCGGTCGGTACTTTGCTGACCAGCATGGTGAATTATGGTCAAATAACCCCCCTACGACACGCATGGCATGGGAAGATCCTCGCCCAGCACTGGATTGACAGCAGGGCTGTACATATACTATTCACATATGATTATGTGATCAGCTGATCCGAAGACAGTGAGCGGGCCAGATACCAGTCTTCACGAATCCACTGTTCAAATTTTAAGATAAATTATTCGATGTCTCCATTACGGACATTGGTACAAATCACCAAGGCAATGTTGTCCGCTTTATCAAGATGGCAACCGTTTAGTGTGTACACTCGCAAATGCAGTTCAGCTTGTCCATGGTTGACCGCTATTGACATCACGCTCTAAACCGTTTGTGATTTTTGCAAGTGCACTCTTAAGTGACTTAATGCTTTAAGTGATTGCCTCGAAAAATAAAGTCACAAGTACAAGTCGTGCGTCGATTAAGAAATTACCAGTGTGATGCGATTGCACAGATAATGTTGAAATTTGGAATTCTTGCTCTACGGTCAGCATTTTGCAACTGCACGCTTCCATTGGGCAATGAGTGATACTGGGAACTGACTGTGAATTATCTCGATCTATTCTACGCCCGTAAGAAAAATTTTGACTGCCGCCGTTGTCAAACACTACCGTGCGTAGTATAGCAGGAACCTATTTAAGAAATTAAGGTTGTGGGCGATGGTCTTGACGGCAACATTGAAGGGTTATAAAGTAATTCCATCAAGGGCAAATTCTTTAAATTCGTTTTTGTATGGGGTTTTTTGTATTTACTTGACATTTACAATAATAAAAGATGGCATCAGGTTATCTTAATAATCGTTTATCAAGCAGTCTCATGCTAAATTATAGGCTAATAAACTTTAAATAATAGTAACTATTAATGGCACTTACCGTTTCTCAGTCTTTGGCAATGATATAACTCCTAAATATCAAATACCATGGTATGCAGATGCTTTAATCCAGCAGTGGATAGACTATGGCTGTTGGAATATAAAAGGTGTGTCATTTCACTCCGTAATATTAATAGCACAAATGCTATTATTTAAAACCACTTGTCGTTATAATCTCTGGGTCACATTCTAAAAAATGTGTAAATATTGTGACCATTTTCTGGTCGCGGCAAAGGGCATTGAGATTTCCCGCGTCGATTGTTAATGTGAAAGCAGCCTTGAGGAAGCGGCCTCCGCCCCTCTGCTGCACATGATCAATCCCCAAGCGCGATTGTCCACCGCTCCCAGGTGCTGCCGTGCTCGGGTTGTGGAAATTCGCTCATGCAGCAGCGATGGCCCCCACACGGCAAACAGAAAGGGTGTGGCAGAAAAAGCGGGTGGATATATGGGGCATTTTAGGGCATCTGGAAATAGCTGGGATGCAATACACTGCCGTCACAAGCTCCGTGCCCCATCCACCATAGCGATTGATGCCTGGTTCTCATGAGTTCCGTGTTGCGGAGACTGATGTGTACAATGAGGGACAATCCTTGGGTTTGTCCTCAAGTCATACGTAGTTGCGTATGTCAGGCTCTTGCAAAACCTTTATCACGACCTTGGGTGCAGATTGTCAACAATTTTCCACAAATGTGGGGGTAAAACGTTGATCCAACAGGTTTCGAAAATTCACTCCCCCCCCCCCTGCCCCCCCTACCAAAAAAATACATTTGTGCCCACCAAGCCTGACCGACCAGCGCTGTGAAGTGTGATCAATGAACCCCCCCAACCTTAACGGTGTGGGGAGACCGTCATCTAGTTGGGTAGGTGCGGCGAGGGCCTCGTACAGGGTTGTACATGGGCATGCGGACATGAAAACCAATAGCCAACTGCTTGTTTTGAGTTCTACTTATGCGCAGTGTACTCTTCAGAAATGATTTTCAAAGTATCATACGTTTAGACTTCACTTCTATTACTGAGGTTGAACGCCAATGTTTGATCAGTGCACGTGACGACTACAACGATGGACAACGCTTTGTCTCGATGACGAAACGTGCGAGATTTTTGTGAAATTGTCCTCCGTTGCGCTGCTCCCTTCTGCCCACCAGTGTTGCAAGAGCTCCCTGGCTTTTGAAGGGGGGGGGGAGAGCGGTGGTGGGGGTTTCCATGGCCAAGAGAGAGGGACCGCTGGGAGGAGGGACAGGGCACAGCCGTAATGCTGGTTAATAGTAGGTGCTGTCTTTGACGAGCTGCTTTCTTCTTTGAGGACGCCCTGTCAGAAGCAGGCGTGCTCATCCCCGTGGCGCGTGGCTTTTTCCCGACTGCACAGTCCTCTGAGCTGAATGAGCCTTTGCTGTCCCATCGCAAGCACCCCCACCACACTCTGCTTTCACACTTCGACATTACATATTGTATAGAATTTTTTATTTTTTTATTTTTTTCGAATGGAACTAAATAGGTATATATCTAATTTATAGTTTAAAAAAACAAATCTCCCACACCCTTCAAAAATGCTGTCTGCTCTGTCGCGATGCACGTTCCTATTGGATCCGATCAAATGGAATCTGTTTCGTACCACTTCCAGGTAAGGGCGGATGCTTCCTGTTGGTTCGTGTACACATGCACACACACACGCGCCAATAACCACTGGCCCTGCATGCACACAACACACACTCGAATGTACACATTTACTGGTGCATACGCTTACAATCATCCACCTAGACGGACAGCCATGCCTACACACACACCTTTGCACTTGAACCCAAACCTGCGTGCCCATCAGTCGACGCAAACAACCCACTCGGCACACATTCTCGGCCAGATATACTCGCCTTTGCACATGGGCACGCGCATTCATGCGCAAACACATATACACACATACACACACACACCTTTAATCGACGATTGAATGTCAACCCGTGCATTCACATACCCTACCATCAGGGTTGATTCCAAAGAACACAGGATGAGATGTTACTATCCTTTGTGCAAGCACTTCCAAGAGTTCATGAACACCCAGCCACACACAGAGACCCTTCAACATGCACAGAGACAAAGATCCCCTATGTACCCTTTAACAGGCTGCTGCAATAGGTGGTGTTAGCAAGCACCTATTAAGGCTGGCACATGTAAATGAAGAAGTGGGTGGTCAGCACCATGCCTGCCCACATACATACACACATATACCTAACCATACCTGCACACACACAGATCCACACCTTGACACACGCTTATCCACATCAACAATATTTTCCACCCAAACCCACAACCATGCCCCCCCCCGTGTGTAAATATACGCATTCACACCTTCACACGCCTCCCCCTGCAAGCCAAGACGCAGCCTCCATATAATGTAAGGGTTCATCACATTGTCATATATCAGGAGCTCTGCTGTTGAGACAGGTGTTGAAATAGGAGTAGGATCCACGCAAGATGTCACCATGTCACCGTTGAGAGCCATGCAAGTACCTCTTCTGTGCGTTTTCACTTTGAATTTAAGTTGTTGACAATACAATGAAATGTGCTGATCATTATTGCCATAATTGGATTTTATTTTATTGTAGAGTTACATTGGTGGTATTTTTGTGTAAAACTTTTTTTTCTTTTCTCAATGTTAAGGATGTTTTCAGAAAGTAAAATTGTTAAATACATTTAGTGGACTGTATTTTAAAAATATATATGGACAATAAGTGAGTTCATGGTGACTGTAACATGGATTGAATATTAACTAAAATTTGAATAATCTGACTCATGACGTCAAATTGTATTGCATTGACAACGGTCAATCGATATTTTAAACATTTGAAAATATTGTTTTCCAAATTCAACGTCATATTTTCCGATTCACGATAATTTTTTATTATTTACATGCCATGAAGAAGAGCCTTTGCCAAAATGTTGCCAATTATCGAATTTTCATTTTAAGGCCACTTATTCACGATTGTGGAGCGTTTTTTTCTAATTGTTTCTTTGTTCTGATATTCGTTATCTGGTTCGTATCCTTTAAATTTTTTTATTATTTCTTTTATCCATTGTCGCGCAAATATAATTTATAGAAATACGTAAATAATCTATACCAACGCACACAATTTAACGTAAGTATTGCGAGTAAAAGAAAAAAATGTCGTCAGTGAACTACATACATTATTTGCCTATAAAGGAAAATGACACATTTCAAAATGAAGAACTATAGATACAAATTAACTTGTTATACATTTGAGTATATTGTTAGACACTAGAATTCAGCAGCATTAAGGCTTTCATTTTTATATTTTCCATGAATTGGCAGCACCTGGCCAAGACTTTTGTCACCTAAGCCAGGGTAATGTTGCTGCGGTTTATGCAGCAGTTAGATGTTGCATAACTTAAGAAAAAAGATTTTGTTAGTATCAATCCCTACGTGGCTTGAGGCAGATAATTCTTTGATTTGTGGTTATGGGATTTCTTGGAGTTGTTTACATGTGAACACTCATTCTTAGGCTGTTGGGTTGTTGCCAGTATTTTGGGGAGCGCGATACCACATTGCTTGGATCGTGGCTGCACCGAACTTTATTCGCGACTGAGTGTTTTGGCATCACATTTTGAAAACCATCTGCACAGCGCCCAAGTCATCGTGTGGATTCACTAACTGCTGTCGTGAAAAATACATGCACTGAAGTGTCATTATTGAAGATGTATCATGACATGTTTGCTGAGAAAAGACAAGAGATTCATCCAACAATTTGATTAGGAAAATAATGTTGGCCTGTGAGTCTCCGTGTGTGTGTGTGTATAACTAAGCGTGTAACTAAGCCTCAAATGAGTACCTGGTGCGATGTGTAAACATCACGACTAAGGAGACCAAGGCGCCAGGCATCATGCTTGCCACCCACCCCCTTGTGTGCCATGTCAATCTTCATTGGTGCTCACGAACAGCGCTTTTCCCAAAAGTTTGTCAAGGTTATACGGGGGATCTTTGTCTTTTTTGTGACTCGATGTGAGTGTACTGGTTGGTGCACTGTCCTACAAACCTTGCAATCTCAATTTTGATTCCTGGCCACGGCCAACAATTTTTAACGAGTAATATTTGATCCAGTCTTTGGCCTCCACGAGGTTGAGTTGACCTTAAATTAGTACCGAGTGTTGTGCGTAAACATCAGCACTGGGGCAACAAAGGTCGCTCAATGCGGTACAGTCCACTGCATTGTGTGCCAGTCATCATAGATGCTCGCTGACAAGCGTGGATTTTGGGGGGTTGCCCTGACTTCGGGAGGCAAGATGTCTGGGTAGATTTTTTAAGGGGCCTGGGTATTTAAGCATAACAAGTAGTTGAATAAAATGGTTTAGTTATTGAAGCCTAATCGACTAATCATCCTAACTTCAGATCTATATCTTTGTGTGTGTGTTTTGTTGTGGGAGCCCTGAGCTCACCCTTGGTGTGCGTGCATTTTAATTACCACTTTTCCACTGGCACATCAGATATGCTTTAGGGTGGAGCCCTCACGGTGCGGATGTTGGTCCACTAGCTAATTGCAGAGCCAAGCCATGAACCAAAGTGTGAAACTGTCACCTACAAGACATCCGAATCTGACTCGGGACCAAACAGGGCAGGGTTAATAGTTTTCATCACATGTTGCGTCATTACACCTGAACGCGTGGCGTAAGCATTATGGTGCAGGTTCTGCAGTGGAAAACAATCGGGGGGCGTCTTCTGACCTGCACCAGACTGGCTTGGAACGTTCTCGGTGTGTCTCTTGTACATTGGAAAAGAAGAAGTCATCATTTGTTGTGGCGGCTCTGAGCTCAACCGTGTGCACGCGTGTCTCGTTTGTTATGCCGGCAGATCCACAGTGAGGATGGCCACCATGATGCGACGCTGCCCGTTCCTGGCGAGGGTGCCGCAGGCATTCTTGCAGCGCGCCGGCATGTCCCTGCTGACCTACGCAGAGCGCTGCCCTGTCATGATGGAGGGTCTGGGCCCCGTGCGCACGCTGTCCACCTCTGCCAGCGTGCCCAGTGCTCAAGGCAAGCATCCCGGCAACGAAGGTGAGGGGTGGGAGGGAGTAGTTGGTGGTGGTAGGCGGCTAAGCAACCAATTAATGTCAGACTCGATGGAAACGCCAGCTAATGCACTATGTGAGAGGTGGATTATTCAAAAAGTCATTGGTAAATACACCAAGAAAGGTGAAAGTTTTTGTTTTTCAAAGGGCTATATCCCTAACTCGTGCATTCGAATCAAAAGCACGCTTTCAAAAGTGAGGCTTTTCAACAGATTATATTTTGTTACTCCCACCTATAATACCCCATCTGTCCAAGCCACTGCACATTTTCCCCACCACTATTCTAAGATTTATTTCTACGTTCTCAACCTTTCTCCCCTTTTTCTGCGTGTCCTTCTACCATGTTTTATGGAGTGGCTACTGTGGACAAAATGCTAAGTTAATTTACACACGCATTACACAACATGTAGGGTGATGATGCATACAAGATTTTGTTATCATCTGTCGCAATATTATTTGTTTGTAAAATTTCCATATCGTCATTAGAAGAGGAAATGGGTAAAGTAATGCGTGAGAAGTCAGATGCTGTCTTTTGGGGGATTTTTGCAGTTTTTTTTAGATGAACCACTCGGAGGATGTTGTCGCTCGACCGTACGTTTCACGCCTCGTGACGGCGTGGCCATCTCTTCCCAATGACACGGAGTAACGGAACATTTCGAAATTACACGAAGTCCAGTGAACGTTTTTCCCTCTGAGCGCTTTCTGTTTTCGTATTGACCATGAGGTACTTAAGAGGCATTCACCTAGCTGATCTTACTACGCAGAAATTATATGGGTTTTTATTGTATTTACCGCTCTGCTGAATCGTTTGGTTCAGCGCATGGTCAAGTGTTCACTTTGAAACTTATCCTCCATTTGTTTCCCTTTGTGTTATTGTAAAGCAAGGGGACTTCTACTCAATGAGCTCGTCATGCTGTTCGCTCTAAAAAAAAACAGCAATTTACAAAATCAACAAGTTTGTCTGGAGAGCGTCTGTTTATTCTAACCCCATTTCACCAAAGATAATTTTGCACAAGTCGTTTTTTGTCACAAATTAGCCATCATTTGGAAAAACAGATTAATTCTGCAACGTCATAGACCATGCTTTTATCATGTCAAATCGGCACCAAGTGAACATTAATTCAAGATATAGAGCATTAATTGGCGATATATACAAGGTGCACTGGAAAAGTATAAAAGAAATGTATTCAAATGTTTATGGGCATGTGGATGTGTTTGTGTGCATGTGGTTATAGGAATTGCCTTGTGGGTTGGCATGTAATGGTTCATGAATGTACATTCACAGTTACACATCGAGAAATAGAATTCGTTTACTTTACCGTTTATTTGTGTTGCTTCTTGATTTTTAAAAAATATATTGTACAGCTCAGATTGCAGCGTTAGCCTTCGTTTGCCTGCGGTTTTGCTAACATCTCCCGTCGTCATTGGTGTGTGAAAAACCAGAGCTGGCGACGTCATCCAAGTGCCCTTTCTTGGCGGGCGAGGTGAGCCGTGGCCCAGACGGTGTGGTGAAGCACGCCAGCTATGTTGTGCAGGAAGACGTTGCTGAGATGCAGGCTGTGCGCAAGGGTACGTGTGCACACGCGAGCACTCCCATTTCATTTCGATTGGTCAGTCGGCACGAGACGAAGTGTCTTTATAGAACTCGGAGAGTACTGCAAAGCCCCATGTATTAGAGTTTCGCTCGTTGATGCGGATTTGCTAGAACTACTTCTGAAGTAAAACTTGAAAAAATGTAACTATTTTTATTTTACCAGGTGTAAGGACCATTGAGCTATGTAGCTATTTTTCAGAAGTGACCTGGCCACAAATTATAGTCCAACAAAGTAGCTTATCGTGTGGAAATTTATAGCAGTCAAATACTCTAAACGCACGTTTCTAAATGTGGAGGGAAAAACCGGAGGACCCGGAGAAAAATCCACGCGACCACGGGGAGAGACATGCAAACTCTAAATATACAGGTGTCGGGGTCGGAATCGAACCCGCGATCTCCTGCATACAGTGCGAGCGAGTTAACATCTCGCCACCTACCCACATACTAGGGGGCATTACTTTCCCACATGCTGGCACTTCAACATGGGTGCGGGGGTGGCTCGATGAGCTGGTAACTGCTGAGAAACTGTTTGAATATGGGTTACAATTTGGGTTTCATTGCTCCGACCCCTAAGCCACTAGGCTACCCAGCACAACAACAACAACAACCGCCATTCGCCACTAAGTGGCGGTGACGTCACCACGACACTTGTGCCAGGCCATGTGCACCTTGAGGCCACGTTAAGTGTCGAACGCCCACTGGCAGGAGGTCACGGGGCAGGCCCAGGTGCCACATACACATTGAAGTTCCAGCATGGGAAAAAGTGCCCCCGAGTATGTGGCACTTTAAGGTATTCATACGTTTGACCAATGGTAGTCGAAACTATATTTATAATTCTTAAACTCACAAGATTAAGTAAAAGACCAGCATAAATATGCCACGTTTTTGAGAGTAATTACACTCCCATTACAATCACTGCACGTGACAATGTTTTAATCACAAATCCAGATTCAAATTAAGATTCTTAGCAGTGGCAGCTTATTACTCCCCCTATTACCTCACACGCACACGAATGCTCATGTCTTTTTATCTCAACTGAAAATGTTTTCGTACTGCACTATGAACCAGATGACCCGAGTTTGATTCGTAACATCAGTGTCCTGGGCTTGCCTCCTTCATAAATGCACATATACAAGTGTGAAAAAGCATGGTCAAACAACTCCCATGATTGACATGGCATGGGGAGGCTTTTGTCCAGAAGTGGATTTACAGAATGAGGCTTCATGCTGGTGTCAGACAGAGGGCATGTAATAATTTGTATGCACGTGAGTTTCACATGGTGGCAGTTCCTCCCGTTAACCCTGTGGTCTGTGCATGGATGTACGTGTGTGCGTACAGAAGTCGCTGAAGGCAAGACCCCCGTGAACCCCACCGTGATCAACATCCGCCGTGAAGACTTCCAGGCAGAACGTCCTGGTTTGGTGCAGGCCGTTCGTAGTGCCGGCCTGAGCCCCGGCAACAATACGCCAATGACCCACGGCATCTCTGACAACATGCCCAAGGGTAAGAGTTCCGTTGAGTGGGCACATGGGGGACATGTGGTGGAAAGGTATAATGCATGTCTAAAACCAAGGAGTTCTTGATAAGCCAGCCACTGGCGTGGCTGTTGAGTGTGCAGGCAGTCTTAGCTGCACCGGGGCCGACTGACCGGAGGGGAAAATTGGAAAGAGCAGGGCTCCATTTATAATGTCTTGCACCGGAGCCCATGCCAACCACGTTCTGCTACTGAAGCTAGCCTTTGGTTTTTGTAGCCATTTTAGTAAGCATGGAGAGACGTGCAAGCTTGAAATTGCAGTGAGAGATGGAACATCCGCTTTAGCTCCTACCTCCTACAAAAAAAAACTATGAGTTCGATTTTAAATCGTTGGCCGGTCGGTTTCTCCGCCGTCAGGCCTCTCGGTGTTCGACTACGACAAGTTCTTCACGGGCAAGATCGAGGTGAAGCTGCGCGACCACACCTACCGCATGTTCAAGACGGTGAACCGGCGCGCCGACAGCTTCCCCTACGCGCACGACTTCACCGATTCGCTGAGCGAGGCCAAGGAGGTGTCTGTGTGGTGCAGCAACGACTACCTGGGCATGAGCCGCCACCCCCGCGTCGTAGGCGGCATCATGTGAGAGCGCGCGCCCATTGGCCGCACACACGCACACACTCACGTTGTCGCCAGCCCGTACGCACCCGCTGGGTCGCTGTTTTACGAAAAATCCGATTGGATTCTCTGTTTCCTGAAGTGACACCAATAGCATAGTCGGTACAGGGGGGGAAGATTTTTTTTTTAAAACACATGACACTGATTTTTGAATGCTTTTCAACTAAGCTTGAAATTGTTGTTGTGTAAGCTCTGTCGATGCAGGTTTGGGAATGGGGAGCCTATGACTAGTTTTGGACCATGGCCGAGAATCAAACTCAGACTGCCATGTTCGCAGTGCCATGCGCGAACCACAGCACCACCGCTCAACCCAAACGATGGCTCATTACTTCACATTCATTGCACACTTAACAGCGTAGATGTATTGAATGGTGTCGCCTCCCACAGAATACACTACGCGATGAGCTGTACGAGTTTATAGGAAATCAACAAGTTACGGTTTTATCAAGCAAAGGGCCACGTGCACAGCCACATGACTGTACAACTTTCCCTATTGGTGCTTGACCAACACGGGATATGATGCAGACGCACTCGTTTCATTATCAGTTTTATTGTTTCCTGTATCGAGTTGTTGGGGTTTTCCCTTCATTCAACTACTGCAAGGCAAAGATTTTGGTGCGCCCGACGGATTATTACCAATTTAACAAAACCCTGCCTATGTAACTAACACGGCACTGTCAAAGTTGGCGTGTATTGATTTGTGTTATTTAAGTTTAGCATGATCACATCTTGATGGAGATTGGGGTTTTAGCCTTGTGTCTTTTGGCCATCGTTTTTACTTAACATTGTTCACACTATAGACGTAGTTGCGTTTCTTTGCTCCTTTTTAAAAGTTTTTAAAATGTCTCTTTGACATCATTGATGCACTCTTACACATGCGTTTTTGTCGCATTGTGTTGAGTCAATTGTCAAGCTGGAACTTTGCGAAAATGTTCTTGCGTGAATGAAAAAATGTTGCCGTATAATATGCAACATTCTTATTAATTTTAATAATACTTACATTTAAACAGCATTGTTTCTGGCGAATACTAGTCTAAAGGAAGGGGATTGGTGGTGCCGTGATTAGTGCGCTGAACTGTGAACCCGCCGACGTCAATAGCGAGACATTTCTGAACCAGTGCTGGACACCCCCGGCCCCCACCTCACCAACCTGCACTGACCAATCCTGGTGACACATGGTCAAGCAAACCCACAAGACAAAACAAGGTGCAGGGAGGCCTTCATCTAGCAGAAGTGGGAAAGGACAGTTGTTTCATAATGCTTCATTCCAATCTCCTTTATGAGTAATGTTAGATAAATTTATTTACGTAACACACTCTACCGCGGGCCACATTTGTTGATTAACTGATGCCGCCGATGCACTTGCCAATTCAGCTGCTGGTGACGGGATAATATTATAATAATTTACACTTATAAAGCTCGTTTTACCCAGAGGTCGCAAGACGAGTATTTCGCCACTAACAATACAAAAAGTATCCCACATAATTTAAAACGTACAAATTGTAGTGGTATAAATAAGCTGAACAGTAAAGATAAAAACTAGCAATACATCAAAGATTAAAGTTGAACGCCAGATTGACGAAGCAGCAGAGCAGAGGCAGCAAAGAGTCTTGCCAACATTCCCCACCCCCTCCACGGGATTGCTCGAGTCGTGTGCGTGAGCGTAAGCTGTCGTGCATTCAACAATCTTTACAAGTGACTGCATCAAACTCGAGCACTTGATCATCACCGCATGTCGTTTGTCACCTCTCCCCGGAGGGAAATATTTGTTACTGTCAGTCATATTCATACTCGAGACTTCAGAGTTTAGAGTGATTTTTGTTTCTTCAGCCGCATCTTTTTCACGTGATGTATAGTTGTGCCAATTGTGTAGCCATCGAGTGTGTAGGCAGTCCAACTGCAACGGCACTGAGGCTCACGGGAACTAATTGTGTCCAGACGCCGGGCTACGATGGCGGAGGTCCTGGAAATTGGACAGGAGGCCCCCATTTCTTTGCTTACATCAGACAGCCATTACCAACCATGCTATGCCGCCACTGTGTTGTACCCATATGAAAGCCAAGTCACAGCCACATCGGATGCTCGTTTAACTCTGCCAACTGTAACGCCCGAACTGCATGGTGCAAGTGCAGCAATGGCACTGCAGTGGAAGTGGCAGTGTGCCCGTGAACGAGCGTGCAGCATGACAAATCGAAACCCATGCTGCTGGTGGAAATGACGCTTCCCTGTGTTGTATAGTAGTTTGTTATAAAATCATGGTGGTGATCGGTTAACGCTTGTGTACCATATCTAACAACAGGGGCGTGGACGCAAGGAGCCTTGCGTCTGTCTTTGTGTGTGCTTCTGTAGCGTGGTTCACGTGGTGTCATGCAATTACGCACCTCCGATTAGCACGGTTGGCTACGTATGGCGTGAAAGAAGTTGTACATACAAACATTCGTGCCGTTTGTCTGATATAAATTTATCTGCCTATCTGTTTGTCCTCTGGATAGTTTTGTCCATCTGGCTGTAGTTTTCTCCCGATGTCTGCCTCTATCAGTGCCTTTCCGTCAACCTTTCAGCATCTTAGACCGTCGTTTTGCCTCTATCCCTCTCCGTATATATCTAACTGTCCTTACCGTCTGTGGCGTCCGCATGGCTGCGACAGGGAAACGCTGAAGATGCATGGCGCCGGCGCTGGAGGCACCCGTAACATCTCGGGCACGAGCCGCTTCCATGTCGAGTTGGAGAAGGAGCTGGCAAGCCTGCACGGCAAGGACGCCGCGCTCCTCTTCACCTCGTGCTTTGTTGCCAACGACTCCACCCTCTTCACCCTCGCCAAGATGCTACCTGGTCAGTGTAACCGGCGGCACGTGCGCGCACACGGGCACGCGTAGTACATTGCACGCGATCGCTGTGATCAATGATGTGAGACTGTCCCGAAATTGTGGGCTGCGAAGTTTGGCCACGTGTCAAGCAGATCTTCTCTCAAACTTTCGACGCGCAATGCTGCGGTCATCTCCAACTGCAAGCCTAGCACCACGACGCACCCATGGCACTTGCCACCACTTGGTGGCGGTTTGGTGGGCAGTCGTCGAGAATTAGAATGGGCGCCAAAGCCTTTGACGTTGCAGCAGGAAAGTTTTGGAACAACTTTGTTTCCTCCCTTAATGTAAATCTTCCTTTAAAAAATATCCTGACGCAGAAGATTAGTGCTGGATACAAGTACATTGGAAAATGTGATTTGTAACTTTGATCTTTACCCGTGTGTCAATTGTTACATTTTAACGTGCCTTGTCTTTCTGTGGTCTGGGACTGTTGTTGTTTTGCTGCCGTGCTCAAGCTTGCATTTATTGTTGAAAAATTGGCAAGAATTGATAAACTTTTGCAACATGTACTTGTATACTTTATTTATTTGTTTTGTTATTGTAACTTTCTGACCCGCGCCTACTGGAGATCTGTGAAACGGAGCTTCATAGCTTATTGGATTCCTCCTGCAGTATAAATACAAATTATGTTTCTGAGTCGCATGGGGGTTAAACGATTTGAATGATGATCTCACTACCTTGGCCATTAACAACACCTTGAGCAGTCGGTATTTTAACTTTGCCTGGGTCTCTTCTAAGTCATCCCAGCATGAAATGAAAACCAGGGTCACATTGTAGCCTCTTCCCCCTTTCAAGCAATTGTCAGCCTTTGTAGGTGCTTGCAAATAGTCCTTAGACCAACAAGTCTGGCAGGTCCTAATCATTGACTTTCGGTGTTTTAACACCGAAAAGCATAGCTGCATTTCCCCCCTCGGTAACAACAATCATACATCTTCAAGCGAATAAGCATTTGCTTTCATAATGTGAAGCTGGCTGGCAGGCAGTCAATAGTGATTTAAATAATCCACTCCTCCCACTGCACGGCAGCTACGCATTTGAGGAGTGGCAAATAAAACCACAAATTGCTTTCCCTCGAGCGACAATATTGTTCAAAGCTGTAAAATTAACACCCCTTCTCACACTTTTTGGCAGACTTGCTTGCACAAGCCTTTTCGAACACAAACCACAAGCGTTTGCCCAACAGGCACAGCTCGATAGATTTTTGGGAGCACGGTTTGCCAATTCTCATAAAATATTCAAGCACAGATCTGTGTTCTCTTCTTTATTAAGCACTTTGCAACTCACAATAAGATATGGGAGAGAAAAAAAGCAATCCTGATATTATACTGACGCTCACTTGGTAAATTAAGTGAAATTCACGCATTATTATTTTTGGATGATCGTCAATCCACAAGTTTCTGTAAATGAAGGCCTCCCCACGAAGTGTTGACGTTATGCCAAAGAGCACTCGCTATAACTCAAACACATGGGCTATAGGGGTAGGGAGTCGACGGTGCGCATTGCAAGGGGAGTTGCAGATATGGGACAGCAGAGCAAAACGAGTGATCATGCACAGAGCCAAGGTTAATTGGAGCGGGGAGTGCTTTAGAGAAGAGTAGAGTGAAATGAGAGGGGAGAGGTTTGTGGTGAGTGTATGAAGTGGGGAGATGGAAGGGCAGACGAGAGGTTGGCACGGGAGAGTCCATGAGTTTCATTAGCCCAGACCAGATATTTCACTTTTCAGTGGTTCTATTTTCTTTATTTGTCTAATAAGAATGAATTACGTGATAACCAGTTCAAAGGAGTAGGTTTTCAAACAATGAACTTTTATTAATCATGTAAAAACATCGGTACTCCGAAATAAAGTATTGTTACATTAAGTTGTTCCAATTTGAGCTATAGCCCATGGGCTAAGTGGAGTTATCTTGAAGATGGCGAGCGCGGTTTTGACATTGGTCTGGGCTTTTTTTGGTTGGTATTAGCGTGGGGTTGGGGGTTTTTTGAACCCTTAAAAATTTTAATTGTCGCTTTTATTTGTTGTGCTTTCTCTTTTTATTGCCGCACGTGAAAGGCTGCGAGATCTACTCGGACGCAGGGAACCACGCGTCCATGATCATGGGCATTCGCAACAGCCACGTGCCCAAGTTTGTCTTCCGCCACAACGACCCGGTGCACCTCGAGGAGGTGCTGAAGCGCTCTGACCCCTCCACGCCGAAGATCGTCGCCTTCGAGACCGTGCACTCCATGGACGGTAGGCGGCGCGCCCGACGCTCACTGTCGATCACCTCCGCTCACGAGAGCGCGGCTCCGAATCGCGGCTCGTCGCAAACGGCTACGGTTCATGATTCCTCTCTGAGTCATGCGAATTTGAACGACAAGGGCCTGTGGCCAAATTACCTGGAATGCGCCCTGATCCGACGAGACTCGATTATAATATACATTGGAATTATCATGCCTGACTAAAAAAAAACTTGGCAGGACCCTCCTGAAAAAAGAGTCATGATACTTGGTGAGGCTTTCCCGGATGAACAAGCGTAATCATAACAGGAAGACCGAGCGGGCTAAGCAGGACTAAAACCTGACATGTGCTTGGATGGGTTACCACTTTGCACAAAAACAGGTGTTGTCGGCATTGTGTATGTTTAACTTCTTTTGCACCAAACCTAGCCAACCGCGCTAATCGGAGGTGTTGGGGAAGCACAACAAACTAAACACAAAAAGCAGTTATAAGGAGAGGAGTTTTCAATCTAGGTTTAAAAGTGCATAGCTCCAGTGGCTTCCTAATATCGTAAAGAAGAGTGTTCCAGACAGACGCAGAAGCGCATCTGGAAGCGAGCAATGCGGTGACCGTCTTTGTTCGATGGCGCGTCAGGAAAATCCATTCACCAATCCGCACCGACCAGCCTTGTGAAGTATAGCCACATATCCCTCGCGGGCGACATGACTTCGGGAGGTCCTCAACCAACAGTAGCTTTACAAGCGTGCTGTATGTGTACATATCGATGAAGATGACAAAACTTTACAAACGAGACAAAACAATCGACAGACAATGCGAATGAGATTGTTAAAACGGCACATTCTTTTCAATTGAGTCGTGAACCCAAATCGTTGCAGTTCACCATTTTTTGATTACGCAACCTTCGCTTACCAGCGTGGTGATGTTTGGTAAAATAACTCCCACGCATTCCACGGCAAGAAAATATGGGCTAAAACGCAGAGAGATGGAACAGTGGGGGGAGTACAGTTGGTGCATCTCAGTCAGTCAACCCATGGCACCTGGGTCTGTTCCGTGACCTCCTGCCAGCGGGCCTTGGACACTTCACGTGGCCGCGAAGTGCACCAAGAATAGCATGCTTCGTGTTGAACGGCGGTTGTTGTTGAAATGTTGGTACATGGCTCATCGGTTCTCCCGCGATTTTCTCCGCAGGTGCCGTGTGCCCCCTGGAGGAGATGTGTGACATTGCTCACAAGTACGGCGCCATCACCTTCGTGGACGAAGTGCACGCCGTGGGGCTGTACGGCGCCAATGGCGGCGGCATCGGCGACCGCGACAACGTCATGCACAAGATGGACATCATCTACTGGCACCCTGGGTACGGCTCTTGGCGTCGCGACCACAGCCACGAATAACCCGGAGTGCAGGATGTGGCCAACGTTAAAGAGACCACTGCAAAAACACCGAGTCTGCCGCAAACCCAAAATTAAAACAGTCGCCACCATCCCAGCTATGCCACCCCCAACACAACCACCACTGCTGTGTGTGTAATGCTGCATTGTTTCATGTAATCACATCGCGTTAACTTTCTATTCGTTGCAGATTCTGCATTGAACGCACTGGCAAAAATAATAATTGTTTCTGGATTTGAATTGCCACTCCAAATAGCGATACTCCATTGAAGCTCAAGTTTCAACATGCGTTTCTATATACGACTTTATTTCCTCCGTCACCGCCACCACCACCACCGCAGATAGAACCACCACAATCATTACAACCTTCGCCTCAATCACAATCAATATTACCTCTCCTTCCGCAAACACCTTTAATTACCTCCTGCACGAAAAAAGTGTCCACCTATAACCTACGTAGACTGTTGTGGAAAGTGATGTTAGCGAGCATCTATTAAGACTGGCTTCGCACACAAGGATATGGTGTAACCACCACTCCTTTGATGATTGCACATCACAGTAGGTACTCATTTAATGCCGAGTCAAACTAGGGGAAGCCCAGGACTGATTCGGATCGTTTTATGTTGGCCGTGCCTGAGAATTGAACCCAAGGTAACTGGGCTAACCACGATAAAACTGCTCCATCCAAGGTCACCAGGACATTGCTGAATTCTTCCGTTGGGTTCTGTGATGCGAGCTGCTGGGGGTCCTTTGGCCGTTTCCTTCCCGCGACCTCTAAGCGACCCCTCCCCGTTGTGTGCTCGCTGCTGGACACCCTCCCTATATTGGGCACGTGACCGTGAATGTGTGTACGTGTCGGACGTGCAGGAGGCGGCATTCCACCTCCCTGCTTTTGCACGTCCCACACGTTGCAGCATAAACTTTCTCCTCGTTGGAAAGGGCGTATGCATTCGCACGCACAGGCTCTTTATTTATTTATTTTATTTGCTTGTAGTATTATTATCTCTCCCCCATGCGATTTTTTAGATTCTTTTTTGGCTTGCACTTTTAACAGCTTTTAACGTGCCTACGGCAGCACTTCTCAAGTAAACGAATCAAATCGTTGAAGCCCCCCCCCCCCCCCCCCCCCCCAAGTGTAACACTGCAGTACCCATTAATGAGAAGGATGAATGTATTACGATCATTAAAAGAGGCACCCCTGAGATCTTCCATGAGACTTAAAGTTTAAGCCCATTTTTGTCAGAGGGCTTTCTTGTTTAATTACCTCGTGATGATTTAACGAAGCCATCGGATAATTTAAGCATAGAGTGAGAACTCTCTGTGGACCGATGCTTTGTGTCAAGTGCGCTACACTGTCTTCCAGTGTGTGCCGACGCCTTGGGTTTCCAGCTCCTTAATACCTGTTAACAAAATAGCAATAGTTTCCTGTTGGGAGGAAGTCTGAATAACAAATTCACTCTTTGATTTTGATATATACAATGAGTTCGTTTTGTATATATGTAATATGTTGAACTTCTTTCGCATTGTACATGGCCAACCGTGATAATCGGAGGTGAGAGGAAAGGTTGACAAACCAAACACAAAAATCATGCATCGTCTTATACGATGCACGATGAGTGCAGTAGATTTGAAAGCAATTTACCGTTAATAAATGAAACCAAATGCTTTCTCCCTTGAAGACAGATGTGGGACAGATTATGACTTTATACAACTTCAAAAAAAACTTTCTAAAACCAGTGATGCCATCTAAAGTCTTTAAAGATACACAATGCAAAAGTGCATTGTGTCTGTCCCATGACCACCTGCCACTGAGACTCCTGACACTTCATCTGGCCTTAAAGTGCACCTAGTCTGGCATAAAAGTCGTGGTGCCATCACCGTCGTCTAGGGAGACTAATAGCAGCTGTTTACGTTGTCAACAAGGTAATCCGAGTTCTGCTCCACTTATGTCGGGGTGTGGGCCAGTGGTGTCTGTCAGTGCCGTGACTTGCTTGCCCAAGCTGCCCTGCCCTGTCACTCCACATTCGGAGCTGCACCCAGATTTTCCCAGCGTGATATGTGGTTGCAGGCAATCCGTACATATGTGTCAGAAACGTTACATGGTTATATGTGCCAGCAGTCTTAAACTTAACTTTGTGTCATCTATCCATATTAACTTAATATGTTATTCCTGGTTTACTTTAGTGTTTTCTCCTGTAGTGGAAAACTATACATTTTGGTAACACATAAATAAATATATAAATGCATTCGATATATTTTTCTCTATTATCTCCATCACCAAAGCCGCAAGTACCACAACCTTTTTATTTACGATGTCTCTGCATTTTACACTTCAGCGTGAATTATGCTGCCACTGCTCCCATCTGTCCATTTATTTTCCGGCTGCGTCTATGTATGTATGTTGCACCTGTTTCACACTGTACGTAGCCAACCGTGCTAATCGCATGTGCGGGAGAAAGGACGACAAATTTAACACGAAAAGCAGTTCTTGATAAATTAATTTTCAATCTAGACCCAATGTGACGTACGTGCGTTCCGTGTGCCCATGCATGTTTCGTTCTGCCCCGGCAGGCAAGGCCTTCGGCTGCGTGGGCGGCTACGTGGCAAGCACGGCGTCGCTCATCGACACCGTGCGCTCCTACGCCGCCGGCTTCATCTTCACTACGGCGCTGCCCCCGATGGTGCTGGCCGGCGCGTTGGAGAGCGTGCGCGTGCTACGCAGTGCCGAGGGGCAGGCGCTGCGCCGTACACACCAGCGCAACGTCAAGTACATGCGCCAGCTGCTCATGGACGCCGGGCTGCCCGTTATCCACTGCCCCAGCCACATCATTCCTGTGCTGGTGAGGCCATGCTGCCGGGATGGGCTTTTTTTGTAAATGTAAAATAAATATTTTTTTCCAGATTTGATTTAGAGAGTGCGATCGATATGGTCTCTCGTGAGACTAAGTATATCCATTCGGAATTCTTAGAGCAGTGCAAATATTTGTTGGAGAATTGCTCACAGAGGTGGGTATCACGGAGGTAGCTTGTGACATCCCTTCACGTTACCTCTGATCCACACAGGAGGGGGCAGCAGGGCTTTCTACTGTCTCAGCCACTGAGAAAATCGTTCGTAATATGGCAGTGAAAACCAATATTTTTTAATTTGAAGAGATGGGAATTAGCCAAATGAGGTGCAGAACCAAATTTAATATGGGCGCTGAACTCTTGAGGTCTGTAACTGCTACCATATAAAATTTGTAACAACTGTAGAATTCGATTGTGTGTTTTAGAATTTCTTTACACTTTGAAATCAAACTGAATAACATCACAAGCTATACATGGGATAAATTTGGTCCTTCTTGGAAATAACGGGGGTTTTGTTATAAATCCTGAGTTACCAGTGCATCCCACGCCTGAATCAGTCCGATATTTCGAGGACACACTGCCGGTGCAGATTCAGTCTCCTTCCATGTGCACAAGGCATTGTAACAAAAGCCTCAACGTCTATGCAGCGTTTCGCAGTTGTGCAGCATAGCTGTCCGATGTGTTTTCGGGGTTGGACCGCTTCACGGGCAAAAACACATGGGAGAGTTGAAGGCTAAACGGGTTTTTCCACATTAAACCACTGCCTCCTGCCGCTCCCTGCAGGTCGCCAACGCTGCTAAGAACACAGAGATCAGCAACGAGCTGATGGCCCAACACAACATCTACGTGCAGGCCATCAACTACCCGACGGTGCCTCGTGGCGAGGAGATGCTACGCATCGCGGTCACGCCCCACCACACACCGCGCATGATGCAGTTCTTCGTTGGTAAGAGCGCCGCTGCGTCGCCTCTCACCCCCGCGTGCGGTTCTGTTGGGCCTCTTCATAACGTCTCGCCAATCGGTCGTCCAAGTTTCATAAATGCTGGCCCTGTGTCCTGAAGCTTTTTTGAAAATCTGAATATTGGCCCCGATTTCGAATTTTCTGGCCTCATGCGTGGCTCGTGATGCATACAAAGGGCGGGGCTACCTTAATAGTGGGTGGGCTTGGCAGAAGAGTAGGCGGAACCACCATCAGAAACATCCAGAAGGCCACTCAATGCATATGTGCGGGGCTAGTGATTGAGTGGGTATAACGACGTTAACATGGGGGAGGGGCTGCCAACTCGCTGTTTGCCAGTTGAGCCTTACAGAAAACTTGGTAGAATTTACCTTAGACTTTGCCTTTTCCGGCGATGTCGCATCTGAACCTCCATGTGCCGCCGCTGGCTCGGGTGATGTGAATTGCTACTTGTTTCAAGGTGGCATCCAACAGTATGCCATGTCCTCCCTTCGAGCTGTGTGCATCTCGGTATGGATTTCAAAGAGCATCACTTGCAAGACTAGTAGGACGAGTAGCTTACCTGATGTGATGGTTGCTTGTGTTGCAATCGAAACGTCGAATTCTATTATTATTTTATTTTCTACGTGACTTTACCGAAAGACCCAAAGAGTAATTCCTGCAGTCACGAAAGCTTCGAATCTAGTTTGCAGTTAAGAAGTTCGTAAGTTTATTTCCCAAGTGAGGCGATTGAGCTGTCAAGGCCGACTCTGCCAGCAGACATTTTGCAAGTTATTCATGTTTAAATATATATTTTATTATTGTCTGTCGCATTCATATTTCCACAGTTATTGAGTAAATGAGGCATCGTAATTAAAGGCTAAACATCTACGTCCTGCAGTATCTCTGATAAACATTATTGAGTGCCCATCCCGACCCAAAGTCTGGGTGAAAGCAGCAGCTACGTAATGCGAGCCGCAGACTCGGAAGTTCTTTCAGAAATAAATGTGTGCATGTACAGCCACTATAGTCCACCCACTGCTGGTTAAGAGTCTCGTCCATCTCGTGTGGGTCAAGAGTGGGTTATTTTACCATACTTCACAACACTGATCAGTACGTGATGGTGAAGGCAGGGAGCATAGTGCAACAAAACAATTGATTTTGCTGTGCTGTCATCTGCTGGCATTTTTATCCCTGGATAAATCCATACCATTTTAATATTCTCAATTCGACGGGCGACTGCACCACTGTGGGGGGAACTGCCTTCGAACGGTCGCAATGCTGACATCGCACCTTCACCCGTCGTCCGCCCACTCTCCCACTTGCCCCTTCCCCGCCGCAGACAAGCTGGCCGCCGCATGGAAAAGCGTCGGCCTGGACCTGCGTCCTCACGCCTCGGCCGAGTGCAGCTACTGCAAGATGCCCATCCACTTCGAGCTGATGAGCGCTCGCGACAAGGTCTACTTCAACGGCATGAGCCGCGCTCCCAGCTCTGTGGGCGTCGCCGCCTAGAGGAGGCGGCTGCCGACCCGACCACCCCGCGGCAGCCCAACGCTCCCCTGGCTTCCCCCACTTAGGGCGAGCCTGGAGTGGCGGTGAATGGGCGTAGGGGGCGCTCCAGTTTGAATCGAGGCACAAGCGGTCACAGGAGAGAAATATTTAGGTCCGAGAATACTAATATGGGCAAACGGTGATTTCGAGATGACACAATTGTGACTTCAGGGTCAGAACTCCCATTATGCCTTGCTTGTTACATGACGCTCTATCTTATTCTGTGTGTACTAACGCACACAGCCTTGTTTTAAACCACCAACTCAAAAATCACCTTTTGCGTGTAACATTTGTTTTCGGCCTGCGTACTTCTGTGTTGTTTCTCATCAGGGATAGAAAAAATGTCAGGATCGGTTTATCTGTGCATCTGTTTCCATCCAGTTTTTTTTTATTACCGCACTGTCGGGTTAAATTTGTGTGCACTGTCGAGAAGTGAGTTTGGCAAGTGTATGCGCTCACTTGTTGTTTGAGATCAGATACGCACATTTTGATCCGAACAATTGTGCCAGTCACTATTGAAATCACCATTGGAGATTGCTTCGCATTGCTTTTGTGATCAGCATCGGGAACTTATGTCGATCCATTATATTTTACAGAGGTGGATCATTCGGGATGGGTGCAGATCACAAATACAGTCGGGATTAGCATGCAAAAAGGAAATATCTATCAAAAAGTGGCTTTTTCTGATTCGACCGTTTTTTTGTGAATTCATAATGTGGATGGAAACAGCCATTTAATAGTGCACTATTTAAATAAAAATCCAGTAAATTTCATAAGTCACTGTATTATGTGATTATCACATAAATAACTACGTGTATCGGTTATCTTGTACAAGTAACTTTATATCCATCCTGCTTGGAAACTGACTTAAGTTACAATGTGATGCCCATATAAACCTTATGTGGCCCTGCTGGTAACATCAACTAAAACAAGGATTGCAGTGGAATTGTTACATTATGTTACAATTACACATGTAATCTTAACAGTGCTCCTTTTTGCACAGCGTGGAGTTTTGACTCTGCATCGTTGGGATGCATTTTTTTTTAAATAGTGCACTTTGTAAATGATCTACAAAAATCGCTTGTGCCTCGATTTCATTTGTTAGTCAAGGAGTGCTTTAGGTTCACTGTGGGGTGGAACTCGTATAGATGGGGAAAAGAAAAAAAAGAAAAAAAATTGTAAAATGCAAACATAAATAAGACGGACCTGCAGTGAAAGGGCATGTCGTCCCTGAGAGCAGTGAAGACCAGGCGGTGGTGTACACACGTACACGTACAGACATGCCGGCAAGGCATTATGGGAATCTCTCATGATGCATTGCAGCTGAAACACCCTCACCCAATTATTGTCTGTAGTGCATCCTTGAAATATCGTGGGTGGACTCCTAAAAATATGGAAGAAAATGGAAACATTTTGTCTCGCTTTCCCAAAACTCAAAAAATTGAAAGAGCACACAAAGCAATGCTGCCTCGTCAGCTGCATCTCCACGCCACGCATAAACCTTACATGCCAAGCCGGTCACAGCGTAGCACTGTACTTTACAGTGACTACTTTAGTGCATACCATTATACATTGCAGAATTGTCTTGTGGTGTATTTTTTATTTTTTTTAGATTGTTTCATCCAAAAACGCAATATAAATAGCATTGCATGCTATAATTGGGGACATATTTGGTCTCTATGGAAATAAGAGGGATTTTTATTAAGAAAACAGAAAAACTGGCACACTCCACCTCAGAATTGGCCCAATATGTCAAGGACACACCGTTATTATTCGATGAGAGGTGCACTGCCTCATGGGCCAGACGTACCACTTCACTGCAGCCGTTTTTCAATCAAGCGAGCTCGGGTTTATGCCACCGCGTGGCCATGCGAGGGCAGGAGAAGGGTCGGAGGGGGGAGGCAGGAAAGTTTTATGGTTCCCAGTCCCATTCCGTGAGTTTAAAAAAAAAAACGCTCACCGCCACGGGTGCGAGAGGTCCGTATCAAAGTTGTGTGCGGTTATGGCGGGCACATGCCACCAGCCGGTGTTTATTGTAGCAGCCAATAAAATGCCGATGGACTGATGGTGCTGCCCGTTGTTAGACTGAGCCAAGGCCAGCCGTTCACTTGTTGGTACCACCTGAGTTGGCATCACAGCCATGGTTAGAATGTATTTATGTGGCCAATAATATTGAATTATGGAATAACCATTTGATATGAGTGGTGTTATCAAGTAATTCACCCTCATTTGCCATATAAATATTTTGGTACCTTCGATGTTAACTCTGACTACATCTGAAAATATCAGGCTCTTTAAGATGAAAAACTTACATGACATCTACTCTGCCTCTGACTTCTCGATTCTGTTGGTGGTCCTTGAGGCCTGAAGTGCAATTTTTAATCAAAGGTAAAATTTGTACTTTGCCAACTCTTTTGTGCAGTTGTTGTCGTCACTTTGGTTTGTAATGAAATGAGGTGCTTTTACAGTTGTACGTGTGCAGCCTTAAAACCGTACTTGGTGCAGAAATTGTTAGGCAATAAACACAGACTGCATTGTGCTGTGAATAATCAGGGTACCTGATAATATCTCGGTAAAAGGGCCTTTATGCCACTCAGACCTTACTTTTTTAATACCCAAGCCACTACAAACATGGGAATACTTTTTCACAGCACATTTTAAAATTGGCTAAAATCTAGCAGAAATATTTTAATTGGCATTGTGTTCTCCCCTTTGTTGTTTTATAAAAACCTATGACCAGACAAATGGGATACTTTTTTCTCTTAAACTTTTATACGTTTTTGTTGACGTAAATAGTTTGAACGGTAGCTGTTGACCAACAGGCATTGAAAAATAAGACCATCGCTGAGAATGCTACTTTATTTTTTACTTAAACCCGTTTGCAACCTTCACGTAACATTTATATCCTCACCCTCATGTAATATTGTCCGCCTTGTGCTGCGTGTTGTCCAGTACATACCTGAACACATCGGCGAGCCATACGCCGCACCACTGCAAAAACCTACGCAGTTGTACAACATGTAGATTAACCACTAAAATACCCATCAAAACAAGCTTGGTCTATTTTCACTCTTGTCCTGATCCAGAACTACTTTTTAAGAACACTTTGGATACCAGCCCAGTAGGGCAAAAACATTACCCATTGAGCCGAGAGGGGAAAAAAACCTGAGGTGAGGGTACTTGTCAGGTCACTCCCAACAAGGAGATGCCATCCCAGACATTACAAAACAATACACAGCTCGAATTACACACCAGTTTTCCATTTGTTGCCAGACAATTATTGCATTAATGCAGGGGTGAGCAATCTTTAAGGTCTGCAGGCTGGATAGGCCTCGTGCGGCCCACAGCCACACGAGGCCTTCCAACATCTGAGCCGCGCTAATTGAGTACTAGAGGGCGTAAAATTTTAAATCTGGTAACACGATTTCTAATTTTATCATGCTCAATTACATGTTGCCTTTTAAAGTATATCTGAGCACACATGCAATGAATCCCGACCTAACGTGATCGCTTTTTTCGTGCGATCCGATGAAGGTATTTGAAAGTCCTATTCGGCGCTTGATGAGGACGAGATTTTCCCCACCCCTGTGTTAGCCACGCGGCTCGTTTCGGTGTTTATATTGGGTCCCCCCTGCACCCACATGCAGCGATACTAGCAGACCGGCGGCTCTGTGAACTGACCAAGAGTCGCAGGATCTCGCATCGAGCTTTCCGAACTTTGCACGTTCAGATAATCTGTGTGACCAAATAGATTTTATACTCTGGATTGATAGGTGCTTCCTGTTATATACAATTACACATATATAAAGCTAAATGATTACAGGTATGTTTTAAACCACACTTTGTACTTTATGGCTGGGCAATCAATACTCGTTTTGTTGTACGATGCTTGTATGGATCAATGCTTGTCCAACTGCGCTTACATGCACAACGTTAAACAGTAAACTTGTGTCTCTGGACATTGCTGCAATTGAGCCGAGTTCCCATCTATCTGGCTCCCAATCTGTGATAGTGGTGCCATGAGACTTGGGTGTCATACAACACAGCACTTTGTGATAATTGCCCTGCTCTAATTGTACACTGTGTTAGATAAGCCAAGCCAGTTTTAAGCTACTGCGTTGGCTGATTTTTGGAGTGGTGTGTGTTCTGTTGGCGCTTAAGTTTTAAATAGACATTCAAATTGGCCTGAAAAAAAAGGATGACTTCACTCAACAGATGAACTTGCCTCTGGAGTCCCATAGCCACACGGAGCATATGATCAGGCCTGTGAGCACGTGGTCACACCTGTGAGCACGTGGTCACACCTGTGAGCACGTGGTCACGTGTGTGAACATGAACAAAACCACAATCGAACAACGCACATGCATGGCTCATATCGCTCCTATTACAATTTTATTCATTGCATTGCCATCTCCGAGTACATTACGAAGAAGTGCGTGCGCGTCAAACGATCAACTTCAGCATCTTATACCAACGCTGCATCAAAATCACTTTGTCCTGCCGATGACGCCAGCTTTAACATGATACCCCTGTGGCATTAATCCGCTGTTCGTTGGTTCATCCATCGCCCGTTCTTTTTTTGTTGCCGTTGTTGAGGAATGCCCCACACAAGTCTGTCTGCCTATGCATTGCCCCCGTGCATGACTGGGCATTCTGAAGATGTCATCACGCCTGAACGCCGCCCCCGGTTTTGAGGGTGCATCTTATTAACTTAGAGCATTGCCAATTTGTACGGACATCCCAATGTGGCCGCCTGCAACAGGGATATTGGTTCCACGCGCCCTGTTGTCTTTTGCCAGTGTAACAGTCGTTTAATGAAAACGACGATAATAATTGCATTTTGTGGCAGAAATATGATAGTATTATCTGTAGCATTACAGCATGTTACAACAAAGTAACAATTGCTGTTTAAGAAATATACCAAATCTATTTACTAGAGGTGTAACGATTGCACTTTCTCATCAATGTTGTATCGTAAGCTCACGATATATGCGTTCAATTGCCTCTGTAATAGACGTTTTTAAATGTGCTGTATTAATGGGTTCGTGTGACTCCTGCAGCCACTAGTAGCCGCTACATGGACCACGACGTTGAAAACAATGTTTTAAGAAAGTCATTCTCGAGTCGTATCATGGAATTGCGTCAAAATCGCCGTTGCTGGTGAATCGTTACACTTCTGCCAATTACGACGATGAATGTGAACATTATGCCGGAATCATTACAGCTGTCGCTGGCGAGACGGCCGATATCGTGAGCAGTCGAGTTGTGACGTGTGGACTGATGGAGGTGGTGTCGGAGCAGTGGCTGCCCCCCCACTCGGCCACCAGGGATCTCAAACCCGACGCCCTGCAGCAGACTGACGTGTTTGCCTCTCTGTCACATCACACAAGCAACAAGTCCCCCCCGCGTTTGGATGCAGCATTAGGTTCGGGGGAGGGGGGGGGTAACTTTTACCTTGCCGAGGGACGAGATGTTATTTACCTCGCATGGAATACAGGTGGTCGGTTCGATCCCGACCTTGAAGCCTGCCATATATTTGGAGTTTGAATGTCTCTCTCCTCGTGGTAATGTGGATTTTTCTCCGGGTTTTCCAGTTTTTCGCTCTACATTTAGAAAGTATTTGGCTGCTTTCAAAGTCCACATGATAGGCCACTTCGTTGAGCTTTCATTTGTGGCCTGGTCGCTTCTGAAAAAGAGCTATATAGCTCCGTGGGCCTTACCTGGTAAAATAAAAATAGAATTGGGACTTTCATTTTATACCTTTGGCCAGCAACCAAAACAAAGATTCCCCATATTGCCTTGGACGGACACGTGCTGTTAGCGAGCATTTAGCAAACAAGGGTGGCCAACACCACTCCTGGCCACCTTTTGCCTTCCTAGTGCTTATGTTTACACACCACAAAAGATACTAATTTAAGGCTGAGTCGACCTAGGGGACGCCCAGGACCGGTTCAAACATACGCCACTAATTGGTCAAGAGTTGGAATCGAATTCGGGTCGCTAGGTTTATAGCGCAGTGGGCGTATCACCGCACTTAATCCCCCGTATAACTTTAGACTTTTGGGACAAGTGCTCTTAGCAAGCGCCTGTAAAGGCTGGCGTGGCACTTGAGGGGTTGGGTGGCCAGCACCATGCCCAGACGCCTTAGTCTCCCGAGTGGCGATGTTTACACACTACACCAGGTGCTCATTTGAGGCTTAGTCGACCTAGGGGAGGCCCAGAACGAGTTCAGATAATCGTCACACTGGTGTTGGTCGTGAACGTGAATCGAACCTGGGACGCCGGGTTCCGTAGTGCAGCGTAGCGCGAACCACTTGCACTACACCGCTCCCCTCTGCGAGCAACCACATTCAGACGCGCGCGCGCCACAATCACCTCTCGCATGCGAGGACCTCTTGAAGTGACACAAGTGACCGAGCACGCAAGACCTCTCCTCTCGTACCCGAGTCGTGCTGCTAAGATCCTTTGCAGGGACGGATACACATCGTTTTACTGGCCGTGTCTTAAGTGATAGGCCCCTCGTGGTCACGGGCCGTGAGTTCACTCATTTTTTTCTATTCCATTGCACGGTCTCGCTTTGTCCGTCAGCGACCGGTTACATGAACCCACCCCCCTTGTATGTTTTGCTTCTTTCAACACCCGCGAGTGTTATTGAAAACTGCTTTGGGTTACAGACAATGTGGCACTTGGCTGGCCCCAGGGTTTCTCAAATTATGTCCCTGCTTACCAGTGTGTTACCCTCTCTACGGCTTGTTAAGAATTAGCCGAATGTTTATGCGACCCGTACTTTTTTAAATATAAATATATACTTGCGTTTTGTCTAAAAGCTTTTAAAAACCGTTATTCGTGTAAAGTATTTACAAAACTATTCCCCGTGTTGTAGGAAGTGCTAGAAGGCCCTCGTCACCATCGGCAGTCCTCAGCCAGTGGTGGGTATTCTTGCCTCTGGTATGACCCAGTGCCATCTCCCTCGTCTGGTATGCAGGAGGTCGTGGGTTCAATCCCAACCCTGACGCTGGGGTCCGCGTCTCTCTCTCTTTCCCCAGGGGCGCGTGGATTTTACTCCAGGTCCGGTTTTTCCCTTCACAATTTAGAATCAACATACTTTGAGCATTTGGCCGCTTACATTTCCACACAAGCCACTTAGAGACACATTGTGAGAGATACAGAGAAAGACAAAGGCATCAATGGACATAAACCGTTCAGAGTGTTTTGGGGACCCCTAAATAATCAGAGCCCCTGTGCACATGTTAAAACTAAACTATATTTTTTTCCAGGTAAGGCCCACTGAGCTACGTAGCTCTTTTTCAGAAACAACCTGTCCAAAATGAACCCGTAAAAACTAAGTTTTTCACTATAAATCCTTTATATGCGTGGCATCGGGGCGGCTAGAGTCCTCTCGTCCTCTGGCTTGAGATGGCTGCCACCTATGGGTCAGATGATTGTCTGCCACCATTAAGCAATTGGTAATTAAATATTTATTTATTTTTCCCTAAACAGTGTAAAATTTTGGAGAAAAAAAATTCACGAAAATTAATTGTCACGCACAACGAGTCTGTGTGCAAAATGTCAGCTCCATTGGATCACGGGAAGTGGGTTAAAAAACGACCGAAAGATTTGCACGGTCGTAAGCAAGCAAGCACGCAAGCAAGCAAGTGAACTTAATATAAAGGATTTAAAAAATGACAGCTCAACGAAGTGGCTCGCCAAGTATAAATTTATAGCAGCCAAATTAACGAATTGGCGGTACACCGGTTTGTGGTAAAACAATAAAACGCAATCATTATTTATTTTCCCGCGATTAGCAACCCTGGTAAAAAAAATCTTGCGGGTTGGTGGTGCGTCAAAATCGGTTCTTGTGATGTCGAAGCAGTGAGAAGACGAACATCGGTTCAAATTTAGATTTTAGACGCTGTTTATGAGGACCGGTGTGTTATGCTGCACTGATGTACCGCAGATAGTCCAAATACTCGAATCGCACGTTGATTCTAAATGTAGAAGGTTAAAAACCGGAGGACCCGAATATAAATCCACGGGACCACGGGGAGAGAGAACATGCAAACTCCAAATATACAGCAGTCGTGAGGGTCTGGATGGAACCCACAATCTCCTGTATACCAGGCGAGGTAGTTAACATCTCGCCATCGCGGTTTTACCAAAAAGCTTTCGGTTCTGGAACAGATAGTTAGTTCATGGAGAGGAGTTGAGCAAGATGAGAGTGCCGACATGCAGGCGCAAGTTCATGTAGCATTTTAAAGACGTTGGGAGCAATCTTTAAATTGATGTGGCATTGATTGGGAACCAGTAGAGAGATAACAGCATTGGGCTGACGTGGTCTCATCTATTGGTGCGGGTGAGGAGTTTTGGCATCGTTATTTTGGATCGTCTGCAAGTTTGGAGGGTTAGGGTATCGGGAAGGCTGTCGAGTATGCTGAAGAGACACTTGCAAATGTCGAGTCGGATTTATTCCGTTGAGTATTGGCGCCCTCTGTTGCCCACAATGCGTGGTATGGTGCGAGACAGCCGAGTGTAAACGCTCACCATCATCATCATTAAATAAGAGCCCTTGCATCACAACAACAACAACAACGATTACACCAAGCATCGCTTGCAGCTGTGCTTGGCTAGTGCACGTTCATGTTTAATTCCATTTCAAAAAGTCGAGGCGAGCCATCGACGGGGAAGACGTGCAACTCTTCCGCTGCGGGCGTGCTTGTTTTGCGTACGACCGCATTTGAGCATTGATAGCGCTACGCAACTTCTGCGGTTGCTCACCGGGGTCACACGGTGAGCTGGAAGCCATCCCCTCCATCAGCCACGATCGCTCAACCACCGGCCCGTCGCCGTGCTGCGCTCTGGCGTACACAAGCCCCTCGCCTTGGACGGATGAGGTTATGATCGGGCTGCAGTGGGGTCATCACGTGGTGGGCAGCAGATGGCAGTGTGGCAAAATTCCTCTGCTGTACTGTACTTCTATGCTCCCACATCTATCCATCACCCACCTTCACCAACCGAGCGTGCGGTAAATAGTCAGAGCAGCCTCGCACGACTCGCGCATGTGTGGGGAGGCCCCTCATCCAGCAGTAGACTGACACAAAACATGGGCTGTCCACGCATATACATGGCTGCTATCCATCTTCACCCGCATTCCTGGCCACCTGCTTCTCATTATCATTGTTGTCGTCCTCCTCCTCCTCCTCGAAGAGGCTCCGGACTATGAGCGAGCGACGCCACAGCGCATCGTCGATGCTCCCCTGTAGGTTTATCGGCGACGGCGGTCGGATGAAGTCGTCCCACGAGGGAGCGCTGGCCGCCAAGATGAAATCGCCAGCTCGGAAGGCGCCGCTCGGCACATCATAGTCGCCACCGCCGCCACCACCACCGGCGAAATTGCCGTACCTCGGCCTCTGCGTAAACTCGCGAAGGCTGCTCTGGTTGTCCTCTTCGCTCCCGATCGCCGCAGCCAGACTCGCGTCGCGCCAGCTGTACCCTCGGCTCGCGCTGCTGCCACTGGCGCCGCCGCTGCTGCACTCCACCTCGTCGTCCACTTCTTCCTCCCCGTTGCCCTGGAGGAGCTGAACTCGCTCGTCCCCGACGCTGAACCTCACGGTCGACCCCATCGTGGCGCCGTCCGCCACGCACCGGGGGCTCGGAGGATCCGACGCTGGCTCCCGGATCTCTCCCGCCAGCACCGGTCTCACGCTGTCATAGGAGGCGCCCTTGACGTCCGCGTGCTTCAACAGGTGCCGAATGTCTTCCGTTCCGCTTCGCGCGTCGCTTTCGCGCCTCGTCCGTCATCTCCGCCTCATCCTGCTGCTGCCACCGCCGCGACGAAGAGGCGGCGGCGGCGGCGGTGAACCCTGCGCGGGGTCCGCGACGCAGCCACAGCGACGACGCGGCGCATAGGGCCAGCGCGGCGCACAGCTCGCACACGAGACGGGCGGCGAGCAGGGGCGGCCCCACCCCGGTCCCCGCGCCGACCCCCAGCACCGTGAAGACGGCCTCGGCGCCGTGCAGGCAGCACGCGAGCATCAGCAGGCACGACGAGCCGGCGAAGCACGCTCTGATCGCCGTCGACGCCTGCCGGCGGTCGCTCCGGCCAGTGCCGCCCACGGGCCCGCAGGCCGCCGTGGCCAGGCAAACGCCGGCGAGCGCGAGGCCCCAGACGACGAGGAATCCCCGCGGCACGGCGAGGAGGAAGACGGCCTTCGCCGGCCGCATCGCGAAGGCGAGGCACGCCAGCGCGGCAACGCACAGGTGCTGTCGAGAAGACGACGGCGAGCAGGGCGCCGCGGGCGCGGCCGCTCGCCGGCGACGGAAGGGACGACGAAATCAGCGACAGGGAAGAGGAGGACGACGGCGACGACGGCAGGGGGCAGGGCTTGCGGGCAGGCAGCGGCAGGTGGGACGAAGTGCAGGAGCAGCGCCGCGAACGCCGTGGCCAGGCAGGGCAGCGCCAGCTCGTGGAGGCTCACCGCCGCCACCAGCACGGCGAAGCCCGCGGCGGAGAAGCCGCCGCTCTCCTCCGCGGAGCTGCGGCGGCAGGGAGCTGGCGATCAGCCCCTGCAGCTCGGCCGACCAGAGCACGAGCGCCGTGAGGGCGACGCGGAGGCCCGCGAACGCGAGCAGGAGCGCGTTGGCGGTGGCGGCGAAGCAGCGCAGACGGTCGGCGGCGGCGGCGGGGGCGACCACCCCACGCCGCGCGAAGATGGCACAGTTGAAGAGCCCCCAGAGGAGCAGGAACGTGAAGGCGGGCAGCGCGGAGCAGGCAAGGGACCTTGTCCATGAGCTGCCCTCCTCGCTGCTGCCATCTCTACTGCTGTTTCGGTTAGCATCGGTGTCATTGCCTGGGTTGAAGTGCGGAGGAGGCGTGCGGTCACCTGCTGGGGAAAAACAAAACAAAAACACGCGGGATTGGTGGAGGAATAGGAGGAGCGTGAGAGGGTGAGAGTCGGCGATCCGAACACAAATTGTCGCTAAATACATAAACATCACAACTCGTGAGGCCAGAGCACTGAGATCCTGGGTTTGAACCCAGGATCTCAGCTGCCTGTGATGCAACCGAGTTCTCGAGTGGAGTGGACTACCAATGACTACACACCAAAAAAAACGTAAAAATTTTATTTCATTCTTCACTTCACTCAAAATTCAAATCCTCCTGTATTGTCCACATAAATACATCGGCGATGAGCGGTGTCACAGTGGTTAGCACACTCGACTCCAAAGCAGGCGAAATGAGTTTGATTCTCAGTCACAGTTAACATAAGCGGCGAGCCATATCTGAACCAGTTTTGGGGTGCCGCCTTAACCAACCCGCACTGACCGGCAAGGTGAAGTATGGTCAAACAGCCCCCATAACTGCCACGGCACGGGGAGGCCTTGCCACTGCACTCGGGTGACAATGGGCTGTATAAAAGTAAAAATTCATATTTTGTTCTCCGTGTTTCCGTTGTACCGCGTGCTGTTCGATAGGTGTTCGTCATTTCGCTCAACGTGGAGGCATCTGGAACTTTCCTGGATCGGTTTCTGAACAAGCTCCCAGTTCGAGGAGTGAAACGTTGGACATCAACTCGAAAACGACCTCGAAAACCTACGTGGTCTCGTTGGTTCGGGGTTACCAAACCTCTGCGGGTTTGACCCAGTGCAGCCCTTCGGGTGGCAGGAATTGATTTGTAGCCGAGATCTGGTGGTGGACAATCTGTGACAAAAGAGTTGCGTAGCTCATCGGATATTTATCCAGGATAAACAAAGATTCTGATTCTGTTATCGCAGTAAACTGCGCAGTTCTGATAGACCTCGTGCCGACTGAGAAACAGGTCCCGGTTCGGTATACAGTGGAAAAAGTGTCAGCGTACGGTGCGAAAGCAACATGCATACATGCAACCCTAAGTACCGCTATGATTGTTGTTGTTATAAACACTGCTACCATTAACGTTCACCCTCCCCACGTGGCGCACGACTCGTGAGATATCTGATTGGGCCGCCTCCGTCTCCGTGCTAGGAAGCCGCTGTGCATTGATCCGTAACCCTGCACGCAACGCGAGGAATGCGTGTGTACACGGTGCCGCAAATGGGGCTTGGCTCGTCCCCGGTCTCAGTGTTGTTGTTATGCTTTAGCGGGAATTTCATAACAGAGTGGGGGTCCCTTCTCAGCCCCCCCCCCCCCCCCCCCCGCTGCACAATCAACTTAAAAAGCGCAGTGAACTCAAATAGTGGTGCACGATGCAATCACAAGGGCACCGGTGATATGGGCCACTGTGTAAAGACTGTAGTGATAATAAGTAAAATTCCAGCGTTTTGTCAATCCACGGCTGGATGAAGGCATCTGCCCCACTCCCCCCGTCCAATCCATTGTCAGTCACGGGAGTTGTTTAACCATACATCACCATGCTGTCTTCTTGGTTCTTTCGGTAAAGTCACGTAGAAGGGAAGTAATAAAATAATAAAAATAAAACATAAAATAAAATATTTTTTTTTGTTATTTTATTACTTCCCTTCTACGTGACGTTACCGAAAGAACCAAGAAGATGAATCCCTGCAGTCACGAAAGCTTTAAATCGAAATCACCATGCTGGTTTAGTGCAGGTTGGAGCAACAGAGGTGGACCCAGGATCGGTGTATTAACTACCCACTGTCGATGTTCGGCCGTGGCTAGGGGTTTAACTTTGGCTGCCGATGATATACGTAGGCTATATGAACCTTATGGCGGGACCCCGGGGTCCCGAATAAACGGAAGTCAAAATCGTAATGAATCTATTTATTGTTGGCGACTCCGTCCCACTGCGCACACAAACGCCGCGACCCGCCTGGCGCAGATCATTCTGTTGTCATGTCACGTCCAAGCGCAGCAGCGAGGACGAATGCGCAGAAGAAGAAAAACTTTGAAACTTTGATTAGCGCATCGTGTAGAGCTCGTGGAAAGGAATAGATTGCCGTATCGTTCGCCTTCAACAGACATATAATGACGTCGCAATGCAGTTTATGCGAGAGCCGGGGGCTTACGGGACCCCGGGGTCACGCCAAAATGTTCAAATGTCGCAATGCGTTCGCCACTGCGCCGATTGCTGCCCTGTTGCAGGAGCGAGTTGGCAGAGTCTGGTTCGTGCCATCTCTCGTAACAATGATTTCCGCAAGAAAGCCTCACTGAGTCTCAATAGGGGGGTGTTTTTTTTTCAGGAGAGGCTTGCATTCGGATATTTGGCCGATTCCGTTCATGAGTGGCTTCGTGTGGCAAAAATGCGTTCCGCGAGGGGGTGACACAGCACTGCCATCTCCTGGCATCCCGACAACACCTCACCATAGCTCGGAATCGAGGAGCAACGCACACGACCATCATCGAGCAGCGGATTGACAAAAGTTTTCACACCTGATGATGATGATTGCTTGTGTTGCATTCGAAAAGTCGTGAGAATTGTATTGTTTTATATTTGTATTATTATATTGCTTCCCTTCTACGTGACTTTACCGAAAGAACCAAGAATATGAATCCCTGCATCCACGAAAGCTTTAAATCAAAATGTATTATTATTTATTAAACAAAAGCACAGTATATGATTGACGTTCGATTTACTCTTTGCAGCAATGTGAGACTTTCACATAATTATAGGAGTTCGTGGTCATGATTCTGATGATGATCATTATGAAATGACTTGATGGTGAAGTGGCTAGCATTCGTGATCATGAAGATCACGATCATTTTAGTGGTCGCAGTCGTTCTGATCATGATTGCGACGAGTAATTCCTAACCTTGGGCCCCGCTTGTACCATTACACACAGAGCGAGCATCCTGCCATCTGCGTCGGGCAGTTTTACCGAGGGGAAAGGAAAAAAAAACATCGCAAAACAAGAACCCGGCCGCTGGCCACTCATGGGGGGGTTGGCCCGGCGTTTGGGTAAACACGGGGAAAATGGCAGGAACGGCCCCGTGGGCGACTCGCTCGCTTCCCGTCCCAGCGGCGCTAATTGAGGTCCCCAATGCGACGATCATTATCCGCCCCAGTTACCCGCGCGGGCGCTGTGAGCGAGCGTGGAGGTGCGTCCGCGAAGCGAGAGTCGCCGTTCGCGTGCTTTGCGATTCTGAGCCGCGTTTCACAAGTAGCCGAAATGAACGCGATTTTTTTCCTGCTCAAAATGAGCATTGACGACTGCTGAGATTATCTCCGGTTTGCAGCCCTGAACCTCAGTGGTGGACATTCCACACTGCTGTGGCAGGAGTAGAAAAAACACTCACAAAGTGGTAGAAATTGTATCTACCACTGAAGGAATGATGGTGCTGATTCAACCCACTCTCCAACCAAGCTTTGAACTCGCAACCTTACGATGGCGAACAGCTCGCTCTACCGCTCAGCCACGTGGCTGGTGTTTATCAACATTGTGCCATTAAATATGAGTTGAGATATGAATTCTCAATAAACCGGCGAGTTGACTAGGAGCGAGCCAGCCTGCGGGATTACAGAGAGAGAGAGAAAAACACACCAACAAATGTAAGTACGAGTAGCCCATTCCGTGCGGCTATTTACTGGGAAGGCGGATTATCGGGGCTAAATCTCAAATTGAAATGAATTCCACCGGCTCAGTCTAAATATGGGGCGACCGAGCGGTGTTTCCCGTGGTGAGCCTGCGTTCCTGAGTGAGCGTAAACAATCCACTCATGGCAGGCGGCGAATTCATAGATGAATCGACCTCTAATGACTAAATAACTAGATAGGCTACATTTTGTAAATAGCCAACTAAAATACGCTTCAGTGACCCATTGGCTAAAAATAATCGTGAGTGCCAAATTACTGTGATAATTAATCATCACGGTGCTGTATTGGCGCCGCCTCACCACTGTAGCTGCTGGTTCTCGAGTTAAATGTGGAATTAAAAATGTTTAAATAATTTACCAGTTACATGATGAAAACTAAAACAAATTAAGTTGATCAAAAGTGGTACGATCGATGATGACAATGATGGCAAAGTCTTTTTTAAAAACATCAATAGTCCTGCACAAGGCCGTAATTATAATATATATTGGGGGGGACACATCTCCCCCAATATTCAAATATGCTCAAAATGTCCCCCCCAAAATATTGCTATAAAATAGATTTCTGTTTATATGATTGTGGTTATGGTTGTACTTTATTAATCCCTCATCTCTGCCATTACATACAATGAAACAAGAAAAGGTAAAAAAGAAAAAACTGAAATGTAATACAATACACTATTGGACATTATTGTAGAAAATAAATAAAAAGTCCATCCTATGTGTTAGTGAAATTTTTTTTTATTTTAGACAGGAAGTTCGTTTTCAAATTTAGATTTTTTTTTCTGGGGGGGGACCCCCAGACCCCCTGGAAGATTTGCCCCCCCCACCAATGTTGACTCCATGGCTACGGCCTTGGTCCTGCACCTGAATGAAATAATTCACACATCCATCAATAAGTTCCTCCATTGGCAAATAACAAATCGACCAATATCACCGCCATGTAATGTGTTTGTCCGCTCTCCAGGTCAGGCCATGCACTTTTCATGAAGACTAAACTATTTTTTTATTTTACCAGGTAAGACCCACTGAGCGAAATAGCTCTTTTTCAGAAGCGACCTGGCCACAAATGATAGCTCAATGAAGTGGCTTATCATGTGGAAAATGATTCCAGCCAAATACTCTAAACGTATGTTTCTAAATGTAGAGGTAAAAATTGGTGGACTCGGAGAAAGCTCCACCTGACCATGGGGAGCACATGCAATTCGAAATATACAGGCATCAGGGTCAGGATCGAACCCACGACCTCCTGTATACCAGGCGAGGAAGATGACATCTTGCCAATCTGGAAAGGGTGAACTGTTGCTGATGGTTGGTGTGTTTTTCAACCTTGGACCACTTTTAATACCCGATTTAAAATTATTGCGCACCCAATTTACTAACCCGCAGAGTGAATTATGTTTAATGACCCCATGACTGACACGTTGTGGAGAGGCTTGAATCCAGCAGTGGATTGATTATGGCTGACAATGCTGATGATGATACATTTACGAGGATAAAAAATATCTGTGCCTGTGAATCTGATTCACCACATCCTGAATGAGGTGTCTTGGAACAGCATAGCCTTCTATTACGAAGCTCATATATGGTACCTGTGCAAATGTTAAAAATATATACTTTTTGGTTAGGCCACAAAGATTTGGCCAAATATATCAGAATCTTTATTTAGACTAGAGGAATCCGATAAGCTATGAAGCTATTTTTCACAGGTGTCCAGTAGGGGTGGGTCATCAACAACAACAAAAATAAATAAATATAAGTACAAGGTAAGAGAGAAGGTAAGCAAGTTGCTCAAATAAATACAAATAAAGAGTAGAAGTACAATTTTGTTGTTTCACCTGATGATTGCTTGTGTTGCGCTCGAAACGCCGTGATATTTTTGTATTATTTTTCAATCTACGTGGCTTTACCGAAAGTCTCAAAGAATATAGTAGTACAACTTGCACAAGTTCGCTGAGAGCCAAACAATTTGTATTCGTCTCGTGTCCAAGCGTTGAACGAGGCGCCAATTATTCTTGATTCAGCCCACTCACAGATGAGTCCAAGAACAATTCTCACGCCCAGATTGAGCGTTTACTGCAGATGCAGCGTTTAGTGGTGGAAAGGTTTAACGACACGGATCTGGTCGAAGCCAAAAATTAACGATGAGACTTAACAAGCCACCCCACCCCTTCCCCCTCGTGTTATATGAAGCGTATGAGCAATAACAATAGGTTAAACCCTCTCTGGGGGCAATAATAACACCGGAGGTGTTAAGATGTTCAAACAACAAATATAAACCTTTTGCAAGGAATAAAGTCTGCATTAACCACACGGACCTGTGGTGAACATATATACAAACAAACATGCTTTGATCGTATTCAAAGACAATGCATATATAATTATAATTAAATATGCATTGTCTTTGAAACTGATCGGTCTACACCAGAGACAAGCAGCCTTATGTATGGCCTCGTCCCACCAGTGTCAGAGCAGAGAACGTCAAAACATAGACAATGCACTACCAGAGCATGTATCGCTCGGGGGTGAGCAGCTATATCATGGGGCCTTATTATACAAAACGTGTCGACGACGTCAGGAAGGTGAGATAAACGTGTAATGCCGCCTAATTTGTACTAATATGGATATACACGCACACAGTAATAGAAGACTCCGGCAATAGTGCACGTTTGAACCCAAATGGGTAAAAAATTTAACTAAATATACTGTTCCACGCTTGGAACAACCGCGTGTCTACTTCCACTGTGACACTTCTATATTTATGATATTATTATTATGCAACTTGATGTTACAGCTCACACAACCCAGCCTCTTCTTCTGCAGGCCTAACTGCCTCTTAGCCATCCTTCCACCCCCTTCTATCTGCCCTTCAACTTCCTTCACTGCCCTTCCACCCCCTTCACTGCCCTCAACTGACAGCCTCGTGGTTGTCCGCCTATCGCACCCCACGTCACATCCACGAGCTTGTAGGACCCCGGGGCTCTGTCCACTCGGTGGTGCTGTGTTGGCATTCATAATTCAGCACCGAAAGTCGGGGAGCCTCATCCCTGTAGCTCCCCATTGTGGTGCCGCATCCTTTGCCGTACAATAGGCACAGTGCCTTACTAGGACCTACGAAAACTAAAGGGCCTACGAAAACAAAATGTGACCACGTGTTTTTTTGTTTGTGTGATAACAAAAACTGTAACCAAGATATCTTCTTAAATAAATACATGTATATAGCAAGGATAGCCACAGTTTATGTACAAAGAGGCAGAATCATGTCAATGTCAATCGTTGTTTTCATTAGGTGAGAGAAATTAACACCGGAGATGAACTTTTGGGAGATTTTTTTTCATTGCTAAATTAGCAAATAACATCTTAAAATGGTGTTTTTCGCACAATCTCATTCTCAATATAAAGTCGTTGTTATCCTATGGTTGATCAGCTATAGCGAGTGACAGTGGCGGTAGTATCACGGGGCAGCAGCACCAACTGTACAGAGGTATCAGTGAAGGCCTACAAAACGGAAGGGCCTAGGGCCTACATGAACCTTAATCCGGACCTGCGTACAACCCCCTCAATGCCTTCATACACGAGGCAATCTAAATATAGACTTTCATCTGTACGTCTCAAAAACCTCGAGGGTACTTCCTGACAAGGTAGAACGCTGAAATTTGGTACATATGTAGCTTTTAGGACACAAACAACAGGAACAATCTGAAAATCCGAGATTTTTTATTTTAAGGACCCCAAATCTCGCCTTTAAGTGCCCCATAAACGTGCATGTCATTCAGAAACCATTCAGAATATAAGATTGCTTTTTTTTTTCATTTGATAGAGCGTTAAACATCAAATAAAATTTAGCGAGAACCATTGTTCTATCTTTAATTGTTTTGAGATATTTCGGATTCAAGGGGATTTGAACGAAAAAAATAAGCATTTTATTACGTTCAAATCTGAATAATTCAAAACAGTCAAAGATAGGAGCTTCCCCTCATAAAATATTAAGTTCATGAAGTTTTGTTCTGTCTAATAAAAAAATAACGGAATATTTAAATTGAGCAGTTTCCGATGGGTATATCTTTAAATATAAGAAGTTCCATCAAGTCGTCAATAACTTTTTTTTTGTGGTCATGGTCAATAATGTTGCTTTTTCCAGGGCTACACAGTCGGGCAATGTAAAAGTCAAAGTAATGAATGGAGCACATCAAGGACAGCTCATAAAAACATCTAAATATTTTTACAAGGAATGTCGTTTATAGGGAAATATTGAGACCTCTTAGTGTTCCACAATAAACATTGTAAAAAATCATGTGTTTAATTATTATATTTATTGAAAACGTTTGCCTGGCTTTATAAACTAGTATTTGCATAAGGATCGTGTTCCACTACAAAGAACAGGTAAATGGTGAGATTCTTGCAGTTGTTTTCTCACATCACTGCTGGCAGAATGGGTGCCCACTAGGGGCAGCTCTAGAGCACTGCTTTAGAGAGTATTCGGCCTACTCTTCAACAGGATGATCCAGAAGCCTTGTGACCCCTATTTGATTCTCAAAAACTTCACTTATTTAAAGTAAGATTTATTTATAACAGAAATGAATATGCAAAGGAAAAAATGTTTAGGGGGTACAATTAATTTGGGGGTTGCAATACACCTGTACAACGCTGTACACTGCCAATATGCTTTAAAAGAGGTGAAAGCACCCACACTTGACTTCACCGCACACGACCTTGCCCATTCTGTACTTCATCTGGAACCGGCGACCTCTGGATCGCAAGCCCAACTGTGCCGACCGCTCCACCAGGGCAGCGTCTCTCAAGGGAGGCGCGAGATAACATTTATCCTCACCTGACTCGGTTGCCCGACTAAATAATGGGGTGGTGGGTCGAAGGGGGTGACCGGGGTCCAGCGTGGTGGCGGCTGAGCTCCCGCCCACGGCCTCACCGCCTCCCCCATCCACCGGCTCGTTATTCCCGCTGCTCTGTCCCTCCTCGCCGGGCGCCGGGCTCCCCTCGTCCAGCGTGACCCGTGGTCCTCCTTGCGCCGTGAACAAAGCCGGGGGCTGCTGTGAGGTCACCGCCCTCGGTCGTCGGTGCTGCTGCCGCCACCTGTCCAGGTGCGGTGTGGTGGTGAGGCCCGGTGAGTAGAGGCTGCAGCAGTGGGCGCTCAGAGCCAGGAGGAGCAGCGCCGAGGGCAAGAGGCTCGGCATGGCGCTGTCACAGGGAAGGAGCAATACAACATGGGCGACGGTGGTCATCATTAGTCTGTAAGACGATGGTGGATGAGTTAGGTGACATCAGTTCGTTTTGGTCTTTTTCCCCCAATTTTGTCCCGATGGTGTCATGTAATGAGACAAAAAATACACTCGGGTATTTCTCAGAGCAGTACCACCACCCTTCGTATTTTAGAATAGCCCACGGAATTGGATATCATGGAACTGCCTCTGAGATCCCTTCACGTGATCTCTGTTGGACACAGTTGGGGGCAGCACTTTCCCAGCCGCCCTGCCACAAAGAGTAATGTTCGTCGCTTGGCAGTCAAACTGATATTTTTTTCGTCTCAGATCTGGAATTTTGCCAAATTATGAACAGAACCAAATTTAATGATAGATTTTTTTGTGCAGCTATTGGTGACTGGACTTATATCATCAACTCACCACCGTTGGGAACCTGGTTTAATCACGAGCAACTGCCTAGATTCAAACTCGGATCTGTACTTAGATTTCTGAGCCACCCAACGTTCTTACCCGTAGCCCCTACTGGACATCTGTGAAAAAGAGCTTTATAGCTCATCGGATTTCTCCAGTATAAATCAATATTCTGATTCTGATTGACCTCCAGCTAATGCCCATTCAAATTATGTACTCTAAGGGGCTAGAGAAGCGGAAATTTTGTACAAATATAGTCAAGACGATGTTAATAACCACACAATGTTCAGAAAATGACAATTTCTCTCCTTTGGGCTCCAGAAAAGTGTGACCCTCCAACTTGTTTTAGCCTTTTTGTTTACCTAGGCCTATGCTCGTGCATTGGTGCCCACATCATAGATCCACAGCCTATGATGACAACCTCTTCCTTGCATGGTGGTCACCCATCCTTGCACACTATCCAGGTTGAGCCCCGCCGCGAGATTTGTACTCGGCAGAAATGGCTAAGGCTCAGACAGCTCAAGTAAGGCACGGTTGGGGGAGGCCATGCGCGAGCGTGCGTCATCCTTAGTCCCTTGACCTTCTCGCTCGCTGTCTCTGGGAGCAGGACGCATGCGGCTTCTGCTTGGAGCGACCAGGGGGGCGCCAGACGCGCGTGGACTTTGCCGCTCTCGTGGTTCTTGCGTAACGAGAGCGAGGAGTGGAAGGGAGAAAGAAGGGCGAGACGTGGAGTCCACGACTGCCTCCTTGGCGGTTTGCGCGACTGCGTGGACTAATGGGAGAACGGTGCGCATTGATACGCTGGACAAACGCGGTTGACGTATGAATGCGTTATTATAGTGGTCTGATGTACTGGATATGTGAGTGAATGCCCAGTAAATATGCCAAAATTGTGGTTAGGAACCGTTGGACCAACGTCGAATGTTTACTGGGTATACACAGCACTGATGTAGCTCTCCGATGTAGTTTTGGGTTGTGCCGCCCCGCGCGTTGTCCGGCACGACGTCCGACGTTTCCCTCCTCGTCCTGGGAGCTTCTTCGGGAACTCAATTGAGCCGCCCGCTCTCTCCCTCGAGTGTGTAGGTACAGCGTTGTCAGCCGCTGCCGATGTTGCCGGTTCTTGATTGGGCTCAGCTCGCTGATGTCTGCCTGCCCAAGTTGTTTCACGTCGTCTGGGTGAAAGCCAGAGTGGCCACGGACAGCTCATCGCCGTGCATACAAGGGCAGACGAGAAGGCGCATCACTCGGGCATACAAGGGGATATGGCACTCTCTCAAAGTCCGCTCAGCAGAGTGGTTTCGTAAAACCACGTCTGCGCCTTCAACTTTTAGGCGAACATGATGGATGCATGAATATTATAACGGACGAATGGATGTTAGATATGAATTACTTTGTACCACCGTGGTGACTGCCTTCACAAACTCATGCCGAAGATGTTAGTTTTTGTTTACCATCAAGCAAACTCCCACTACCCGCACAGCGTGGGGTGGCCCTCATCCAGCAGTGGATTGACAAAGGGCTGTCCATGTCAGTGGGGTGAGTCGATGAGTGGGGTGAGTGCGTAGGGAAGTGAACGGGTAAATAGGTGAATGTTTGGATGAGTGAGGTGGACCGAGTGAAGGAATAGTTGAGAAAGTGGACGAATACGTGAGTATAGTGGGTGTGCGAGTTGGTGATTCCATAAGTGAGTGAGAAAAAGAGGAAGTGGATACACAAGTGAGTGAGAGAATATGCAAGTGAGTTCGTGAGTGAATTAATGAGTGGGTGAGTATATGGGTAGGTAAGTAAGTTGGTGAGCCAGGTGAGTGAGCTTTTAAATGGAGGAGCACGCGTTTGATTGGGTGAGTGAGTCAGTGATTGAGAGAGTTGGTGAATGAGCAGATGAGTCGGTGAGTAGTCCAGGGAGTGATAGAGTGGATGAGTCAGTAGATGACGGAATGAGAGTGTGAGTGCGTGACAACATAAGTGAGTGAGCAGGTAATCGAGTTATAAAATAGAGCGGGTGAGTTATTCGGTAATTAAGTTAGTGAGTAGGTGAATAATGTATTAACGAGTGAGCAGCTGAGTGAGTGTATGAGCAGATAAATAACTGCATACAGTACTTGAGTTATTAAATGAAGGGACAGGTGAGCGAGTGGGTTTGTAGGTCAGTGAGCGAATGAGTAAACGTGTCACGAAATTAACGTGTGCAGGTAAGCTAGAAATGAGCTGTTGAATAAGTGATCCAACGAGTGAGAAGGTGAGTGACCACGTCGGTGAGTGAGTAGGTGAGTGACCATTTTGGTGAGTGAGTAAGTGAGTGACCATTTTGGTGAGTGAGTAGGTGAGTAACCACGTCGGTGAGTGAGTAGGTGAGTGACCATTTTGGTGAGTGAGTAGGTGAGTAACCACGTCGGTGAGTGAGTAGGTGAGTGACCACGTCGGTGAGTGAGTAGGTGAGTGACCATTTTGGTGAGTGAGTAGGTGAGTAACCACGTCGGTGAGTGAGTAGATGAGTATAGTTCACTCACCTATACAGAGGTCACCCTCTGCTCCGAGCAACAGACGCCCTTCCAAGCGCGCTTGCCGAGTGATGCCCTCCCTCTCACGCACCGCTCCTCCTGTATTCCACAGGAGGAGCAACGAGTGGTGAGAGTACACCCCAAAGTAGCACCGCCCAGAACCCCAAAACCACTACCCCTACCACCAACCCCCCCACCACCACTCCTCCTCCAGCCCGGCTTTCAGTCCCACTGAGCGTTCGGGCAAAGCCATAAACGAACGGGAACACGCAGCATCGTAAATGAAAGCAACACAATGGCTGTTGTGTTCCACAAGTTATCGTGGTTATCGTCATCGGCCACGATCTAGCTACTGCTGGACGAACGCCTCCCTCCTCCAGCCAGCCAGCAACCCGCGCGCGAGCTGAATTCACCGCTCCGTCTCCGCACTAGGACGTCCTCTCTCTCTCTGTGTGTGGCTCGTCATGTTCCCTTCTTTGGCTGTCGCTCCGTTGTTAGTCGACCACCGTCCCGTCGTCCTTTTCCAGCGACAAGTCCCCTTGCCCCAAGCCGGCTTTACTTATTTTGTTTTAGCCATAAATGCGACGTCTCCAAAACGTTGCGGACATTCTCCGATCCATGAGCTTCGCTCTCTCTCGGTCTATCTATCGGTGTAAGTCCGATCCTTACCATCGTCATATAAATTATTTTTATGGCGGTACCCCGGTGTACCAAATAATACTAAATAGCCGAGGCAATTAAATATTTTATTTCTGGGACGCAATTTTTTTCCAGGGGTGTACTTCACTCCGTGACTGGGGTACCAATCAATCCGACATCAGTGCCACTCAGCGATGTCGAAACGCCAAACATGAGCATACAAAAATCCATTATTGAAAAATTCTACTTTGAATAGTTCATCGTGTACAGCTCGTCGAGATGAGTCGATTGCCGCATCGCCGACCATCAACAGACTAAAAATGACTGCATCGCGAGAGCCGGGGTCCTATGGCACCCCTGAGTACCCCCATAGGTTCCTATATAGAATGCTGTGTATATTTGTAGGTTCCTATATAAAATACTGTGTATATTTGTAGAGTATGGGCGGCAGTGTGGCTTTGCGTCATGTTGTTGGGCAAACGAACACTGTAAAACCAACGTCCTGGGTAACTTCTCATCAGTCACACAGTCCAAGGTCTCATTTTGTGAGTGAAAGGGGGCTTGTTTCCCTAGTGTGTGCTCACCTACCCATAAATTCGAGCCGTATTGTTATACAGTAATTATATATGTGTGTGTGTGGTTACAGCCACATTCAGTATCTCCATCCTCGTCATCGTCTAACAATCTAAAGCAGATCATTCTCAACATGTCATGGGCAAGTTAGAGTGAAAAGGCAATGGAGGGAACACAGCCCAAATGATAGTGTGCGCACAAATACCATTTATTCATAATCAACGTTTTTGGGTTTAGATCGCGTTATTTAGAAATTTGTCGTAACCCTCCACCACCCGACACGGCCAATCAGCAAAAAAGTGTCACGTTGACAAAAGACAATTAGTTCATTGCTTTAGCCCACCGGTGTGTTGAAGCGTGGAACCACAACATTTACAATTTGAGTACTACAATTTGAGTACGACGTTTCGCTGGTAATTGCATCCAGCATCATCGGGCAATTCGCCAGAATGGTGAGGCTCTGCTGCGTCTCCCGTTCTTATATAGAGCAGCAGCAGGGTGACGTCATCATTAACTCATGTTAAATACCATTTAATTATTCTCCTGGCAAGTGGATAAGTTACGTGATTGCTCAGTGGCCTCTTACATAGCATATTATATTTACAAGTTTAGTAATAGTAATGTTATTTATTTCACTCATTCTGCTCTGTTTACCATGGGATATAGAGGTAAAAATTTTTAAAGATGTCAACCCTGTCATCGGCATGTTTAGAGAAGTAGAGCAGACGTGTTTTAATCACGGTTTCGGAGCACAACAGGCCAAAACGGCCAGCCACAAACAGCACTACGGAAGGTGTGATAGATAAAAGTTGATACATTTCTTGAATGGAGGAAGATTGTTAGGACTTGTGAAAAGGAGATGATGGCAGGGAATACGAGGAACAGTCAGTGCGAGGGAGGAATCGGAGAGCAGTTTAACACGTAGGCTTCCACGACCAATATTAGCAATAATAGGGATTACCGTTTTAATACACGCAATGGACAGGAAGGACAAGATCAATGGACTCGCATAATGAGCATGCATCATGTGCGTTGACTCAAGAGCATAGAAGTGTGGTCACCACATCTACGCCTCTATATAAGGAACGAAACAGGTAGACTTCTCCACAAATTTGGCTGTCACCTGATGAAGCTAGTTGTAATTACTGGCGAAACGTCGAACTCAGATTGTAAATGTTGTGGCTTGGCTCTCAAACACACCGGTGTGCTGTACTAGTGACGAATTGGCCACGTTCTGTTTACGTGACAACCCTTACTAGCTGGCTGTGTCAGGTGGGGGACGGGTTTAACGACACATTTATATATTTACGCGATCTAACCCAAAAAACCTCATTAAATCGGATAGTGGTGTAAAGAGCGTGGGGTGCAAGGGGTGGCCATAGCTACGAGTTTGGGGCCCCCTTGACACCCACCATGAGCGACAAATCAAATATTGGGGGCCCCGACCTGACCGACTGGGGCACCCTCTGAGCTGATAATGTAGTTAGCTACTTTTCCCACCGTCGGAGAGAGATAAGTGTTTTTCTTTACCTGCCAGTACCGGTGATGGTTGAAGACGGTGCCATGGACTGATGGATGAGATGGTAACAGCCAGTTTGCTCGACCGAAGTCCCCAGCAATGGGTTGGCTGGGATTAGCGAGGATTGATTTTTTTTTGCAAGAGGTGCCAACAAAAAAAAAGGCACCGTAAATGGCAGAGGCCGTTGGCAGTTTCACTTACAATTACTCGCGGGGTCGTTGAGTGTTTGTCGAGGTCCGACAAACCTTCCTGTTTAATTGAGGCTGTGTGGCACCGCGCCCTCGCACTCCGATTGTGTGCTTATTGACGGGACGGGAAAAGGTAGCCTTGTTTTCCTTGCCTTTGTTTTCTTTCCCCTCGTTTTGTTATGACTTTAAACGCGTCGGTGTGGTTTTTTTTCTCTTTTCCGCAACATTTTTGTTGTTGTTTTTGGTTAATGCTCTTAAAAAGAACATTTTGGAAATAACAGCTCTAAAGTCAAAAGCCTGGCAGAATAATATTGTTACGATTGGAAGGACGATTTTTAAAAAATGGATTATGCTTCGAGTTTAAATTGATCTCACTCTTATCCCTTCCCCCAATTGAGTTTGCGTACGCTTGTGTGATTAAGGCAGGGCCAGTTACACACTCAGGCCCTGTCCACATGGATTTGGCACCATGTGAGTGAGTTATCATGGAGAAGGGGCAACTTGAGAAGTTGCTCTCCGAAACCTCTCGGCCTACGCCGAGACCGCATTGTTGGAATACTCGCGAGGAGAGGGGCTTATTCTGAAGATGATGATGATGGCACTAAAGCAAGTGTGATGAGGCCAATACAAGTTTTAAGCTGAAGATTTCCAGGACGGCTGATTCATCGCTGGCAGCCGCTAGTGTACTTCGGCTGTCTCCCAGAAATGTGGAAGATTTATGAAAGGACAAAGGAACGTATATTCTTGGTTCTTTTGGTAAAGTCACGTAGAATGGAAATAATAAAATAATACAAATATAAAACAATACAATTCTCACGACGTTTCGATTGCAGTCGAAACGTTTCGATTGCAGTCGAAACGTCGTGAGAATTGTATTGTTTAATATTTTTTATTATTTTATTATTTCCCTTCTACGTTACTTTACCGAAAGAACCAAGAATATGAATCCCTGCAGTCACGAAAGCTTTAAATCAAGACCAAGGAACGGTTAAATAATGATTATCACTCAGCACCGATGTTAGGTGGATGGGTTCATAACGCATTGCGTAAACACTGGGCCACCTCTCCACCAAATATTAGCATGTCTGAATGTATATACAGTATGTTTTGGAATATAAACTCATAGGCTTTCGCGACCAATATCCATAATAGAGAGTTTTTGGGTTACGCGATCTAACCCAAAAAAACCTCTATTATAAATAATATCACATGTTTATTCATAAAAGTCTCAAAATCCCGTGACACTTTCCCCATGAGTCACGCTTGGAATCGCTGGCCAAGCATGTGGCGTTTATTTGCTTTAGCGATGCCCATAGACGTAACACCTGAATAAAATCGAATTTTAAAACCAAAATGATATGTTTCGAACACAATTTTGCTCTGGATCGTAATTATCGACCTAGGTATACAGTATGTCAATAGACTACTTTATAACACAGGCGTGTTAATTGCATATATGCCACCAATGGGAATTAACAAGGAACGCGTGTGCTGTGCTTATGCCCCCCCCCAACCATCCACAATGCCCCCATCTCATCAAATATCAGAAGCTAAGCAGATTTCAGCCTGTGTTTATGAACTTCTTTCGCACTGTACATAGCTAACCGTGTTCGTCGGAGGTGCGATTGACAGGTACTGCAAACCTGTCCATCTATACGGTTTACCCGTATTCTTGTACAGGGAAATTGAGTTTTCAGGTCCATACGGCGTACAGCCGTTTAAATATATGGGCAAAGAAAAAAAGAATGCCCGTTTGTGTTTCTCGCTTGTAATTGGACTTTGTAGGATGAACTTTGAGATGTATAAGGTCTGAATTGGTCTGTAATAAGATAGGCACTGATAAGGGGTTGGGGGCCGTCCATAAATGACGTTACGAAATTTTGGCAGATTTTTGACCCCCCCCCCCCCTCGTCACACGGCGTCACAAAAAGTCAGACCCCTCCCCTCAAATATGACGTCACAAAGCTCTGCCCCCCCCCCCCAAAACCATATTTCCATTTTGAAAATAAAACATGCTTCAAATCGCTTTAAACTATTGTCATTTTCTTGGTTATTTCCGTAAAGTCACGTAGAAGGGAAGTAATAAAATAATAATAATAAAACATAATAAAATAGAGAATTATTTTATTATGTTTTATTTTTATTATTTTATTACTTCCCTTCTACGTGATTTTACCGAAAGAACCAAGAAGATGAATCCCTGCAGTCACGAAAGCTTTAAATCACTATTGTCATTGTATTGTGCGTATTTAATGTGGCTTTGCACTCGGTTGTTATAACAATTAGTGTTGCTATAACAATTATATATTTCGATTTAAAGCTTTGAAAAAAGTGGCGTTTTTTTTCTTGCTGTGGTTTTCACACCTGATGATGATTGCTTGTGTTGCAATCGAAACGTCGTGATGTTATTGTTTTATTTTTATTATTTTCCTTCTACGTGACTTTACCGAAAAAAACAAGAATATGATTTCTATATTTATTTAAAGTTGCGCATTTTGATGTGACATCACATTTCTCACCCCCCCCGTCACACATCGTCACAAATGTCTGACCCCCCTCCCCACCTCGGTGCGTGACGTCATTTATGGACGGCCCCTAACAGGTTGTTATCGGCCGTTGTGTGACTACGTGATCAGTAGGGGATCGTGCATCAGCAAAACACAGTTACCGTAGAAACGTTGGAGCAAATAGGACCTGAACTAACGCACACTGACACCAGCGCTGGTGAAGTATGGTCGAATAACCCCCACGGATCTGCGACCTCGTGGGGAGGCACTCATCCAGCAGTAGAGTGGCTGGACATGTTTGTGCATCGTGTTGTGAACGTGTATAGCTGTGGATTTTTTTTTACATATTTGAGAAATTTGACTTGCTTATATTAGCGTGCAGCTAATGGCAAAGAAATGTAAACTGGCGGTGCAATCTGTTTGTCGTTGTAAACTTAGAAAACAAATGAGTACAGACAGGATAAACAAACATTGGCTAAAACGCCTCTTGAAATAAACAACAACGCCGTCAAATTGCCACGGCCCCTGGCACGTCCATTCTCAACCAATTCAGGCGATTCCATTTAGTTGTAGGGGTGTTGCTTGTTAATAACGAATTTATATTCACATAAAACAACATTACAAGCCGCTGAATATACACAACTTGGGATATTAATTAACTACATGTATATAAAGTTGATTGTATAAGTCAGGTTAAATTATTACATATTAAAAAAAAATACAATTGGATGTTTTCCCCCCTCATTTCTCATTCCCGAATGGATGCTCCCATCATCTGGGAAGCGCGGGTCCACGTGTCCTCGTACAGTGCGGCTTGCTGGGGTCACCCCCATCGTGCCAGGCTGGGCTCCTAGGAGCTCTGAGGTTCAGTCTCGTGGGTCCACGGCCGAGAACTCTCATCTCAAGCCCTGGGACCAAGTTTAGGGCTTTTAATCCGTCGATCAGAGACCGGGTTCCAGGTTCTGCAAGGTGGGTGGTGGTGGGGGGGGGGTCGTTGATATCCCGTGGCCGCAATGGAACTCGCCGACCGAGGCGTCCCCGCCTTCGAGGAGCCGAGCAAAGAGGCCAAGACCCACTTCAAGCTCTGCCGCTTCATCATGGAAGCAGGTGCTGTATCGTACTCTCGAGCGGGCATGGCCCACCAATGTGTTGGCGATACAAAGACACAGACCCCCATGATAACTTCTAGATTTGAAGCTTTCGTGACTGCAAGGATTCATATTCTTAGGTTTTTTTCGGTAAAGTCACGTAGGTAAAACATCAAAATTAATTAAAATAAAATAAAGATCCGAAACGTCGTGATCTTTATTTTATTTTTTATTAATTTTGATGTTTTACCTACGTGACTTTACCGAAAAAACCTAAGAATATGAACCCCATGATAACTCACTCACATGGTGCCAAACCCATGTGGACAGGGCCTGCGTGTGTAACTGGCCCTGCCTAAATCACACAAGCGTACGCAAACTCAATTGGGGGAAGGGATACGAGTGAGATACATTTAAACTCGAAGCACAATCCATTTTTTTAAAAATCGTCCTTCCAATCGTAACAATATTATTCTGCCAGGCTTTTGACTTTGGAGCTGTTATTTCCAAAGTATTATTTTTAAAAGACTGTCCGGGTAAGTGATATTAACGAGTAGCGCCTATGAAGGCCAACACCACGCCCGGTCGCCTTTGTCTCCCCAGTGGCGATGGTTTATACACCACACCGGGTACACGTGCTCATTTGAGGCTGCGTCGACTTAGGGGAGGCCCGTGACCGGTTCAGACAATCGTCACTGGTGTTGGCCGTGAGCGGGAATCGAACTCGTGTCGTCGGGGTTTCGTAGTTGCTAACCTTTGCACTACATCGGAAGCGAAGCTAATCAGGTGTGGGCCTGTCACCGCGAGAGAGCAACCCCCTCGTAGTGACAGATGCGGTTGAGCGCACTAACAATTTTGACGCAAAGCAGCGCTGCTAGGTCGGAAATGCACCCCTGCAGTGCCCGATGAGTGCTACTAAACACATTCCTGCGGAGGAGGGAGCTGGTAGGAACGTTGGGTTGCTCGGTCAATGGCCAGGGTCAACGGCGGCGTGGTGTATTCCGAAAATATTCTTTGGTTCTTTCGGTAAAGTCACGTATAAAGAAAAAATAATAAATTAAATAATAACATACGACGTTTCCATTGCAACACAAGCAATCATCATCAGGTATAATGAAATAGCGACATAAAATCTAACCAGAAAAAATTATAGACAGACATATAAGCAGACAGATATCACCGAAAATATGTCCGACTGTGAGGGCGGGCACAAGCCGGCGTGGGTAGGTTAAACGTTGAGTTTTAATAGGGCACCACGGGGTGACCAGCCCCTCCCCACCCAGCCCCACCCCTCCCACCCCCCACCCAGCCCACCTGCAGTGTTCGTGGTGGTTGAACACTTATGGATGTTATAAAACAGCCGGGCTGGTAGGGATTCACAAACTTGACTTCTTTTGCAAGGGGTGCAAAAGTCACCGCAATGGCACAGCGACCATGCGGCAGTTTCACTTAAAATTGTGTTGATGAGCGGTGTGCTCTGCACGTTACGTTCGGCTCAGAACTTGTAGTGCATTGCCTCGAATGTCACTCGGCTTCAATTGAGCACTTTGCCCCCAGCTGACCTTACAACCAACCGCTCTGCTCGCAGGCGTGAAGCTGGGCATGCGCTCGGTGCCCCTGGCCACGGCGTGCACCCTCTACCACGCCTTCTTCTCCGAGGTCAGCCTGGACGACTACGACCCGCACCTGGTGGCCTCCTCCTGCCTCTACCTGGCGGGCAAGGCTGAGGAGCAGCATGTGCGCCTCCGCGACATCATCAACGTGGTGCACAGGTGGCGAGAGCGGCCCTCGTTCACCCGCGCCACGGCGGTTGCCTTCCAGCTTCATTCGTTCTTCTCGCGTCCCCATCGCACCAACTTAGTCGCACCTCCGATTAGCACGGCTGGCTACGTTCAACACACATACACGCGTACATAGTCGCACCTCCTGGCTTTGACGTTCCTCCTCGAAGACACTGGTGTGACCGTTCGCCGCGTCGGAATAACTACGGGCTGATGCTGCAGCGCGTCTTTATTAATGCAAAGTTAAACGCACAAGCCACAGTAGTTGCAATTGTGACCACGCAACACAAACTATGGACCTTATATAGTAAACCACCGTACTGCAGACCACGCTGCTTCAACGGAGGAATAACCAAACTACACGAGTTCTCTCCTGAAGGCCTCTCGTCGTGGCTAGCAGGCCTCACGACATTGGCATTTAGCTGCTGAACGTATTGCCTCCCCACCCCCCTGTGCACGGTCAGCCTTCCAGCTGTTCCACTGAGTCTTCCTCAATGGGTTTTTGGTGATTTAAAAACATATATCGTTTGTCAGTGGAGGGTGACGAAGGGCCATTTCCTGAAATGTGACTGTCATGTGTTTTTTTCTTCTTTTAAGGGCACAGTTTTATTGATTAATGTTTTTTGTTATTAATTGTGCTGGTGCACTGCTGCCAATGCAGCATCGCCAAATAAATTATTTAATGTTGTGATTTCGGACAATTTGCTGGCCCTTTGCTTTCTAACCTTACCCCACACTTCCAATGCACTAACCATTACTATGCTAGTTTGTGGATTATGTAAAGTGGTGACATTTTAATAGATTTACACCTCTGCATTTCAATCTGTTGCTTTTTAATTAGTATAAAATCTGACCGGATTTGTTGTTACATTTTCCATTATTGCTGATTGGTTGGTGCTGAATATATGCACGTGTCTTTGCACTGACAGGCATCTGAACCCTGACAAAGAGCTGCTGCAGTTGTCAAAGGAGTTCTGGGAGCTGAGGGACAGCCTGGTGCAGTGCGAGCTCCTCATCCTACGAGTGCTCAAATTTCAGATCTCCTTCACACATCCGCACAAGGTAAATTGTCACCTTCACTGTAGTCATGATCTATCCTATGATAAATGAAGGCGTCCCCAAGAAAGGCATCACCATCTATTGGGTCTTACGATATAACACTAGCTCCCGCACGTGAGCTTGTTTTATCGCTTCATTTCCGTGGCGGACGTGTTCTTGGGTATAAGGATGTTTACCACAGGCATTATCTTTGGTTCTTTCGGTAAAGTCACGTAGGTATAAAATAAATCACGACGTTTCGGGTGCAACACAAGCATCCGTCATCAGGTGGGAAAACGTGGTCTGCTGCTGAGGCAGACTGACTTTACCGAAAGAACCAAAGAGTATGAATTCCTGCAGTCACGAAAGCTTCAAATCAAGATACCACAGGCATCTTACCTTCTAGTGACAAATCCAGTGCATTGTGAAAGCTATCACATTTCTAGGATGCTCAACCAGGCAGGACACATGGTGAGATGATAGCCCCTCCCTCCATGAGCACCACAGAGCAAATGTCCAGGATACTGCTCATATGGCCCACCCACTCTTTAAACCATGCCCACTACTCATTTAGCCCAAACGAATACAAAACATCGCAAATGCTTTGGTGGGATACCAGGATAACGTTTCGGAACTGGGAAACATCCCTGTCAAACAACCAGGGATGTTTGGTAGATGTATACGCACCACCCCACACCAGTAGAGCTAGTTTTCACAACTTCCCACCGCAGTACTTGCTGTACTACCTGACATCGCTGCGCAACTGGATGGGCACGTGGGCGTGGGAGCGGGCGGGCCCCCTTGCCGAGACGGCCTGGGCCCTGCTGAGCGACAGCTACCTCCGCGGCGGAGCCATCCTGCGGCACCGAGCGCAGCACGTCGCCGCCGCTGCCCTCTACCTGGCGCTTGAGTGCCGTGGAACAGAGGTTCCGGGCAACCGCGAAGCGCGCACCTCCTGGTGGCAGGTGTGTACCTCCCGATTAGTGCGGTTGGTTACGTACGGTGCGAAAGAAGTTCTACACACAGTCTGTTATCTTATAATGCGGTAGTTGTGTTCCTGAAGAACACCGCATTATGGAAAAATCGGGTTGGAATAAATAATGTATAATATAGGGAAAAAGCACAGCCACGATAACACGTGAGATGCGTACGCAGGCGTGTGGGTAGCATCTAGAAGGATCCAGCAGCATCCCACCTTGTATGATGCTATGCCGAGGCAGCGGTGCAACCGCTTATTCTTTCTCACACGACTTGGCTCTGTTCACCCAATCGCGTTATATCCGATTCACATCCGGTTTATAAAAAAAAATTATTCCCTAATACGTGCATCGCATTGTATCCAGTTTGCATTATGAAAACATGCGTTATTGAACAGACTGTAGATACTACTGCATCATCATCTTGTGACGTGTGTTGGGGTAATGTGTGGGTATGGCCCACCTCTTTCTTCCATGACATCTGGACAACATGGACGAGTAGGCTCAAATACCGCGTAGATGGGCTTTAAAGGTCTCCCTCTTGTGGCATCCCCATTCCCGCCAGTAGTGGTTTCGAGCAAGCAATGGCAATTGCAAGACTGCACCATTGCATTTTTTTAGTTTTACCATAATCATCCATGATCTGGCCACTGGCTGTATAAGCGCCTCCCCAAACCGTCGCTGTCTTGCATGGTCTTGAGATGCAGCGATCCGTCGAGCGAATTTAATCCATTCATCTCCGTGATGGATGTCCTCTTGAGCTTGTTCCCACGTTTGGCTCTCACTGTGTCGTTAGTCTCAGCCATTGGCTGTCGTCCGTACTCGTAATATATCTTTCCCAAGCCCACTTGACTTCACAGTCAATAAATATGATCTCATGCGTTGGTTGGTGCATCGTAGTACAGTACAATAATGGACTTTGCTGCCCTGCTGTTCGCTGGCTACCACACAGCCCCCCCCCCCCCCCCCCCCCGCACACTACATTATTAGCGCAGGAGAATGATAATGTAAGAACATCAGTATCAGGCAGTGCACCGGGTGACTTTGCATCATGTTGCTCTGAACGCTTGTCTGTGGACAGGCGCTGTGCGAAGAAGACCTTTCCTATGAGGTCTTGAACGCGATCGTGTGCGAACTCATCTCCACCTACGACCTGGACGGCCGCGTGTGACTGCCATGAAATGTGCGATGGAAGAGAAGAAAACTGTCGCTTAAATGACATGGCAATATCGGGACAGTCAATTTGTCGACACAAGGGATTATCCATGCAGTTGATGATTTATAAACTGGAAAAGGTGTGATTGTGACCATGAGTCTTCCTATTATGCCTTGCATGTCAAGTGACATCACAGTACTTCTTGCATCTAACTTGCGCAGAGCAACTGTTTGTGCCATGCCCATTTTCAAAGATGTCACCAATCATGGCCTTACATTTAGTTCTGTCCATAATATTACTCAAGAACATTGAATTAAACTAGATTCGAAGCTTTTGTGACTGCAGGAATTACTCTTTAGTTCTTTCGGTAAAGTCACGTAGAAAAAAAAAAATTTTGGAAGAACGTAATCAACCAGGTGGGGTGTTGACTGTTTTGTTGGCCGACTGTGTTGTATTGCATTATATTTCCAAGTTTACTATGTTTTCTCATTTGTATCTGATGATGGTTGCTTGTGTTGCAATTGAAACGTCATTTTCTTATATTAATTAATTTAGCTTATTTCTACGTGACTTTACCAAAAGAATCAAAGAAGAACATTGAATTAGTTACTCCCAGTTGCATCAAATTTATTTAGCCCTTAATTCGCTGTCTTCCCTGGTTTTTGTGGTACCTATAAATTTCACATTTATATTAGGTCTCTTTTCTCATGACGTCCAAGAAATCTATGACTTTCCTCTCTATATCCATGTTATTCGTGTACCTGCTAACCGTGATACATTTGCTACTCATCTTGTCTGTGTGTGACGTTTTGAACAACCGTAACGTTTATAGTAGATATGTGTTTTTATTTACAGATTAAAACTTTTTCACAAGTGATACTCATTTTACATTCACGAGTCTCTGTAATCTGAGCCAGGGATTAAAAACTGTGCCCTGTCCGCTCAGCTACAACGTCTTGTGACACCTCTGGCCTGACCATATTCCCCACAACTCTGCTCCCTTATGCCGCCCACCTGGCATAGGGTTTGGGCCCCCTAACTCGTAAAATGGCAGCGCTGTTTATTCAAGAGTGCTTTCGTTTTCTTGGAGTTAACTTTAGTGGAGTGATGTTCCACACTTTGTACATATTTCTTCGACGACTTACGTTGGTGGACTCTCAACGAGTATTTTTATAATGTTTTGTCCAATGTTGTAAACTTAATACTGTATCTGTATCAGATGCAATAAAGCTTGCACTCTGGAGCACTGAAGTATTTAATTCATTTGTTTTCAGTATTCTGACTGCAGAATACTGAAAGCAATATTTGTGCTTCAGGTATTTTTTTAAAGTAACTTACAGGCTTGTATCAACCTGCTGCTGGATGAAGGCGTCGTCACGCTCTGCCTGCAATGGACATGTCCGACTAATTGTCAGTGCGGGTTGGTGGAGAGAATAGGGCGTGGGCAGCATTGCGAGGAATCGAACTCGGGTCTCCAGGTTCATAGTGCGGTGTTCATCTTTGTGCCAGCGTTCCATCCCTGCCTCGGTAGGTTTTAGATGGAGAATTTTGCATGTATAGAAGAGTATTTAGCTACTGTACATTTTTTTAAATCCGTTTCCACCTATTACAACCTAATGTTTGATAAATTGCATTGAGCACACCATTCCGAGGTTTGACAGGCTCACCACGCCTGCCAGCTACAATACGGAAGTATGGTATCCAGGATGTCAGCGGTGGTATTCAGACCACAAGAAATGACACTAAGCATGAACAATTATCAATAAAGACACCAATGCCAGATAAACAATGCATCGATGAGAGTTGCATACCCTGGTTTAATTTCAACATGATGGCATGAACATTCTGATTCTATCCAGCTACGACAAGAATTGAATACTGTACCAATGTGAAATTGCCCATTTCGCCTTTGCGGTTTTCATCGCCCACATGTCACCACCACCAACTAACAAGGCTTGCCAGCTAATTCAGTCTGAGCCCACTACAGTACAGCATTGGGTAGCAGGGTGTCTGCCCACATGCCACTGCTACCCAGCGCTGTCAGCTGATCGTCTGAAAATATAACCAACTGTAGCATAACATGAACCAATATAAATGAATTTAAAACAAATTGGTGATGCTACTGCATTGGCAGTTGTACACAATTGACAATAACACATTCACCAACAATGCCTTGGAGTAAAGACGAATAAATAACAATACAAATGTATAAAGCTTAGGTTCAAGCAAAACGTCACATTCAATATTTTTGTATTTTAAGGCCAATGTTATTGTATTATTTAAGTTGACCTATTGCACCGTAAGTAGCCAACTTTGCTGATCGGAGGTGACACATTTATTGAGTTATTTTTTGCGAGTTGTGATTATGCACCATTACCAACACGGCAACATTACCAAATCAATTTGTCAAATTATAGTACTGGACATATTTTCAATTATTGGCATTGCATTATGTATTGAGGATGTTGCTGTCCACGTGCCAACTTTAACGTTGATCGGAATCAGGAGGAATCCGATGAGCTATAAAGCGCTTTTTCACAGGTGTTGGAGCGAAATTCCGTTTAATAAAATATTAAAAAATATATAAAACACGTTTTAATGAAATGTACTGTCCGAGCTGCCCTGCCCCCTTCCCCCATCGCCCCTCCCCTCCTTCCACACCCCCCGCCCCTGGGCGTGGCTCCCCGAGGCTTTCCGTGACGTAAGGGACCGTGGTGATTTACAGGCAACGTCAGTTGAGCGTGGACAATTAGAGCCGTTAAAAAGATTGTTTAAAAATATATATATTATTTTCAATGATAGAATATAGTATTGTCATCAGTATGACAGAGCTATGCGAAGTTTGCGGTCGATACGACATTGGGAATACGGTTGAAATTGAGTTACAAGATTTTTGGATACGACAACACATACAGTAAGTTAAATAAAAACGTGTAAAAAGTTGTAAAATATGTTTTGGATTTTTTTATGATCGAATATCGTGTTGTCATTAGTATGACATACGAAGTTTTCAGTCGATAGCACATTAGGAAGTAAGTTCAAGTTAATTTATTAGGTATAGCCCTGTGAGCCATTCGACTCTTGAATCGGGTGCAACCGCAAAAAACAAAAACATGAACAAGAAAACATCTTAAAGTGAATAAGTGACTAAGTGCAAACAGAAAATCCAAGAATAGACAGCAAAATATTGCAGAAAAAGCACCGTACACCAACGCTATGTGCAAAAATCCCAGTGGGATGCAAGTCAAATAACAACAACCACAAGACAACTTAGTTTAAGGCCATCAGTCTAACTGTACTACAACAAACAAACATGGCCAAACCAAAAAACGTTTCGAAAATCACCAAAACAAAGCCATAGAAGCAATGAAACAGTGACCATAAGAACTGTGACCGAATTTTCACAATAAACGACGTTAACAACATGTACCACCAAACTCTGCAGTGTAAAAATTGAGTAACAAGATTTCTTTCTTAAGGATACAACAGACGAAGTGAGTTAAATAAAAGCGTGAAGTAATAATAATAAAAAAACACCCCAGCTGGCTGGTTTGAGCTCCCACTAACCCAGCCCGATGATGATGACACCTGCGCATGCGCGATGGGGGGCGGGCGAGACAGCCTCTAAATCCGTACACTGGATAAGCGCGGCGCGGGCCCACGTGACCCGCGTCCCAACGTCGGAGCGCAGTGCGGAATGTGAGGCGTGGGGCCTGATGGAGTAGACGCCCTGTGCCCCTGTGTCCACATCAGCTCCCGTGTCCGCTGTCTTTCCGTGTCTCCTGTCTCTCTACCGTGTCTCCTGTCTCTCTACCGTGTCTCCATCAGCTCCCGTGTCCACTGTCCGTCTCCCCGTGTCTCAAGCTCCCGTGTCCGCTGTTTCCCCGTGTCTCCTGTCTCTACCGTGTCTCCTGTCTCTCTACCGTGTCTCCATCAGCTCTCCTGTCCACTGTCTCCCCGTGTCTCCTGTCTCTCTACCGTGTCTCCATCAACTCCTGTGTCCGCTGTCTCCCGTGTCTCCTGTCTCTCTACCGTGTCTCCATCAGCTCCCGTGTCCACTGTCCGTCTCCCCGTGTCTCAAGCTCCCGTGTCCGCTGTCTTCCCGTGTCTCCTGTCTCTCTACCGTGTCTCCATCAACTCCCGTGTCCCCTGTCTGTCTCTCCGTGTCTCCAGCTCCCGTGTCCGCTGTCTCCCCGTGTCTCCTGTCTCTCTACCGTGTCTCCATCAACTCCCGTGTCCCCTGTCTGTCTCTCCGTGTCTCCAGCTCCCGTGTCCGCTGTCTCCCCGTGTCTCCTGTCTCTCTACCGTGTCTCCATCAACTCGCGTGTCCGCTGTCTGTCTCCCCGTGTCTCTCTCGTCTCCCGAGTGGTGTCTCCTGTGCCCCAGTCCTGTCTCCATCACCACACCGTGTCTCCCTATCTGCCCTATCTCGGTTGTTTCTCTCTCCCGTGCGTCTCCATAAGTTTCCCTGTCTTCACATCGCCTTCTAATCCCTCTGCCCCTAGTCCGTCCCCCCCCCCCGTGTCTCGCCGTGTCCCCCTCGACATGCCAGGCATGGACAAGCTACCACTGGAGGACGCGCTGGAAGACAGCCCACAGGTGCGCGGACATTGCACATTCCCATGCCGGGGACTTGTACGTCCGTGACACCGCTGCTATTGACCTGTGAACTTACAGAGTTGAACTCGATTGTATCGACCGCCGAATTGATGGCTGCGAGACAAAGTCTCAGAGCCTCTGCGCCACTTTGGTTGGGTTGGAAATCCAGGTCTGGGTTCCACTCAAGACGATCACCATCATTGGCTTATTGGCATCATCGTTGGGCGTAGCTCCGAGGGTCGATACAATACGTACCGGAACCAATTTGTGGAAATTCAAGCGTGGTAATTTAGACCGCGGGGCCAGTTATGAATACAATTAGACGCAACTTTGTTGGCTGAAATTACAATGACATACGTTCCGATTACAATTATTTACAATTACACTATTACAGTATTATTGCCCCCCCCCCCGCCAGGCCTGGAGGTAATTCTATGGATAGACTTGTCCTTTCCATGGGAATGTGGATTGGCCATCATTGAACTTATCCCTCAGTGGTAGCAGAAAGCCCCCCGGAGGTAGGCAACAACCCCTTTGGACCAATGGCAATACAAGAATAGCAATCCACAAATATATTCTAAATACAATACAGTGATATAGTAAAGATCTCTGGGTGTATACTCTTTGAGTGAACATACATATATGTTCATTGCAGCTCCTTTTATAAACATACATCTTTCTGGACGACGGCCCTTTCTCCGCCTTGTGATTAGTGGGGGTTATTGTGGCCATACTTCACCACGCTGGTCAGTGTGGGTTTGTGAAGACGTGGTAGCTTTGAAATGCAGTGCAGTCATGCATTTTGCTTCACTGCCCTCGGCTGGCCCACCACGTATCCCACAGAAGAGCCTGTTACAACCGGTTGTGCATAGTGGTCCGCCCATTCATTAAGGGCTATCTATCCAGGCTCAACTCGGCTTTGCTTCCAAGCTGTGGGTGACACATCTGTGAATGCTATGCAACGTGTTTGCACACCTCGTGTTGTTAAGTTTCTCTCGACTTTTTTTGACAGCGGCATAATGTAAATGGCTAAATAATAACATAGCCACTGTTGTTGCTTGTGGCCCTTTTCTTGCGACGGTCAAGTCAAATTCGTTTTGCCAGGACCATTTTTAAATGCCCTCCACCATACATGTGCGAGTTGGAGTGAGCGAATTGTTCATGAATGTATCGCCAGCGTGCTATTTACGCCGGTCAGCGTTATGCGGTGGCTGAGTGAGTTATTGATTTTGTTGTTTTAATGGGTTGTAACTGTGTAACATGTGTACTTGTAACACATTCCTCCTACGGAGGGAGCTGGTAGGAACGTTGGGTTGCTCGGTCAATGGCCTGCAGGGTCAACGGCGGCGTGGTGTATTCCGTAAATATGCCCGACTGTGAGGGCGGGCACAAGCCGGCGTGAGTAGGTTAAACGTTGAGTTTTATAAGGGCACCACCCGGTGACCAGCCCCTCCCCACCCAGCCCCACCCCTCCCACCCAGCCCCACCCAGCCCCTCCCCACCCTCTCCTCTCCACCCAGCCCCACCCCTCCCATTTTTGGATGCAGGACGGACGGACACAATAATCCCCTATGGGCTGGTGTAACCAGGAGGTTCCTACCAGTATATTGCCCTCCTGTGTCTTGGTGTGCCAGTCAGATTGTTGAGGGTTCGCAAAAAAGGTTGTGAACTTAAAGCCAGTGGCTCGTGAGACAAAAACCACTCACTGCAAGTGAAAAAAAATGCACCTTGGCTTTGGTATTTCAAGCGGCACACGTTAAAGGGAAAAACAGTGAGCCACTCTGAGTGTTCACACAGATTACCATGTACATTTGGAATGAGTTTTGGATTTAAAAATATATGTTTAAAGAATAATTTGAGATATCTTTCGAATCATTTCCATTATGTACCCACGTTAAATGCCTTCGTGCCAACAATAGTGATCACACCCGATGCCAGGGAACGATCAGAAGTGACGTGTGATGTTGCCGATATCAATCTGAGTTTTCGGATCGGCCCGAAATTGAATGTATCGACCTGATTTTTCGGATTAATCAGACATTCGTGAGCACGACTCTAATGTACTGTACATGTACAAATGCACAGCACTTGTGCCGCATGTACACATCTACATGTCCAGTACAATAGAGACGTGTTCAAGCAAGCTCACTGGTCCAGAAAGCACTGGACCAGTGTGCTTACTTGAACAGATGCTGCTGGATAATATTGTTCTGGAAAAACAATGGACAACGTTTAGTTTGAATGTTGAGATGCAGAATGAATATCAGACTTGTTACGTTCTTACCCCTAATTCTCCGCAATAACGCCGCAACGCCTTTGTATCCATCGTTACGAATACATGTACAGTAATTTTATCCTGCAGTCTCAATGAGTGATTCGCTGTCGGGTGGCTATTGGGTTCAATCTAATGCGCTTGTTGAGGTGCAGTGGCAATTTGCGGGGTTATCGATAACCAGGACGCCCCGCCACTCGCGCATTAGCCTGGCTCTCGTTCAAGTTCTGAGTGTCTCTCAATTCCGTGAGCCTCGTCTCAAGCCCGTGGGCTGTGCAAGACACATCTATTCAGACGTGTCCTTCCCATTAAAAATGTGAAAGTTTCAAATAGAAACTGTTTCTTTACTTATCATTTATTTGTAGTTACTAACTTACCTTTTTATATTTTCGATTTAAAGCTTTCGTGATTGCAGGGATTCATATTATTGGTTCTTTCGGTAAAGTCACGTATAACGGATATAATAAAATAATAAACATTAAACAATAATATTTTCACGACGTTTCGATTGCAACAAAAGCAATCATCATCAGGTGTGAAAACCACGGCAAGAAAATTTGAAAAAACGCCACTTTTTTCAAAAGTTCTTGCTGTTGTTTTCACACCTTATGATGATTGCTTGTGTTGCAATCGAAACGTCGTGATAATTTGATTGTTTTCTTTTTATTATTTTATTATTTCCCTTATACGTGACTTTACCGAAGGAACCAAGAATACCTTACTTTTCTGATGCTATTCGTTGGCCGCAGTTGCACTTTGTTTTGCACAAGGTTGCAATTTACTTTGCTCAGTCGGTGTTGGCCGCTGAGGTCGGGATGGATTTCTTAATTCCTGTTGCTGTATGCCCCCTGTACCCGACCCTGTTCCCTTGCAATGTGCACTGATGCCTACTTTATTGAGGGCGATACTGGCACTTATAATAAAGCATGATTGATTGCCGCGCTTACACGTGACGATCCCGTGGCCACGTGGGGTCAGAGTCGTGTAAAACTGTAGACCCTTGCGTGCGTTATACAACCCAGTGCTGTGTGTCCTGTCAATGAGTCAAGGCCTTTATTTCCCCACCGACGTGTGATTTTGAGCCAGCCAGTTGTGGCTCGTGTGACCTGTCAGGTTTGCATGTCTTTGCAGGACACGTGCCTTAAGAGGTTGTTAGTGTTTTTTATTGCCGAAAGGGACAGCTGTGCAAAGTTGGTGCAGTGACAATTCATGGCTCTGTAGCTCTCCATTGTGCTTTTAGGTTCTACAGTACTGCGTGTTGTTCAGCACAATGAATTCGGTTCCTGGAGAAGCACCTGACACGTTGGAGAGAAATGTCCAATGGCATGCCGTACAACGTGGAGTAATAAACCCCCGATACAACGTGGTGTAAAACCTTGATACAACGTGGAGTTAAGCCTAAGAACACAGCGAAGAGCAACGCTTCACAACCGTGATGACTTGCGCGGTAACATTCTGGCTTCCCCCCTGCCGCCAACACTGTTATAGAGGCTGTAATAAAAGTGTATTTTCTTAGCTGGGGATTTGGTATTCAGAAAACTATAAATAGTTTGTTTTGCCTGGTGGCAGAGTGCAGATTGCAAGCCTTCCTGCTTCGAGGTATAGTGTTGTGTGGGAGTTTTTATTTTTTATAATCATGATTTATATATGGAGTGAAGTGGTGGCGCAGTGGTTAGTGCACTTCGCTATAAACCTGGTGACCTGAGTTTGATGTTTGGCCACAGCTAACGTCATTAGCAAGTGATATCTGAACTGGTTCTGGTCCCCCACCCCCACTTTACTAATCCACATTGACGAGCATGGTGGAGTGCGGTCAAACAAACTCCACAGTCTACTCAGCAGAGGAGGAAGCCTTAATGCACCAGTGAATTGACAAGGACTGTAAATTATTAAAATAATATATATATTTTATATTATTACACACAGTGAAGGGCGTGACTTTTGGAATAACCTTCAGTTGGTGATTGTAAAGCACAATTGAATCCAGCAGTACATCAAAATGAATGGATTTAAACTTGAGCTGTCTCTGTTTCGGACACAACACTTACTCTGCCTACAAGTTGAGCTTATGTATGCCCTGGGGCATATGAGATTGCCTTTTTACGTGGGTTCAGTCATCCATAAAAGGGACGTTTTAGGGCATGTAGGGTTTTAAAAACGAATATCTTAAATGTCTTAAATGTTTGCTGCAACCCTCACCACACACCGACTGGGTCTGGTGTCAAATGTGCATTTTCGTCATAATCTCTTGCAAAAGGGTTCTTTTTCAATCTGCTCTCTTGTCTGGTTAGATAAAAGGATTTCGAATTTGCTCTCGGCACTTGGTGTTGCACTCACACCAGTGTGAGCGTAGCTTGTGCAGCCAAGTATTGTGTTCTGCTGAAGTTATTGCCTCCGACTAAAGCATTTAAATCTCAAAAGCTTAGCATGTTTGGGTGTGGACTGTGTCTGGATGGGTTACCACCATGCAGGTTTTTTTTTGACCTGTACGGCATCGGTAGGCCATCATCCAGCAGTGGATCGTATGTGTGTTGTGCTAACAGTGAGACTGGGGCTTCGGGGGGCTGTTGCATTTCTCCGAGGTTGTTGACACAAACTGGTCATGGAAACCAACATCAAACGGAAATCTGTGGTCGCTTGAGTTAACTTCCACCTCCTTGCCCAGTGCCGCAGCAGTGTGCCCTTGACTGCATAGCGCACACATAACCATTTCTTCTGCGCTGGAACCACACTGATCTGGAGGGAACTGGGAGATATCGGAGTGCGCTGATGTATTAACATAGCAGAGCTCGTACACACATCGAAAAAAACCTGCTGCAATGTTATAATGACATGCAGCATTTGCAACTGTGTTGTTGTTGTTTTATCTAAATGTCCTGTACAACTTTCCAGATTGAGCTATGAACTATGTTATTTGCAAAATAAATTGGCCATCATGGCTAACATCGGTGACGGTAAATATTTGAACCAGTCCTGGGCCATTCCCTGTATCAGCCCACACTGACCAGCATAGTTAACTATAGTCAAACAAGTCCCACAACCGGTAACATCTTATGGAGGCCTTCATCCAGCAGTGGCTTAAGAGGGTTATACATTATTATTATTATTGATACAAGTGACTTTTCACAAAATGATCATGAAGCTTTTGGTCCATAAAGAATGTCACTGAACACCCTTCTCGAGCACCCGTTGATGCCCTAAATCTTTTCGCACACCCCACTGTCTCTGCTACTGCAATTGAGTAAATTTCATGGCATTCACGTTCAAAATTACCTTGAGCTCAGATGAACGAATCTGAACATAGCCTTGTAAATAGAGCTGAGTTATCTGATTATTTAAGGAATCTCTTAACTCTAACAATTATCAGATCAATTACTCGACTAAATCGGATAACAGCAACAAAAACATCTGACCTTTTTTCCCATGTGTACCACCGGACGGGAGGTGATGGGTGAAACTTGATGACATCAGTGGTATCATCATTTGCTTCACTGCTGGACTTGGCTTGTAGGGGTTTCCCGCCTTCGAGAGGCAGGGTGTGAGGGTGGCCACCATTTTAAAATCTGGACATCTGTGAAAAAGAGCTGCATAGCTCATCGGATTCCTCCAGCATATATAAATATTCTGATAAATAGGACACAAAGCAGTTGATTTTGATTTGTGTGTATTTATCGACTAATTGTCCCAGCTCTACTGATATTTTATTCTTCTTTCAGCCAAAATCCGTAAGTGACAAGAACAGCCCTTCATAACAAAAAATAGTGCAAGCTAGAAAACGATGAGTTTCAAAACAACTCGCTTGAAACATGTAAAAAGCACTCTGTGTGTTATGCAAAAAAGCATCATTATTGTCTGATATTCGTCATCCCAGACAGGAGGACCACAATGCAATTCTTACAGAAATGTTGATTGTTTTTGCATCGCGCACAATTCAGCCACACACTAGAACATGACTGCCTCCTCTCACTTGTCTTTTCCACTGCACACTCCCAACAGACTCGCTCGCTGATGAGCGTGTTCGAGGAGGACGCCGTGATGTTTGCGGAGTTCGCCAACCGCCTCTCGGGCGCCATGCAGAGGGTCCACCAGGCACAGGTGTTGCCCGTCGTTGTCCAGCATCAGCGCACACATCCCGCATCCGCATGCATTTGTAATATACTCGGGATTTCAGCGGTGCCGGCTCAGCACTGACCCCTGAGCAGCCCAGCCACCTCTCAACTCATTACAACGGTGAACCAGGTTTAATCTTGGCCAACTGCCTGGATTTTAACCCAGCGTCTTGGCAGTGTACTGTTAGTCTTAGCAGTATTGTATTACTTGCACAGTTTGATGCATTTATCCTGAACTTGCCCAAATCCAGATCATCCGGAATGCACCCGATCTTGTTGGATCTTGAAAGCTAAGCAGCATTTAGATGTGATAGTGTTTGGATGGGTGACTACCATGCACAAACATGTCATAGGCTGTGGGGCAAAGTGGTTGACAGCAGAGACTATTGCAGCAAAATCTGTGTTGCTTTGCTCCCACATCTGTGCTCCCCGCCTTCACCAACCTGCACTGTCCAGTGTGGTGAAATATGGTCAAACAGCCCCCACAACTCACACAGGCTGTACAGATGCCTGCCACTTTACCCCACAGCCTATAACATATATAAATATATGTACATCCAGCTTAAGTCTTGACTTAAATATATGGTGACTGCAGAAATTCATATTCTTTGGGTCTTTCGGTAAAGTCGCGTAGATAGGTTGAAAGAAAATAACAAAAAACTACGACTTTTCGATCGCAACAGAAGCGATCGTCATCAACTTATCTACGTGACTTTACCGAAAGACCCAACAAATATACATCCAGCTTATCAGTATGAGAGTTGGCCACACTTGACAGACGTACAAATCAAGTCCTGTCATTCCGAAATGCTGCAGTTCCGCGCCCCGTGCACTCGAACCGCGATGTGATTCTCTGCCGCATGTGTTGTCGTTGCAGAATGAGCTCTCTCTGGCGACACAAATGCTCTCGCAGCAGCTGCTTGGCTATGGCAAACAGGTGACGAATTTATTTTTTGACACAATGCATTGGTGCACATACATCTCGTCTTGCAGCCTTGTCAAATTTCAAGAAGTGTGGGAAGTCATTTGCTTTCTCCATCTGATTTGTTGGTTTCCATCAACTTCTTGCACTGATGTGAGGTCTGGCTACCTTCCTGGTCCTCTTTCTCCACTCATTCCTGTCAGGGGGGGGGGCATCATCACATCTACTCCACAGTTCTTCATATCCTGGTGCACCACTTGAAGACCCCTCTTTCTGTTCCTGCTTCTCAGTCTCCACGCTGGGGCTTCTATGCTCATTTCCTTTTCGATGTGGTTTCCTCTTTTCTTAGGACATGTCCTAGCCATCAAAATCGACTTTCTTTTGGCTTGTCCTCATCTCTTAATTTCTGACCCGATCAATTCTTGTGATCCGAGATCCACCTCATCATCCTCATTTCTATGGTGCACAACATCTGCTCATCCTTGATTTTTAGAGTTGGTTAGATCCATTCGCTGTCTTAATCCATTTCGTTTTCTTGTTGTTTGTTCACAGCGTTTCCCATTGGCTGGCGACGATGAGGTCATGACGTCGACCCTGCAGCAGTTTGCCAAGGTCATCGATGAGGTTGGTTGTTGCAATCTCAAGCTTTAGCATTGCAGCGCCTGCATTGCTGATGATCTATCATCGTTCCTACTTATTTTAATGCAGAGAAAACTTAAAGTGCATCTCATTTAGGTGGCTGGGTGGCTCAGAAGTTAGAGCACTGAGTTGACACTGCTAAGATCCGAGGTTTTAATCCAGAAAGCCGCCTGTGATGGAAACAAGGTTTTCAGTGTAACTAGTTGATGATTCCAGCCTGGTTACCAGTAGCTGCACTGTGCAAAAAAACACATTTCTGAAATGTATTCGGCCCGATTCCATATCTGAGAATTTAAAAGTTTAGTTTGACTGTCACAATGCGATGAATATTAGCCTCGGCGGCAGAGCACATGAGAAAGTGTTGCCTCCTCTCTTATCCAGAGGTCACTTGAATGGTCATATCTCCTTCCATGGCAAGTTCCTGAACACTGATCTGTGAGCGTTCCGAATGAATTATTCGTATTTGATTACCACAATCGGGGTATAACTGAGTGAAAAGACGTGTTCTTTTCACATGCATTTGTCATTTCTGAGTGTGCATTTGAGTATTAAAAATGCATTTATAACGTATACGCATCGGATCGCTTAATCTTGCCACCTCACCTTCCTCTTTTTCTCTCTCTCGTTCTTTTCTTCTGATCTTTTGATCATTGTTTCCCCACAGCTGAGCTCCCAGCATGCCGTGCTCACCACACAGATGGCCGACGCCATGATATTTCCCATGAAGCAGTTCAGGGACAAGAATCTTGCCGGTATGAAGTAACGATTTTGAATGAAAACCCAAAGACAAAAATCACCTGTATAGCTTTAACAGACTGTTGGGGTAAGTGCTGTTACGAGCAACTATGAAGGCCGGCATGGCATACGAAGGGGTGGGTGGCCAGCACCACGCCCGGCCACCTTTATCTCGCACACATACATACATGAATGTGCAATACATAAATGTGTATGACCTATAGAACAATCATGTCTTAATGCAATGTTTCTTTTGTGTTTGCGTCTTTTCTGTGTTGTGTGTTACAGAACTCCTCAGCCTCAGGCAGATGATGCAGATTTCCACCAGTGGTAAATGTCACTATAGACAGAGAGACTTCCTGTGCATAAGGAGTTGAACATATAATATCCACACATATGTACGTATATGTACATTCAGCCGTATTGCCCATCCACTGCTGGATCAGGGCCTTCCCATGCCACGGAAGTTACTTGACCATTATTCACATGCTGGTCAGTGCGTTTTCGTGGAGGTGGAGAGGATAGATGTGTAGGAGTATAGAAGTACAGTGCAGCAATGGATTTTTTGCACTGCCCTTTGCTGCCCACCATTTAACTTCACAGCCTATAACACCTGCTATGCATGGCGGTCACCAATTCAAGCATAATTTATCTAGGCTCGAACCTGTTTAGTGTCTGAGTGCTGATGACATGTGCATTGTGGGTGGTTTAGTCAAATCTATATAGATAAACAACCGCCATTCACCACTAGGTGGCGGTGATGTCACCACGACGCTTGTGCCAGGCCATGTGCACCTTAAAGGCACGTGAAGTGTCGAACGCCCGCTGGCAAGAGGTCACGGGGCAGACTCAGGTGCCATAATATTTCAGTCGTGGTTTAGTGCTAATTTATTGAAGGTGGAAGGGTTACCAGCCCCTCGCACCCATCCAGAGCTACATAGATGCACACCCACACACTCGCACTGTACGCCTAGATTGACCTTAGTAACTAAACATCTTACCACGCACATTTACTCAGTGCACAAGAAAACCTTTGCAATTCAAGATGTTCATCGAATATGTCTGCAGTCGTAAAAATAAATACAAAAACATGGTCAGCAATAGATTAAGTACAATGCCTAATCGATGACCAAGGCAGAGAACACGCCCGAGCGTAGGTGTGCCGTGGAGATGGAGCGATGAAATCGGCTTGTGCGCTGGTGCTCGGTGGATTGTGAGAGATGGTGATGGCATTGGGAGGCATTAATTCAGCAGTGGATTAATCATGCCTTTTCATGACGATGATGATGATAACGATCGTAATGCATTTTTAATTGTGTGCGTCCATGATTCTGACTTTCAAATGTTGGCCCCGAACTTGATTTTCTCAGAGCACGAAACTGCCGTGACAAAATACAGCCGCCTCTCCAAGCGGCGGGAGAGCGAGAAGGTGGGTGGCACAATGACAACCAAGACACTGGTACAGATGCACACACTGGTACACAAAAGACAAAGATCCCCCCTAGAGCCTTAGCAGAGTGTTGGGGCAGGTGCTATTTGCGAGCACTCATAAAGGCCAGCAGGGCACACGAGGAGGTGGGTGGCCAGAACGACACCCTTTGTCTCTCATTTGAGGCTGAGCCAACCTAGGGGAGGCCCAGGACCGATTCAAATCAATTTCACTGGTTTTGGCCGTGAGCGGGAATTGAACTCAGGTAACCGGGTTTGATGCGCAGCACGCTCGCCACTTCACTACCACTCCACACACACACTGGTACACACACACACTCTGGTACACACACACACTGGTACACACTGGTACACACACACTGGTACACACACACTGGTACACACTGATACACACACCAACTGGTACACACACACACTGGTACACACACACACACTGGTACACTCTGGTACACAATCACTCGCTCGCACACATGGGTGTGTTTCATTGTCGCGCACAGGCGAGGCACGACGCAGCCGAGGAGGTGTACGCCTTCCGACGCAAGCAGCACCAGACGAGCCTGCAATACTGCGCCACCCTCAACGCTATGCAGTACCGCAAGAAGGTTGTCACTCTGGAGCCCCTGCTCGGCTACCTGCAGGCACAGGTGTGTCGCCGCACTGCCACCGCCGTCGCCCACGTAAATCGGCGGTGCCCACGCTACCGCGGTCGCGATGTTCTCCTCTGTCCGTGGTCGATGTCGGTGTTTTTGTTGTAACGGCATTGGTTATCTGTCAATGTGTCTGGGAGGAATGTAACAACTGCTTGATTCATCGATTTACAAATTGATTTGTACGTTCATCATTATGATTACTACTCTTTGGTTCTTTCGGTAAAGTCACGTAGGTGAAAAAATATTATAATAAAGTAATAAAATGATAAAAATAAAATAAAAATGAAAATAACTAAATTAAATCACGACGTTTCGGAAGCAACACAAGCCTACGTCATCAGGTAGGACAGCTACAGCAAGAAATTATTTCTTACCTGATGACGGAGGCTTGTGTTGCTTCCAAAACGTCGTGATTGAATAAAGTTATTTTGATTAAATTTTTATAATTATTTTATTATTATTATTTTCACCTACATGACTTTACCGAAAGAACCAAAGAGTATGGATCCTTGCAGTCACGAAAACTTCAAATCTAGAATATAATTACTGCACATAATTAGCGATTATGTTCGATTAGTGCTGGCATCGGCTATGATCTATCCACGGCTGAGTGAAGGCTTCCCCAAGTCATCACAATCTCAGTCCTGCAAAGCAATAAATAGAAATATGAGCAAAAGCAAAAGTCACTTACAACAAGCATGCTAAGCAACATAAGTTATATGTCGGAGGAACAGAACTGGAAACACGAATACCTAGCATCGTACAAGATGCAAGAATCGAAAACCTTGATTCTTACACGCACGATTTCACATATGTGTTGTGAGCATAAGAATCGGTTTTAATCGATTAATTGATTAATTAACATGAGATGTGTCAAGACATAGCAGACTTAAGTGTCCCTCCATGAATATGTGAATTTCATCTTGTGACTTGGAACTATTTCCAACGACTGTAATGTTCAAAACGTTTGTGTATTATAGCTCTGTCAGTCCGTCCATAACGAGGGTGGTGGGGTGGGGGCTAAAAACTCTCGTAAAGATGGTCCGGTTTGAACTAAACTGGCGTAAAACGTTCTGTTGCTATTAGGGACTTACTCTTTTGAAATCCTGCCAAATTGTTCAAAGGTTGTGTCCAATACTTGGAGTAACAATCCAGAGCAAAACGGACTATTAGAAGATATGCAAATGCATTTTATCTTTACAGCTTCCCAGCAGCTATAGTACTGCCAATTAAATAATTCCAAGGATACGTGCATGTTGGTACGTGCGAAAATATAATCCGAAGTTAAGTGATTTTTCGACAATTTGTTTACACCAGGCATGTTGTAAGTACCACCTGTTTAACGGTGTTGTTTTTAATGTCATTTGGCCGTGTTCAGTTTGGATTCTTCCGCATGGGGTCCGAGAGTCTCTCCCAGCAGCTGGAGGAATTCATCGGCAACATCTGCGCCAGCGTCCAGAGGTAGGGCTCTCAATAAAGCGTGTACATACTTATACATGCAATTCCAGACCCTTGCAACATTCAGTACATTAGGTGTTTGTATTTGACTCGATACAGAATCAGAATTATTTATTTATACTGGAGGAATCCGATGAGCTCTGAAGCTCTTTTTCACAGATGCCCAATAGGGGCTGGTCAGGAAGTTACAACAACAAACAATACAAAAACACGATAGGAGTGAAAAGTATAGGAAAGTTAAGCAAATAAAAAAATACGAATAAAACTAAACAATTTTTACTTCACAAGTTCAGGCCCACTGAGCTATTAGCTTATTTTTCAGAAGCCACCTGGCCACAAATGATAGCTCAACGAATTGGCTTAGCATGTGAAAATTTTTAGCAGCCAAATCTAAATGTGGAGGGAAAAACCGGAGGACCCGGAGAAAATATCCACGCGATCACGAGGAGAACATGCAAACTTCAAATACACAGGCATTAGTCTCGGGATCAAATCCTGTCCTCTAAACCAGGCAAGGAAGATAATATCACGCCACCCTGGCGCCCCTCATTACATGGCCTGTGAACAAATTAGAAATAGAATGTGCCTGATCTCATCAGATTTGAGAAGTTAAGCAGGTTTGAGCTTGGATATTTTTGTCCCAGTTCGACTATGAAGTAACCTCTCCTCTCTCACGCCTGCCCCCCCATCCCATGTCCCTCCTCCCCCCCACCCCTCACCCCCTACCACGTGCTCGCCACATCCTCGGAGTCCAGCGTGCGCAAGGAGCTGGACACGGAGCAGGAGAGCTCGGACCTCAGGGTGAAGGAGCTGCTGGAGGCGTGCGAGCATCTGTACTCGCCCGAGCCCCCGCCCGGCGGCGCCATGCCAGACTGCACGCTCACGCGCAAAGCCGGCTACCTTAACCTGCGGCAGTACGAGGCGCCCACAGCGTCCGCTCCACGCACCGGCACACGGCCCGCTTCCACCACATGGCCTGCTTCCACCACATGGCCTGCTTCCACCACACGGCGCTTGGCCGATAATAATTAATCAAAAACACGATTGCGATGCCGCATTGCCAGTGGCGCGCAAGCACGAATAATTAAAACTCAACACGTTAGTCAATGACACTTCCCTAAAGAGGAAAAACACGCGATATCGTATGTAATAGGCGACGTTCCGGGCAACTGCCCTTCTTCACAGCAGTGAGAGTTCTGCTATGAGAGATCTCTCGGCTGCAAAGAAGGGCAATTGCCTTCAGGACAGTGTTGTTGACAAATCTGTTGAGTTTTTTTTTTTACAATAATAACAAGTTAGGAAAACATGTTTCATATGCATTGTTTTGTAGTGCTTTCCAACAGCAGTATTGAAGCCGGAACTGGTAGCAGTCAAAGCAAAATAAATTAGCATATTTCCTGTTGTTTGTGTCTTCAAATTTTTGGGCAGCCCTTTGATCACCTTGGCCAGTCATCAACAGTCAGCTGCTAATAAGCAATACAATTGAATTAATATTGGGTCATGTATATCACAGTGTCCCCCCCCCCCCCGTGTCCAACTGACAGACAGAGCTATTGACGCTGGACACACGTTTGGGGCTGCGTCTTACTTTCCAGAAGGTCTTAACAACCCGTGGAATAACAGTGTTAAAGAAAGACTTTGCGTGTCAGCCACCTTGACCGAGTTGGCACCGTTGCTGTGCGTCCCCGTAAGTTTCTATGTTATGCCGTGCGCGTCTGTGTGTGTGTTTGCCGTACCGATTGACGCCATGCAGTAAGACAGGGTTGGTGTCATCGGCATGGGAGCGGCTCTACTTCTTCACTCAGGGAGGGAATCTCATGAGCCAGGCACGTGACGCCGTAGCCGGCGGGCTCGTCATGGACCTTGACAACTGCTCCGTCATGGCGGTGGACTGCGAGGATCGCCGCTTCTGCTTCCAGATTTCCGCCTTCGACGGGAAAAAGTATGCGCATGACGCCGACCGGGGCTGCGGGCCGTAGTAACACGGGAAGCTGGGCTCTCCAAGCCCTTTACGACTCACTTCTGACACTCGATTGAGCCCTAATTCTTGCCCTTCGCTGACCTTGACTGCTTTTTTAAAAAATTATTCCTATGTAACTTACATTCTGGGTGTAAGATTCGATTGTCGGAGGCGGTCAGATGGCTAAGGGGATTAGTTTATTTACCCATTCCCATTCTGAGACAGTCTGCAAGGTTGCAGCGTGGGTCCCACTCACCTCTGAATCTCGCCACGTACAAGTGGCTCGGCGTTCATGTTAGTTAGAGGCATAGCGCCGTTGTTTTTAAAGACATTGTACTCACCGCAGGGAACTGTAGCGACACGACTGCACTCCATGATAGCTGGCGCCAAACTGTGCCACATGCCTCCCTCCCACATGGCCTTGTGGGAGCCTCGGTACCGACAACGTTATTTTATTTTAGTTTTTCTTCCAGTTTTGTTTTGATGATGTACATGTACATCATCGGAACAGAATCGTAATAAAAACTGGTGACGTACACGAACGTCATCGGAAATGGAAAGGGTTAATATTACAGCAGCCTTGCACCGCTGAGATGACAGGTTTGGAACCGGGTAGTTACCCTACATTAAACCAGGTTCTCAAGTTTGTAGCAAGTTAAGATGTGGCTGGGTAGATCATAGGTAAGAGATGCTGAGTTGGCACTACTGAGAATCCTAGGTTGTAAGCAACCATTTGTGGACACATAAAGATCATCACGTTACATTTAGTTCTGCACTTCATTTGGTTTCAATTTCAGCGCTGGAGGAAATATCGGTTTATCTTGCAACATATATTACACTATCGTGGGGGGCAGCACTTTCCAATCAACTTTCCTCCAAAATCCCTTCCAGCCACCTCTGTTCAGAAGGGATCTCAGAGGTAGCTCTGTGTTAATCCACTTCTCTGGGCCATTCTCTAACACGAAGGTTTGCATTGCTCTGTGAGCGTTCCTCTCGTCACAGAGGTAGTTCTTTGACCCCTTCCTCGAGGGTCCGTTATCGGACACTTGGTGTTGTCGTACCATTCGCTGTGAGAGTTGTGCATGGAAATTCCTTTGTCTCATTACATGATGCTGATGGCACATGAAGAAAGTGGTTCGTGGAAAAAATGTTTCAAGAATAATTTGAGAGCATACTTTTTTGAAAATGTGTACAGTTCTAGCTCACATTATGGCTGTTGTTGGGCGGTTTGGGAAATTAGGCTCCTAACTCAACTGACCCCTCACTTCTGAATGACCTCTGGGCCATAACTCTAGCCCATGGCTGACCCTTAATGAATGTTTCCCTACCCCTGATTGTAGAGATGTAATGATTCATCATTGAAATTGATTCTCATCGTGTGATAGGTACATCAAACTGTGTGTACGAATCAATTCCTTTCTCATGGATTTATTTTGTCTAAAACATGTTACCCGTGGGACGCCACTGGAAAGGGGAGTTGAGTCAGACAAAGAGATGAGCAGCAGTGATAAAGGAGCAGCACTGGGCAGGAAGGGTAGGAGGGGGGAGAAGGAATGACTGGGCCAAGATATTGAGGCTGAGAGGGTGATGATGATGATGATGAGAGGGGAGGGAAGAGAGGGAGAAGACAAGGAAGGAGCAAGCAGGAGTGAGCTGCATGGAGGAGTAGCATCTGAGTGGGAGTAACCATACAAATCACGTGATTTATGGGAGTCTTTAGCTGAATGATATAGAAGTGATTGGTGCATGGAAACATCATAGCAAATACAATGGCAACAAAATAGTGAAACAATGATTGCTTTTGTGAACAAGCATCATGACATGTGATCGAATCGTGATTAGAGCGAAATGTGCATTGCTACCAAATTGAACCCTCTCTTTGTAAAGGCAGATTACTTGGCACATAGTAAAAACACAACAAAAACACTGATACCACAGTTTCCCCAGTCATCAATGCTGTCGACATCTTGCCCCCATTCAAGTCTAGGCTCAAGACCACCCTGTTTTATCCTGGCTCATGACTGACTGCCTCTATTAAATAAGTAATATGTAAAAAGCCGTTTTTTAAACACGCTTTTATGAAATGTACTAGTAATGGAAGAACTCCAGGAAGTGGCCCCGAAGCTTGCCATAATGTAAGGGACCGTGGGCAATTAAAGCCAACGTCAGTTTACCGTGGATAATTAGACCCAAGCCGAAACATAACATATAAAAAATAATGTTAAAAATATACTTTATTTTTTATGATAGAATATAGTATTGTCATCAGTATGACATAAGTATACCAAGTTTGCAGTCGATACCACATTGGGAATTGGGTTAAAATTGAGTTACAATATTTGAGGATACAACAACAACGACAACAACAACAGACAGAGTGAGTTAAATGAAAGCGTGTAAAAACACACTCGGTCGTCGATATGAAATCCAAATTGCATTATGATTTCTCTTTACTTTTCCAGAATAACAGTACAATCAATTTAGTTTAGATTACATGTCTGTATTAAATTTCGATTTAAAGCTTTCGTGACTGCAGGGATTCATATTCTTGGTTCTTTCGGTAAAGTCACGTAGAAAGGAAATAATAAAATAATACAAATAAAACACAATAAAATAAAATTCTCACGACGTTTCGGCCACAACGCAAGGAGCCGTCCTCAGGTGAAAAAACAGAGCTGTCGGAAAGACAGCGTCCTAATGAACACTGCTAAGCTTGGCAGCGTATTTAAGCTGGGTGGGAGGAGGAGAAGAGTGCCTTGACAAAGGAGTTTACATATCAACAGAGGAATTTAGCATATTGATGACATGCAAAATATGGGTTTAGTCACTCCTTGTGGAATGTGTAGGCGGTGGGAGGTCTCAAAGTCATATTATGCTAGTGTATTATGTAGGATTAGTAGTAATGTCTGTACTCCATGTGTTTTGATCGAAGGGGTCATGCTTTGTGTCAACTTTGCTTTGTCAGGGTGGTGATATTACAGGCCGAGAGCAAAAAGGAATGTGAAGAGGTGAGCTCTCACAGTCACATGGCACAGTTTCGTCATGCCAAATCATTTACATTCATCCATCTAATAACTATTCTTGAGATACAATAACGTGAAATAAGAGCAAGGGTGTGCGTGTGTGTTTTTTTCTTTATTCCCCAGTGGATTGTCACGATCAGCAACATCTCCCGTCAGATCTACCTTACGGACAACCCACAGGTGCGATGCGGGGTTTTGGTGCAGCGGTAGCTAAGACAAAGACACCCCATATAGCCTTAATAGACTGTTGGGACAAGTGCTGTGAGCGAGCATCTGTGAAGGCCGGCACGGTACACGAGAGGGTGGGTGGCCAGCACCATGCCGGGATGCCTTTGTCTCCCTAGTGGTAATGTTTACACATCACACTAGGTACTCGTTTGAGGCGGAGTCCACCTAGGGGACAACCCACAGGTGCGATGCGGGGTTTTCGTGCAGCGGTAGCTAAGACAAAGACACCCCATATAGCCTTAATAGACTGTTGGGACAAGTGCTGTGAGCGAGCACCTGTGAAGGCCGGCACGGTACACGAGAGGGTGGGTGGCCAGCCCCATGCCGGGATGCCTTTGTCTCCCTAGTGGTAATGTTTACACATCACACTAGGTACTCGTTTGAGGCGGAGTCCACCTAGGGGACAACCCACAGGTGCGATGCGGGGTTTTCGTGCAGCGGTAGCTAAGACATAGACACCCCATATAGCCTTAACAGACTGTTGGGACAAGTGCTGTGAGCGAGCACCTGTGAAGGCCAGCACGGTACACGAGAGGGGGGGTGGCCAGCACCACGCCCGATTGCCTTTGTCTCCCTAGTGGTAATGTTTACACATCGCACTAGGTACTCGTTTGAGGCTGAGTCCACCTAGGGGAGGCCCAGAACCGGTTCAGATAATCGTCACCAGTGTTGGCCATGAGCAGGAATTGAACTCGGGTAGCTGGGTTCGTAGCACAGCACGCTAACTGTAATACGTCACATGATATCTTAATATTACAGTGTCACATGTATATATGTCAATGCCGTCTCCATGGCATTGTGACATCCTATCTTCTGTACATGTGACCGCTGTTGTCTCCAGCTCTCGCCACTCTTTGTATCTCTTTCATGGCCTATTCGTGCCATATGCATGTTGGTGTTGTGTTTCCACGTTATGTACATGACTGTGTACATGTTTGTCTCGGAGAGCGGTAGTGTTGTGGATAGCACCCTATGCTACGAACTTGTCAAACCAAGTTCAATTCTCGCTCACAACCAATAAGTGGTGAATAGTTGAGCTGGTTTTGGATCTCCCTTGGATAGACTCGGCACAACCTCCAACCCTCTCGTAGGTTGTGCCACCCTTCATGGGTGCTAGCTAACAGCACTTGCCCCAATAGTCTGTTGAAGGCTATATGGGGGAACTTCGTGTTGCGTGTTGTCATGTTGTGTGCTTGTATGCGTTGAGTATGTTGTACAGGTGAGACAGTTGCTTGCTTTCTGCATGTCATGTGTACGCTGTATGCGGGTGTGTGTGTGTTGTTTGCATGTCACGTGTGTGTCACGCCAGTTGGGTTTCACACACGTGTGTGCATTTCATGTGTGTGTGTGTCATTTGCATGTGGGTGTCAGATGTCTGTGTGTTCGTTTTGCATGCTGGTTGTAATATTTTTGCTTGTGCGTGTGTCTTGTGCGTGTACTAGGAGGTGGCGGCACGCGTGCACCAGTCGGCCATGCAGTCCGTGACGCCCACATCCTCCTTCCAGGAGAGACACCGAAGTCTGCGACCACGCACGTCAGTATAGACGCACAGAGACATGAAGATGAACATCCCCTGTAGAGCCATTCAGACTTTTTGGTCAACTGTTGTGAGTGAGGATCTATGAAGGCCGACAGGGTGCACAAGAGTTATGTACGGTCAGCACCATGTCCAGCCACTTTTCCACTGCTGTGTGTTTACACACCGCACTAGGTACTCATTTCAAACTGAATCCTCAGGAGAGATCAGGACTGGTTCATATATTCTCTACTGATGATAGTCATGGTTTGGAATTGAATTCATAATACGGTACATTAACCACTGGATTAAATACTATGTATGTATGTATGTTGAACTTCTTTAGCACCATACGTAGCCGACACGTGCTAATCGGAGATACTCACAGACACATATCCAGCAGTGGATTGATCAAAAGGCTGTACATGTACACATACATGTACATTGATGCACCATCACATGGCGCCGTGTGACTTTGTTTAACCGGAAAGTCGCCTGTAGTTACATTTAGAGGCTGGCATTGACACCTCACGAGATTCCACTTCTGCCATGGCCCCCACAGCTCCACCTCGAGTCCCCGCTCCTCGGTGAGCGATGACGCAGCACAGGCGGCGACTGGCGGCAGTGGCGGCGGCTCGTCGGCAAACACCCCCGCGTCGACGCCGGCCAAGACCGCCGTGGCGGCCCAGGCCTCCCCCCACCGTGCCACCACCCTGCAGCTCGTGGTGCCGGGCACGCCGATCCAGTTCGACATCATCTCGCCGGCAACGGAGGAGCAGGAGGGACGTGGAGGCACGGGGGCTGGGGGCACCGGAGGAAGGTGAGCAGGCGCGTGTCTGTGTAGTTCGAGAGGTTCGATAAGCCTCCCATTGCTGTACCAGTGGTACAGATACAATGGAAGGCTGATCGATGCCAGGGTGCAGTCAAGGGATGGCTCCCTCCTCATCAACCATGGTATGTATGTTGATGATCTGGTGGTTGCTGCTCACTATTGAGATGGAGTTGGAGGTTCTGCTGCTGAATCTGAAGAGTACCACTACGAGGTGGCGCCTTACCTGATATCAGCCGCACAAACACTAAGCACCTGGCCTGGGTATTTTGTATCATCTAATACACCACCACCTCAATTTCCCATGAGTGTTGGGGCAGTTGTGGAGAGTGGAGAAGCTTCCGTACCTAGATAGTGTGCTTATACTGGTAGGAACGAAGTGGACCAGACCACCAATAGATTAATGTGTCCGTCCGTCCGTCCGTGTATCAACATCGCCCCCTACTGCAAACACTTGGCATGACCCTGTCCGACAAGATGGCCGCCCGCTCCCCCTGCGATGTGAGTTAAACAAGATGGCCGTCGCTTCCGGTGCATCACGGCAAAACTTTAAACTTCGCTTCAAAATTACTTTACTGAAACGCAGCACGTTTTTAAAAAAAATAACTTTACTGAAACGCAGCACGTTTTTTAACACAGAGACAAGAAACATTTATTAACACAGAGACGAGATACATTTAATCGCCTTATTTGTGCACAAAAAGCACGGCGCGAGGCCTAGTGCGGCAGGCTTCGCGAGGCCTAGTGCCGCAGGCTTATTGACACAGAGATTAAACGCAGCACGTTTATTAAAAAAAAATTACTTTACTGAAACGCAGCACGTTTTTTTAACACAGAGACAAGAAACATTTATTAACACAGAGACGAGATACATTTAATCGCCTTATTTGTGCACGAAAAGCACGGCGCGAGGCCTAGTGCGGCAGGCTTCGCGAGGCCTAGTGCCGCAGGCTTATTGACACAGAGATGAAACGCAGCACGTTTATTAAAAAAAAATTACTTTACTGAAACGCAGCACGTTTTTTTAACACAGAGACAAGAAACATTTATTAACACAGAGACGAGATACATTTAATCGCCTTATTTGTGCACGAAAAGCATGGCGCGAGGCCTAGTGCGGCAGGCTTCGCAAGGCCTAGTGCGGCAGGCTTCGCGAGGCCTAGTGCAGAAGGTGGTGGTGGGGGGTGGTGGTGGGGGGTGGTGGTGGGGGCTGGTGGTGGGGGGTGGTGGTGAGGGCTGGTGGTGGGGGCTGGTGGTGAGGGCTGGTGGTGGGGGGTGGTGGTGAGGGCTGGTGGTGAGGGCTGGTGGTGGGGGGGTGGTGGTGGGGGCTGGTGGTGAGGGCTGGTGGTGGGGGGTGGTGAGGGCTGGTGGTGAGGGCTGGTGGTGGGGGCTGGTGGTGGGGGGTGGTGGTGGGGGCTGGTGGTGGGGGGTGGTGGTGAGGGCTGGTGGTGGGGGGTGGTGGTGGGGGCTGGTGGTGGGGGCTGGTGGTTGGGGGTGGTGGTGAGGGCTGGTGGTGGGGGGTGGTGGTGGGGGGTTGTGGTGAGGGCTGGTGGTGGGGGCTGGTGGTGGGGGCTGGTGGTGGGGGGTGGTGGTGGGGGCTGGTGGTGAGGGCTGGTGGTGAGGGGTCTTTAAATCTCACAGCGTTTCTTGTCAAAACAAACACTTTTAATTAACGTTACACTAGAATACATTAATTTTGTCTTTAACTCCTCTATACCCGGTCGATATCCCTGTACCGGTACTAAGTATTATTCCTACCAGCCCACCCCGCAGGGTCCTGTTAACCAACTACGGTTTGGCAGCAGAGGTATCTGAATCAGCAGAGGCATTATCTTTTCGTCAGCTGCGTAACACGGGAAACTCTCTGATCTGTTGCTCCACATGAAGCTCCGGGTCTTCTCAGCCACAGTCATGCTCTTCCTTCTCTTTGCTTGTGAAACGTGGACCCCTCAAATAGACCATCTGCACAGGTTTGAAACTTTCAGGCTGGTCTCCCTATGTTCCATCCTAGGTTTAACCAGGCTGGATTGTGTAAAGAACTGACAAATCCTTGAAAGATCTGGAAACATTCTCATCATTGAACTCCTCCGGTACACTAGACGGGATTGGCTGGGTAATGTATCCCGCATGCCCAGCCACCACATGCCCAATTAGCTTCTGTTTGGCCGGATAGAGGGGACTAATTGGGCACAGCACAGGCTGGAGAAGAAATGGACTGATGCGGTACAGGAGGATGTGGAGCTGAGTGGACTAGCCGAAGACTGATACTAGAAGTGTCAATATCGGCCTCTATGGAGGAGGCTCGTGAAGGATGCTACTGGGCAGTTGGAGGCAGTTGCCCTCCAACATCAATGGAGGGCAGAGGAGCGACGCTCACAACAATGAGTGGCGTGCCGGGCGGCTGAAATGCAGCAAGTTGGCACAGGAGAGGGCATCGGTGGTACATCTGCCAGTCATCTCAGTCAGTCAACCCATGGCACCTGGGTCTGTCCTGTGACCTTCCTATCAGTGAGCCTTCGAAAATTCACGTTGCCTTGGAGTGCACCTTGCCTGGCACAACCGCCTTGGTGACGTCACCGCCACTTAGTGGATAATGTGTGTTGTTGTTTGAGCGCTAACACATGCAGCTGGGCGGGTGATGGCCACCCACCCCCTCGTCTGCCATTCGGACCTTCATTGGTGCTCGCTAGCAGAATTTACCCCAACATTCTGTTCAGGCTATACCAGGGGTCGGCAACCAAAATAACAAGAAGAGCCATTTCTTTCCAATTCGGTACAAAATTCAGTATTTCAAGAGCCGCAATGCATCTGAGTACATACGTACTCATCGTCAAGAAGTAGCCCGTAAAGAGCCGCATGCGGCTCCGGAGCCGTAGGTTGCCGACCCCTGGGCTATACAGAGGATCTTTGTTTGGACTGGGAAACGAAGGCAGCCATGAATGGTGCTGACCACGCCCATCCCCGCATGTCCCATGCCAGCGTTCATAGTTTCTGACTAACAGCACATTCCCCAACAGTCTGTATGCCTGTAGGGGGATCCTTGACATTGTAAAATACCTCACTCTGTCACGTGACCTACCAACTAGCCTCCGACACTTAATGTCGCCTCAAAGTGCACCTCGCATGGAACGAAAGCTACGGTGACATAACCATCACTTCCTTGCAAATGGTGGTTGTTGCTGTTTTATGTGGGTGGGAGTGGTGATTAGCGCACTGTGCTACAACCCCAGGAACCTGGGCTCGATTCTCCGTCACGGCTAACATCAGTGACAAGTGTTATCTGAGCCCTTCCTGGGCCTCAAGTTAATTCGGCATTAAATGAGTACGTGGCACAGCAAGAGGGAAAAAGATGTCAGCTGGCGGTTGTGATGTGGTCACACCACCCCTCTCATGTGCTGTGCTAGCCTTCATAGGTACTCACAGCACTTACCCCAGGCGCTATGGGGAAGGATGTTTGTCTTTCCGTATGGGCGTGTGTGGGCGTGTATGTGTGCATGCATGTGAGTGTATATGCACCACTTTATCATTCGTTGTGTTAGCTTTAATGGGCTCCCTAACAACAATTGGTCGGTCAGCCTGCAAGAGATTTCATCTCAAGTTTTTACATGCGCCTGGGTGGAGTGTTTGCAAGCACGGACAACATCCCACGTTGACCTCTGCAATTACAAACATGACTCGTAAGGATCATGCTGCCTTCAGATCAACATTGAGTGGAATGCTTTACATCTTACATTGCTTGGCCATGATTGACGTTGAATGCGAGTGCAAGCACTGATATTGACCTTGTCGTTAATTTTCCAGGCGGCAGAATCCGTTCGGGGAGGAGGGAGAGGAGGATCAACCAGGCTCTGAAGGTTTGTTTGCTCCAAACACACAAGTCATTTCGATAAATAAGCCACGCCAGGTCTCAACCACATCCTTAATTACATCGGTGGGTATTGCCGATAGTGCCGAGAATGTATTATCGGGGCAAATAACACTGGTGTGTGCATAATACAAGCATACATAGCCATTAAGTCTGTATGCCCATGTGTTAGGTTCATTATCAGTTGCAATTGTTTCCTCTGTAGCACCTCGAAGTCAGGTTTAAGGTATCAGTACCACGAAATAGTTTTGTGTACATATGAGGCACATTGATGATTGGACCCCCCGTGCGAATTGTCACGATGTAATGTGTATCTGTTTCTTAAGTCTCGTTAATGTAACTAACTGCAAGATAACAGCATAACAGCAGCATTTAATTTGCATATTTTCAGTCAGTTCTTACACGCACGTATTCATACCTGAATTGTATTTTAATCGTTAAATCAATTCATTGTGAAATTCTTAGTGAACATAGGCGAAAAAAACCCACTCTTCAAATATTTGAGTGGGCATTAAGTATTTATTTACTGTGCTTTCCTTTGTGCCCACTACAATGTGGGCATCTGCAAGAATTTAAGGAAAGATGCCCTCGGTAGTGTGTGGAAGACCACACTTGTGCCCCAACTCATCGCCACGAATGTATGATAACCACCTGGCGACCCCACGTCCTGTTGTATTGTAACACGCCGCGTCCCCTCCGTCCACTTTCACCCGCTCGCCCATCCTCCCGACACCCAGAGTCTCAGCTGCTGCAGCAGCTTTACGTGGTTCGCTTCCTGGGCTGCATGGAGGTGGGCGCCGACCCAGGGCCCGACGTGATCTACGAGACCATGCGGCACGTGCTGGCCTCACGTGCCATCCACAGCATCTTCCGCATGACCGAGTCGCATCTGCTCGTCACCTGCTCGCAGCTCAGGTAGCAACACGGCGCCAGGGCCTCTCACTTTCGTATGGATACGGGTTGAGTAGCAACCATAATCCTTAATGGGTTAGATCGCGTAAATGTAAATTTGTCGTTAAACCCGCCACCACCCGACACAGACAATTTAGTAAGGTTAATTAGTTACTACTTCAGCACAACCGTGTGTTGTATCGTAAACCGACAACATTTACAATTCCAGCACCACACAGCTATCGCTCGTGTTGGTTTTGATATTTTCACACGTTTGATTCACACCGTGGTTTCGCACGGTCCCCCGAAATTCTTATCCTCTTCGGTCAGGGGTTTTATTTAATTTTGCTTTTGTCGTTTTGGTGACCCAGGTCACTTGCAAATGATTTTATATCCCTGTTGTCTTGAGGTGTCACCTGGCTAAACTAATGGAGAGCCTTATCCTTCTTGAGTACCGAATTTTACTTGAAAATTCCTCTGATGGGGGGGTGGGGGGCTCATGTAAACGTATCTCAATAACGTCTGCAAGAGGCTATTGTATGTATGTTTAACTTCTTTCACACCGTACGTAGCCAACCGTGCAGTGACATAAGTGGCTGAACGTGCCAGATTTTTAAAAAATTGTTGCTCAAAAATATTATAATCTGATACCCGGTTCAGGGCACCTAACATACTCACAATGATTCGGCCAGTAATGCCATTTGTGGGCCGTTTCAAGGTAGTAGGCCTCATGCTGAAATAAAGTTGTGGACTTCGTTTGACCCACTGGCCGTGGGATGCCCATGCCAGCTATACATCCTCTTTCCTGTTACATCACGACTAAGAGGCAACAGACACTCGTGCTTGGATTTTCATTTGCTGTCTGTAGCTGAGAGATATGGAACATAGTGGTCATCAATATTTTGGAATATGTTAATATACAGCCCTTTTGCCAATACACTGATGGATCAAGGCCTTTCCACGCCATAGTGGGTTGTGGGGGTTATTTGGCCATACTTCACTCTGGTCAGCGCGCAGGAGCGAGATGGACTGTCGTATCCTGGGATCATGAGCAATGGTGCTGACATGTCGAGTTCTTCATCCGGGAATGGATAAATCATGGTTCATACTGAATATAATGTTTCCCTTTATACCTTATTCTGCTGTTTTAATAAATACGTTCATATACATTTAACATAACTATCAAATGGTGTCATTGCTATTGCCTGCAAAAAACATCAGTCGGTTGAATTGCTAACAAGAGTTAAAATTGTTTACATGCATGTGTACAGCTATGGGCTTTCTAAAAAAAAAAAATCTCGCTCTCTCTTTTCCAGGCTGATAGATCCTCAGTCGCAAGTCACTAGGATTGGTGTAAGTAAACTATTGCTCTGACCTCCTACACCCACCCATGTTGTCCACAGGCATACATACGTACATACGTACATGCGTGGAAACGTACACGATTGGCCCCACTTCAATAGTCACGAAAAAATACATCTCGTGTGGCATTACCAGTGTCTTGATATCTTGTTACATTTAAACTTCGTTGGAGACTTTATTGAGACAGGTAAGGCCCAATGAGCTTAAGCAGCTGCAGTTCAAGGGTTACCTGTAATACACTCTAAATTAAAATAGTTCTGTGCCGCGCAGACTCGATGGGGGGGTGATGTTAGAGTTGCGAGTAGATGTGTAAATGCGTATTGTGATTATATAAACTGCCACAATTTGGGGTTGTGATTTTAGATTAGTTATTTTTTTTATATTTTGGTAAATTTATTACCTCAAGTGCCTTGAGTTTTTGTGAACCATTTACATAAAACATACATAAATAATAATCAATTCTCACACGCACAAATTTCATCCATGTTTAAGGGATCTGCGAGCCACCCACACGCACCATGCAAACACGACATCTCCGCTCTCACGACAACACGTACCAATCACACGTGCGGGAATGCGCGGGACGGGGGTCAGGGGTCAAAGGGCAGTGACGTCACTAGACGCGGATGTGTATTGGGAGCGAAGATTGAAGGATTGAAAGGGGCTGTGGGACGTGTGTTCAGGGATTGGTCTTGGAACGAGTATTGCTGTGCATTGGTAAAATAAAGAAGTGCTTTAACCATTCTACGACTCCTCTTCACATATATCTCAAGCAAAACAATACAATGTAAAAGAGAATCTATGCATCGTTATATCCCGAGTAGTTCTTGCACCACTCTGCCACTTTGCTCACCAGGGTTTGAGTCCAGGTTGTTCGCAAAACAACAACTTTGGGGAAGCCAAATCATCCAGACATTTCGCTGGCCTCGACTCCACCCTCGTGTTTCGCGTCAGCCTTAATAGGCGCTTCGCGAACATCTCTTGAGCCCAGCATGTCGAGCTAACCGGGAGCGATCTTCGCCGCTGTGCGCATGTTCGCAGTTCCCGCTGCGCCAGGTGGGAAGCTGCGCACCGCACTCGGAGAACCCGCGTCTCTTCGGCTTTGTGCTGCACACACCCACGGCTGTGGGGCCCGAGGGGAGGACTTCGCTGTCCTGCTACGTCTTCGAGTCCAACAACGAGGGCGAGAAGGTAAGGGCACAGGAGGTTCGCGTCGCGTGCATGTGATCTAGCCACCCAGGGCTTTTTTTCCTGTTATTTATGAGGATAATATGGGCGTGTGTATGTTTTAGGTATGTGTGTATGTACGTCTGTGGGGAGCGGTAGTGCAGTGGTTAACGCGCTGCGCTATTAATTCGGCGACCCGGGTTCGATTCCCGCTCAGTCAACACCAGCGACGATTATCTGAACTGGTCCTGGGCCTCCCCTAGGTCCACTCAGCCTCATATAAGTCCCTAATGCGGTGTGTAAACATCGCCACTTGGGAAACAAAGGCGGCAGGGTGTGGTGTTGGCCACCCACCCCCTTCATGTGCCGTGCCGGCCTTCATAGGTGCTTGCTAACAGCACTTGCTCTTACAGTCTGTTAAGGCTACACGGGGGACCCTTGTATGGGGAAAAGCTAGATTGCTCCACAATTTTAAATCAATGAGGTGTGATTTTAAATCTTATGATATGTGGTCATGTGAACGAGGTTAAAATTACCAAGAAATCACATTTGACCTGATAAGTTGTTTTATGGCCCCTGGCTCTGCTTATCTACGACAGCCCCTGTGTGTGGCACAAACCCAGTTTACAAAATTGTTCAGTCTGTTGAAGGATCTAAGAGTCCGTTGGAAAGACACGAGAGGGAAAGTGCTGTGGATGGACTCCAGTGGACACCAAGGAGACGGCGAGTGAGTGACAAAGATAATTTTCCGAAACGAGGCCGTCATGTTAGAACTCACCGTTTGCTTTGCAGATCTGCGACTCGATCGGACTGGGAAAGCAAATCTCGCTTCACAACACGCTGGTGAGTAGAAGCACAGCCCGGCCAAAGCAATATCACGTGCACAACAAACATTCTGGGTCTCCGTCTAGCACTGCTCAGGCGATTCATTTGGCCGCTCAAACCTTTGCACTCTGTGTTTTTACTGCCTTGTTATTTCAAGGCCCTGTGGTTGTGAAGTGTGATGTGCCGCCTACGTTATTATGCATGTGCTCCTGTGCACGAGTGTGTGTATATATGTATCGGTGACAAATATCTGAACCGCTCCTGGGCCTTCTCTAGGTTGACTCAGCTTTAAATGAGTTTCTGTTGCGGTGTGTAAACATTAGCACTGGGGAGACAAAGGCGGTTGGGCATGTATGGCTATACGGTGGATCTTCGTGTTTGTATGCATTTATCAATGACGAATATCTAAAATCGCCCTGGGCCTTAGCTGGGTCAACTCAGCCTTAAATGAGTAAACTGTTGCAGTGTGTAAACATCAGCACTGGGGAGACAAAGGGGGCCGGGCGTGACAGGCAAACCCCACCCTCTTGTCTGTCGTGCTGATATTAACACTTACTGTGTTAAATATGGGATTGTGGTCTCATTTGTGTGTGTGTGTGTGTATAGGAGCGCCGTGCGGCAGAGTGCGAGCAGGAGTTACAGGCTCAGCGTGAGCGACAGGAGCTGGAACTGAACAAGCAGAAGGCCATTGAACAGGTACGTGTCAGGAGGCTTTCCTGGGAGGGCAGGCAAGAAATGCATCGTGTTGTGATTGCGGTTGATTAGTTGTGCGTGATGGCTCTCTACAGACACCTGACGACAGATAGCTGAATTTTTTTAAAATAATCCTATTGCCATTTAAAGATGCTTGTTATCGTCATCAACATACTACTGTTGATGTATTGAAAGATGTTTGGTTTTCTGCTTGTAACACCAGAACCAAAAGTAGTACAAGGATGAGACCCTGATTACACAGTAATCTTTCTGTGTACATTTCCACAGTGGTGTTACCAAAAGCTAGTCGTAATAATAATAAAGTTAATTACTTTAAGATAAGACTCGAGAATGGGGAAGGTATTGTAACGAATTAGGAGAGAGCTTATGTGAAAATGTCACTTCATACCAAATAGCTATATTACGGATTACGAGTGTGTCATCAAATGTCATTCTTCCTGACCGCCTGCTGTGGACCTTCTACCCCGACCACAGGACTTGGAAGAGCAAAGCCGCCTTATTGCCGCATCGGCCAAACCGTCCAATGAGCATGCATCTTCGGGTGATGGACAGACGCTGCGGCTGAGTGATAACCAATCAGCGATGGACAAGGGGGTGGAGCCTGGAAAGGGGACAGAGTCGGAGGCTTGAGCTGATCAGTGAAGGGCCTCTTGTGTTTTTTCACGTACTCAACGGGCGGAATATCTTTGCGCACTTTCTTGTCTTTCTATGGAGATGTTATGCATCACTGCAGTTTCTAGGGCTGAGACCGACCAACTGAACAAAATCATCCTTATGGCGATACCCCGGGGTACCAAATAATACTAAATGGCTGAGGCAATTAAATATTGTATTTCTGGGACACTTTTTTCCAGGGGTGTACTTAACTCCGCGACTAGGGTCCCAATCAATCTGAAATCAGTGCTAGTCCGTGATGTCGAAACGCAGCGAGGACGATTGCGCTGAAACCCTGAACGCTCGTACGCACCATAGTGGTGCATCGTGTACAGCTCGTCGAGATGAGTCTATCGCCGCATCACCGACCATCAACCGACTCAAAATGACATTATGCGAGAGCCGGGGTACTATGGCACCCCGGTGTACCGCCATAAGGTTCAAATGTCATTTGTAAATACAACGGCGTCATTCTTAAATAATAAGCTAGAACAAAACACAATGTAACTGAAACACATTATACAAAAACTTACTATTGGGGAAGTGGTAATAAAATATATTAATATGGGTGGAATGAGTATGACCTTACTTGCATCACGTTTATTGGTGGCACTGGTGAAGGCAGGTGTTAAGATATTTTAATGCGTGGAGTATAATCATGTGTTGGCAAGTAACGGGTAAAGATAGCTGTGATTTGACAGCTAAATATTTCCACAAGCAGTCTTTTCACGAACACATAATTTTGACCCTTTGGCTGTAAGTCTGCCTGTAGTGACTACTAATTAATTGAGAAAATTTGATAGTTTGTACTTGCACTTTGCGTACAAAATATAAAAAGGGCAGAAGGGTCAATAAAAAATAATAAATTGAGTTGCATCACTTTCAACTCCATATGAGATCTTTTTTTTACGATTTTTATGTAAAAACAATAGTGGTTACAATTGCTGTGGTTTGCATTTTAAGTTTAATCAAACTGTTTTTCCCTAAGATGACGGCAACTGCTCTTAGCGGGATTTTGGCGATGCCGCGTGGGTGACTTGGGAAGCGGATTTCCTTGACCGACTGAGGCTCTTGTTCCCCCGTGTCCTACACCCAGGGGTGAACTTTTGAGTTAGCCCGTCGTAAATTGCAGCAGAGGTTGAGATCGCTGAAGAGCTTCAGTAAGGTGCAACTCCCTATGTCTCAATAATTACACTTTGGAGTAACAAGGGCAGTGTCGCCGTTACATTGATCGATAAAAAAGTTTAGTTTTGATAAAATGTTGCTTTCGCAAAGGTGCAGTGATGACGACGACGAACGTTAACTGTAAATATGTACTTGATCTTAAGGGAAGTTTGAGGATGCAATTAGCACGGTGCGTGAGGCTTTTGTTTATTTGGTGTGCACTTGCATGGGTTTATAAAGTCTTTTATGCCACAACGGCCGTAACTTTGTGCGGCGAGACATTTTTACATCTTAATTGATTCCGAGTGAGAGTTAGAGCTGTGTGGCTGACGTTTCCAAAGTTTATCTCCGCGTTAACCTTGCTGAAACAAAATTTAAAAACGTCACTACTGCTGTCATTGTTTAACCATATGTCCAGGAAAGCCTCGCCAAGTCTCAGAACTTTCAAGAGGAGCCTGCTACATTGGCATTTGCCAATTTAATTAATGAGCACTACTGTCCAGGTTTTCGTGATTAAGCTGTGCATAGCTCTCCAAAGTAATTACCACCAGGGATATATTGACCTATACTTGCCTGGATGTGTTCCCGGTTGCACCCACGTGTTGTTCTGCACGATGTCCGATATTTCGCTCCACGTGCCAGAAGCTGCTGCAGCAACCGAATTTAAACATAGTGTTGTGCGTGTGCTTAACAGCACACGGAACATAAAGTCTGGATGTTCATGCAAAACAAACAACGTGCAGTACATTCCAGAAACACCATCGGAGAGCTATCAGATGCGTGCCAGGCATTTGGGAAGCTGAAAAGCCAAACTAATTAACTTCACCCCTTTCCCCTGCCTTGCAAATCATGGAGTGTACCAGTGTAATAACCAACTTTTGTATATGACCTATATTTGGTTGTAAAACTTTTTCACAAGCACCATGAAAACATTACGGTATTTTACGTGTACTGTATAATTGAAGTGTCTTGAATGCACTTTCGTTGGCCCTTTTCTGTAACGTCATATGCATCTTCGTCCAAAACGTTTACGGTCTTTTTCAACGGTTTTACTTAACTTGACTCGTCGTGGTCAAATCTTGTAGTCAAAATTTTGTCTACTTCCTGTTGTCCAATCAATTCCAAATTTTGCACACTTACTCAGATCCGGTGACAATGCCTGCCTGTATCAAAATCGGCATAAGTTAATCAATTCGCTACTTTAAAGCAATTTACATTGTGTATGGACGCCTTATTATTTATATATATTTGTGTAGGCGAAAAACACCGCGGTCCCTAAACTCTGGAATCGCCTCGCCCAAGAAGCAGCCGCCACGTGTCTCAGGCGCGCCTGCTCCGTGTCGTCTACGAGTTAAGAAAGTAATTAATTCAAGTCAGCGTTGATGTGGGAGCAGGCGCTGCATCATTGACGTACTTCTCGACCGTGAGTTAAACGAAGTTCATAAAACCCTTGGTTTTTTAAACTTTTTTTAAAGAGTTTATTAAATTCCTTCCTCTCCCCCCCAATGCAATTTAAATTGTCTTCATATACTGTATTTTTTGCGTTTGGTATAGTTCCATTTTGTTACCGCCAGATGGCAACACTAGTATATCAACGGACGCATGATTATAATGCCGAACATACACTTCCGAAGTATAGGGGATAATTGAGATCAACGCACGCAACGAATACAAAGAATTGAAATCGATATATTTATATTCGAATGTTGACGGCAGATCCCATTTGTCGATCCACTGCTGGATGAGGGCCTTCCCCCGCCGTGTGTGGGTCATAGAGGATGTTTGACCAAACGGGACTTCAATACGCTGGTCAGTGTAGGTTGGCGAAGGTGGGCAGAATATTTAGTGCAGTACAGCAAGAGACGTGTCTGTACTCGAGTATTATCAAGGCTTCTGAGTTCGGGCGCATTCCGGTGTGATGTCATATAGACTCCTCTATATACAAATTGCATGCGATGTAGTGAGGTGGGCCACGTTACAATAAATAAATATATCGATTTTTGAATCGATCGTGGAGGAAGTGGGTAGTGTGAATCGTGACATCCCTATTTGGTGTGGCAAGTATGGATGTTAAGCTGAAATGGAATTTCGCGTATGGGTTTAAATAAATAGTTGTTTCTGGAACTGTTTCGTGGTGGTCCCTGCTGTTTGATATCGTAAGCCCAACCACAGAAGTGTGATATTCCTTGGGTCTTTCGGTAAAGTCACGTAGATAATAGGTTCAAAGAAAAGAACAAAAAACTACGACGTTTCGAGGTGAATTTAATCAACTAATTGCATTATGTCAGCAAGGTTCTCAACATCAACGGGTATGAAGGGGTGAGCGATGTTGCGTGGTGTGTGTGTGTATTAAACAAGTGGTGTGAAGAATGAGTGATGTCAATATTTTGTTTGAGACAGATGAGAGGTGTGTGGGAGTGGTGAACAATCGTGGTGTTAGTGGTATGTGTGGTGACAGTGGTGTTTGTGAGAGAGGTGATGAGGAACCTCATGTGAATGCTACAATGACTCCGGCAACATCGTTGCTCTAACCAGCCTCGACATATCTACCCCCTTCGGCACTCTAAACCATGAGATTTTAATTGAGCGTTTAGAATTCGATTTCTCCACGAGAGGCATAGCTTTAGAGAGTTGCTGACATCTCCAATGAAAGGTCCTAACGTCATACGTGGCAAGTCTTAAACCCACGTCCACCCACGACATCAACTGCTGGCATCCTTCAGGGGATCCGTCCTGGGTCATTTGTTCGGTTTACATTTTTCCCAATTGGTCACCTCATCAAACAGTCACGGCATAAACATTCATGTGGCTAGATTTGAAGCTTTCGTGACTGCAAGGATTCATACTCTTAGGTTTTTTTCCGGTAAAGTCACGTAGGTAAAAAAATAATAACGACATCAAAAAACCTAAGAGTATTCATGTGGCTCCAGCTTCATTGTCAGATGAAGAGGCAGTTGATCCTACCCCATCGTCTGCATAACTCCACCACTGCTCACCCAAGAGGTATCGATCAGCATGCTCTTAATCGTATGCAGTGCGTATGTATTTTCTACACTTCATGATATTTAGTCATATTTTTTTTTCTTCCATAAATGTCAGCTCGGAACGCAACCACTGATTTTAACATTGTCTGCGGGAAATTAGAGTTTTCTTTAAGTAATTTCGAGTTAAGTAGTATTTCCCAGGAACGCAACCCTTATGCATAATGGGGGATTCATGCACCCATCGCCGGCTCCACCATCGGTCTCAAATCACTTGGAAATCCTCGGTAATGCCTCTGGACTCTGCGTTTTTACTCAACAACCGCCGTCTAAGGCAATGGTCAACATTTACTGCAGCCTTGCACAAGTGCCGGATTAAGCTAGTGCGGAGCCCGTAGCATATACTACTTTTGATACGAAGATAATCCGGCACTGCCTTGCAACCCCTTTGGTTCTCAGTCGTTAAAAAATGTCTAATGTTAATAGACACATAGGTTTGATGAAACAAAGTAGTTGCACTTACGTGCCGTGCTTAATTTGTGTTTTCGATTATTTACCTTTTAAAAAGAATCTGGCCATGTCTCGCACCCCCAGAAAGAGCATCTCGCACCCTCAGGTTAAGAACCAATGTTCTACAACTTGGATTGGTGCAGAGGCTCCAGTTAGTGCCAAATGCAGCTGCCCGGATGATCAAGGTGGGTAAGCCGTTTTGAACACATCACAACCTACCCTCCTTAGCTTGCAATGGCTTACCAGTCCACGTCTGCATCCAATTCAAGGTTGCTCTTCTAACCTATAAAAAGTCCCTATGTACCTGAAAAACTGCTTCTCCCTCCAATCCTCAGGCACATACAACACACTCCGTTCCCCGAGACCAACAAGACTTTCCCAGCCCAGGATAGTTCACCAGACGCTGGGGTGGGGGGGGGGGAGGAGCCTTCTCGAACACAGCCCCAAGTATCTGAAACACCACACCTACCTGCAACCGGACATCCGAAACAAGCCAAGTCTTTCTCAATTACGTGATTTTGTGCAAGACACATCTCTATACTTTGGCTAGCCATGGTCTGTGCAAGACAACATCTCTATACTTTGGCTAGCCATGGTCTGTGCAAGACAGCTCTATACTTTGGCTAGCCATGGTCTGTGCAAGACAACATCTCTATACTTTGGCTAGCCATTGAACGAAGACGGTCACCGCATCACACGCTTTCAGATACGCTTTTGTGGCTGTCCGGAACGCTCTTCCTTCCAATATTAGGAAGCTTCTGCGAAATATGCACTTTTAATCATCTAGAATGCAAACTCATTTCTTTAGAACAGTTTTTTGTGTTTAGTTTGTAGTCCTTCCTCCGATTAGCACGGTTGGCTACGTATGGTGCGAAATAATGTTATGCCTTCCCATAACATCTAAAAAGACCAGCTTCTTTACTTACTTAATTTATTTATTTGTATTTACTACGTACATTTCTTATGCTATTCGTTGTTGCACGACGATTGCACTTTATATTGCGTGCGGTTGCAATTTACTTTGCTCAGCCGGCGTTAGCCGCTGAAATCTACACGGAATTATTTTCTCATTCTTGTTGCTCCTTAACCTCCCCTCTCCCCATACCTTTCCCGTTCCGTTGTAATGTGCACCAATTGCCTCCTTTATTGAGGGCGATTATTGGCACACAAAATACAGATTGACTGATTATGGCACATCCATCCGCCCAATGTTACCCGCAGCCGCAGCAAACACTCTGGATTGTATGTGCGCATTATCGGCACTCGTCTCGATCGCTGCAACGGCATCCTTATTCAGACCTCAATAAACTACAGCGTCTCCAAAAACAACTTGTCAAGCCGCCCAAGGCATCAGCCGCGGCCACTTGACTTCCATGGTTTCGTTAAAAGCCCTGCAATGGTGGCCCCCATCAAATCAAGGCAAAAGTACACAATCGCAATCATATGTCACATGAGATCTCTAAAGGTCCACCCCTTCTCCATCATACTCTCTCCATCCTCACTCAACTGACCACAGCAAATAACCGCATCCGAAAGAGCACGTCTAAATCATCACGTCCAACGATCTGCCTCTTCGTACCCAGAACCAGGACCTAACTGGATGAATGACGTTTCTCCATCATTGCACCAGCAGCTATTGGGAACTCTCTCCCCAGCATCTAAGCAATATCCACCTTCGAGCAACAGCTCAAGGCCCGCTTGTTTTATGCGCACCTGTTCAGGCTTATTTGTTCGCCTTTCTGGCAGTAGCGTAACTCGCGTGGGGACATGGTGCCTTGGCACTCCCTGGTGGCCAAAGCTACGAGTTGGGGCCCCCTTGATCAACAACCATGAGATGTGTTTTCAAACGTAATTCGGCCCCAATTGACAGATTGCCGCACCCCTTGAGCTGATAATGTCATTACTACGGACACTGGGTTCAGCTCTTCACGGTAAGCTGTTCTGGCTCCCCTGTTCAGGTTCAAGTGTTTAGGTTCACTTGTTCAGGCTCATGCTGTTTTGGGGTTCAACTTATCAGACAACGGATCAGGCTTACATTTTCAGGTTCAATGTTCCAGGCTCACCTGTGAGCTGGATCCCGCGCAGATGCACGGGAGGAAGGAGATGGAGGTTTGAGGAAGAGACGTAGAGGCGTGGGCAGAGAGTGCAAGGGCGTGAAACGGAGAGAGCAAAGAGGAGAGTGAGGGAAAGCTACAAGCAATGGAAGGGAGGATTGGGGAGAGGCAAGAGAGATTGACGCAGGAAAGGGATAGGTGGGAATAAGGAGAGTGAGGGTGAGAGAAACAGAGAGGTGAGGTGGAGAGAGATAACAGTGGAGGGAGGAGAGGAATATAGAGGCAGAGTTAGAAGAGGGGACAGGGCTAGAGAAACAGAAACAAAGAAATAAATTGAGATTAATTGTGATATACATCGTACAGAAGAGAGTAAGCAAGATATATGCGGGGAGAGGCAGGATTAAAGATTGAAAGTTTGGCTGGCTGGGAGGGAGGGTCACGTCCAAAGGCCGTGGGGGTTGCTCGTGGGTTAAAAAAAGGCCATGACACCAAAGTGCCCATATTAAAATAAACTATAGGTATCGTCAATTGGCATATGGGGCCTTCTGGGCCCAGGTTTAATGGTAAGCAGATTGTTCATGCAGGCAAGCTCTGGACCAGTCGAATCCGGGGTTGCAATAAAGCACACTCCGTGACTGATTGTGGCGCGCGTATTGCACGCAGCAAATGTGCCAACGTTAATTCACGTGGCATCTGGTTTGGTTTGGAGGCGTGGCAGGCCACTGTACAATCTCGTTCCAAAAAACTGGCCACTCTGGTCATCAACCAGATGGCGGAAACCCCCAGCTACGCCTCAAACATTCCTCCCTCTCGATAGGCAGCCGTATAGTACAGCCCACTCGCTAAAAATAGCCTCTTCAGGCAGTTGGGGCTCGTGTGATTGTGTGTTGGACTGTGATTCAGCTGTCAGCAGTGGCCACGC